GGAAACCGGTCTTGGAGGTTTGAAGGATGGTGCACAAGATAAGAGCAATGCACACGTCTCCGGCGGCAGCAAACGCGTTGATGCTGATGGAGAGCACCTGTAGCACATGTCAGAACATGGTCCGCTACTGAAAGCTGAGCGACCCACTTTGACCTCGTTGAGCTCAGTGTAGCTCTTGAATCGGAGACTGTAGGGCACTATGAGACAAGATCAAGATGTATGCTGCAACCGCAACCTACGCTTTGGCAGTGTAGGCTGTAGACACGGCTGTGATGCGGTACGTCAGCCTTCACAAGGGCAAAGTGGGACGCAGCGACGTACCGAACTCGGCGGCGATGAGCAAGCCGACAAGAACAGTCAGGTACCAATTCTTCCTGCTCACTGTGACTAGGTTCAGTACTGAGCACCACCATACGCATGGAAAGCCACTCACGCCTGTAGATGCGCACAGCAAAGAAGCACTGCACGAGGAGACCAGTGACGGCTTGGACGACCACCTCAACGATGATCGTGCTGCACAGAGCACAATGGTTCGCAATCGAGATAGTCTTAGGGTGATATCAGATAGCTTACGGTGCAAGCCTAGTCAGAGCGGCAGGTTGGCCGTAGTGGGTAACCAGATACCAATACACTTTGGGCGTGTGAGCGACAGCTTATGAAATGATCGAGTGAGGCGACTTACGCGCATGGGAAATGAGGACTTGGTGAACCGTATCCGATGCCCAGACCCCGACTACGAGCAACTTCATGTACATCGGGTCGCGGGAATAGCGTGAGAAGTAGAAGTACATTTGCGAGCAAGAGACTGCAAGGGCAGAGTGTGAGGCACAGATAGCGGAAACAAAGGACAACCTACGAACCTCCGTAGAGACTGTGTGCGAGGAGAGGAATGATTAACCACCGTTGGCTTCGATGAAAGGAGACCACAGAAGACTTACACCCCGGCGATGAGGACTCCAATGACGAGCATACCCATGCTACGAAAAAGTGAGCAGACGGAAAAGGAAGAAGGTGGGAGCAGCGCACGTTTCGTCGAGGAGCGTCATGGCGAAGTGAACATCCAAGAGAGCTTTTCAGATGGAGAATGGAGGCAGAGAACCGGACGTGACAGCGAGGGGGGCCAGTGTGCAGTCTAGGGAGCGGGCGACGCGGGTATTTCTATGCATTGGCCTGGGACGCATGGGGAGGCCAAGGGTGTGGTGTTGAGCAGGGCGACGCTCTTCCAGAGGCGATCTGACGGCGGGCCATATTTCGATCAGCTCATGGCAGAGAGAACGGGAACGGACGAAAGTCAGCCTAGTCGCCAGCGCGGGTGTGCAGAACGGAAGATCTGGCGGCCATGTGGAGGGATGACGTTTCTACCGTCGCCAGGGGAGAACGGCGAAAAGCAACAGTACTCAGCGGAATGCGGATCCGACGCATTTGGCACAACGGTCAGGAACACAAAAGCTGATGTGCACGGTGTGGAAGGCACGGAAGAAAGTCGAGAAGGCGGAGCAGTACTGTGCTCTGTTGAGCCCGGGTGGCAGACTGGGGAACGCGGTTGGGGGACGAAGGAGCTGGACTCCTGTGATTATTCGATGACAAGCAGAGGACGACAAATGTGTGGGGACCACGGTGGATCAAGAGCAAACGCGTACTTGGCGTCGACGAGCAACACGACGCGCGCCTTAACGATGACGCGCCGGCCAAATAGAGCCATCGGGATCTGCCGCGAAGCTTAAACAGCCGTTTTCATTCTCTCGCTCGCGGGATGGCGTCTCAAATAAGTACGTGGGTATTAATACTAGCCTTGGGACACAACATACCCCGCAAGGCAATCTGAGCAGCGGGGATCCCACGCACGGCGCCGGCCTTGGTTTCACACAGCTGTAGAACAATGCTATAGAACATATCAAATGTTATTTCACGGGTATCTACGGCGGAAGTTGCCACTCGGGCGGTTAGAAGCTTACCTTCGAGGTTCTTGACGCGGGCGAAATTCACTTCCTCTAGGAGCATGAAAATGTCGAGAGGCAAGACTCTCAATAACCCAGAGCCAGTGCGCTGACGAGCCGGTCCAGTCTCGGAGTTCAACCGTTCACGTGACTTGACCGCCTCCACCGACCACCTAGTCTCCCGTAGGCAGCCCTTCCCGACCACCTGCTTCAAGGCTCCACAGGATCGGCGTTACTGTGGAAGGAGAAGGGGAAGTGTGTTGACGGAGGCAAATAGTCCAGATTTGGGGATATGCGGAAAGCTTGCTCTTGTTGTGATCGCTCCCCTAGCTCGCAACCAATACGCAACTACCCGGAGCCTTGAACGCGAAGAACACATCGCACGCACAAGCAGGGCCATGATACACAAGATCGCTTCTGTGATACAGAGCTATCGGCTACGGAGGGTACAGATGACAGACCGGTCGGCATTATTCTACAGGATTGTACATCCGCTTCGCACGTGCCTCTACCGCGGCATGGGGCGTGGGCCTCCTGGATCACGCGCTGTTTGCACGTTTTCGAGCGTACTGCACGAAGTCGTCGAAAGTGGACGGCCAAGCACCTGAAAGAGCATGCGGATAAGTATCGGGTGGCGGGGCAGCAGGCCACAGCTGAGCGCACGTACCCTCCTCGTCGTACTTTGTGAACTCGGAGTCGATCGTCCGCACAAACTCCAGGAACTGTGGGCGACCGCATGAGCCGTCTTGCCACAGGCCGAGAGCGGAGGGAATGCTCACCATCTGCCACACGTCCTTGCTCACGCCCTTGGTCCCGCTCGAGACGAGGTACTCGAACCACCAGGTCGTGTGTTCGTCTGCCCAGCCGTCCTCCCCGCTCGCGCTCATCTCCTGGTCGCCGTCGTCGTCCCGATCGTCTGCCGACATGTGCGAGAGCGCGCCCCCGTGCAGGCCGATGGGAATCAGCAGCTGCCAGAAGCCCTGCGCGAGGTCCAGACCTATCGTACGAGGTCAACACGGGGGAAATAACCGCGGGGACTGGAGCACGCACCCAGAGAACGCTGTCCAGGCGGTCGAGAGAACTCGAATGTGTAGTTGTATACGTTCTTGAAGTAGTCCGCGTCCTGCGCGAGCTGCTGCTTCAGCGTTGATAGCTGCGCCTTCATCGTGGGGATGGTGTCGACGCTGTGAGGGACGATACGGCTGAGGATGGGGACGTGCAGACGCTTCATGTGAGACTCACCCTAGCGCTTTCCAACCGTCCACCCATCCTGACCTACTCCACTGACCCATCGACGGTGACTTCAGCTCGTACGCAACAGCGAGCAGTACGACGTCCTCTGGATCCACGCCGAGGTCCTCGCAGAACTTGATCGTTCCCTCGACTGCGATATCGTCGCCGTCGGGATCTGGTTGACGGAAGATATGCGCTGTTAGGGCTCGGGCACGAGACATAGGCTACCGAAAGTGGATGCTCACCCTTGTACTTGTCAAAGAGCGCGTTCAGCTTCGTTGTCGAAGCAGAACTCTTTGGGGGCGGCGTGTTGTTGTAGAAGGCATCGACGGCGGTATCGAGTCGCCTGTACTTGGTGAGGTACTTCTTCGCCTCCTTGGTGCTGCCCGTGGGAAGATATGCGCACAATCAGCATGTGTGTAAAGATGCGCGAATGGGCACTTACGACGCGCCGGTAATAGTGGCGAACTGAGCGATCTGAGAATCCATCCTTGGTTGGTTCCCACTAGACTGTATGTAGGATCGTCCGCGTTCGGGAGGATTATGGGGTTGCGTGGAGGTCATGTTCGGATCAGAAGCACCGATGGTCCCATGAAACCGAGCCAGGGGTATGGCAAGAGGATGTGGATGGGCGAGCGGTAGATTAGCGGACAGGTGCCAGACCGAGAGCAGGTTTGAGACTGACCGTCGGTGGGAGTGGGGCGGAGGTGGAGATGAAGGCTTGAGCGGGGAGCGATAGAGGAAGGTGAGGCTGCGAGCGCGAAGGCTGCGAGGACGGCGAGGACGGATGGAGAAGGGATGGTGGTAGACGAGGACGAGTCCAGGTTGGGAGATGGGCGGGAACGGGAGTAGTTGTGGCAGCAGCGGGGAAGGAGTTTGCCGATCTAGCGCACGTCATCGCCGGAGGTGTCCCTTCGCTTGTCAGAATTGGTTCTCGTCTCGTGCTCCCACAATCCTCGCGTTTGCTGACAAGGCTATGTGAAACTGCTCTGGGCTGCTCGAGTCTCACATATGTCCCCAGCCGCTCCTCGGACATCGCTCGTTAACGGTCTGCGATGCTCATGCTCTCGGTCCTCTCGGTGTCTACAAAATCACGCTGCCTCCGCGTGGATAGGATATTCGTTCGATGACGGTTTCGGGGACTCGGGGAGCTTGGCTGGCCGTCGTTGGGGCACAGCGTTTGGCCCGCGCCAGGCACGCGTGCTCGAGCGGGGGCGGGGCGGGACGCGGCGGTGCCATCGTCCATCACGACTACAGTAACACCGAGGCCGACACCCGCATGTCCCCTCCATCTTACCTCTCACTTTTCCACCCTCCCTCTACCCTCACGACGTCTCACAGCTCTTGCATCTCCTTCTCGCGCGCCCATGTCCATGCCTCGACCTCGAATACGCTCTTGACAATAGACAACACTGACGTCAATTTACTGTCAATCCACAGTATGCGAACACCCAGGACTTCATTTCCTCTGCGGCCGCTGCTGCCGTCCAAAACCTCCTCCCTCGATTTTTCCCAATCGCTCTCGGAATCACGACGGGGCAAAAGTGGAATTACGAGTATCAGTTTACGGGTGCGTACTTCGTCTCTCTTCCACAGCCACCCTCCCTCAATCGCCGTTTGTTCGATCGTTCTCCGTCTGCTCCCGCGCCCTCCCACCACGCAGGCACGCAAGTCACCGTCTACGGCGCCGTCATCCCCTGGATCTCTGGCCCATTGGCGGCAGCTAAGTACACTGTCGACGGCGCGAACCAAAACGTATTTTCCATCCCGAACGCGACCGTCTCCCAGATCGACATCGTCTTCTATCAGTCCCCCACACTCGCGTATGGCACGCACACCCTCACCGTGAACGTCACCGACGCGTCCTCCACCGTGCCGTACCTCCTCGACTATCTCGTAATCTCGCGCCCGAAACGACTACCGACACTAATCTAGCATAACAACCTCGAACGCGCCAGCGCGACGGTGAATACGATCTCGACCTCGAGCAACGCGGGCGCGACCGGCTCTCCGCACGTAACGGTCGAAGGAGATACCACAGGACCCTCGAGGCCGTCGACAGGCGTGATCGTGGGCGGCGTCGTGGCGGCGTCGCCCTCCTCGCCGCGATCGCGATCACCCTCTACTGGTGGTTCTTCCGGCGACACCGCAAATTCTACGGCCGCTCCGCGTACGCGTACGGGCGCCCGGGCAGTATGGTGCGTCCCCCCTCCCTTCTCGCTCTCGCGCTTGTCCATCTCCACCGCCGCTGCTCACGCGGGCCCTGCGCAGACGGCCCCGCGATCCTCCAGACTCGTTTACGACGCAGCACGAACCGTTCGGCTCTCAACGTACCCTAACGTCTACTCCGATGCATCCCACACTCCGCGCCCTTAGTCCCTCCCCAGTCGACGTACGCCGCGGACGACCGCCCGCTGTCGCATATGACGACCCATTTGCTCCCCCAAACCGCCGGGGCAATCATAACGTTTGCCGCCGCCGCCATCTCCGTACCCCAAAAGTGCCGCCCATCACACCACCACCGACCCGCCTCACGCACGAAATGCCGCAAAGTCTCTACTCTGGCGCTGCCGCGTCTTTGTACACCGGCTCCGGTGCAGCGCTCGCTGCTAATGCCTTCGCCGGCGCATCCTCCGCGTCCGCGTCTGGGTCGAGCGCGGCTGCGCCGCCGCCGACCGCGAGCGCGCCGTCAAGTTCGAGTTCGCATTCGAACTCTCGCGCGACCGTGGTCTCGAGCGCGGCACGCGCCAAGGCCGCGGAAGCGGCCGCTGAGTCCGCGGCGGCGGCCCCGCGCGCCCGAGGCCCATCCCTGATGGTCGTGAACCCTGCGACAGCACCAGACGATTCTGGGGCGCTGCTCAGCCGCGCGACGACGATAGTGCCGCCACCGTACTCGCCATGAGTGGCCGATTCTTCCTGACCAAGTCTCGACTATTATTGATCCATTGATTGGACCTGTATCCCGTAGACTGTACTGTAATTCGGGCGCGGACTTCCCTGCCGTATTTATACGTTTATATGCTCTGCTCACGCGACATACGCATAGTACAGTACGCATGAATCTATTTGAACATACGCATACCTCCCCAGCACACACATTGTTGTTTTTTCCCGCCACCGCTTCTTCTACTTATATAGCTACATAGTAGCTACTGGCCATTACGACTTCCCATGAACTGATGACGTTGATTCCATCACCTCAGACCCGTGCTGCCACTGCGCCCACACCCTGGTCAGACTGGTGTATATGCGTTTCAAGCGCGAGGAACGCATTGCATTGCAGTGTCATTCGAAGCCCGGTGCGTCATCGCCCTTTCATATGAAGACGATTCTGCGCGCCAACTCACGCATTCACACCAGTGGTTACGAACATTGCGCTGCTCCCGCTCCGTGTGTCCGCGATAGCGCAGGCTCGCCTGTAAGGACGGCATGTGCAACGAAGGGGTTCGCAGGAAACGTCAAACGGAAGCCAGACCACAGTGATACATTATACAAGCTCAGTGGCATTCGCGGGGATCCGTTGCAACCGACGCGAGGGACTCATGGACCCTCTGTTTACCGCCTCTACGCAACCTTGATCACTACCTTTCCGACATGCTTCCGGCCGCGCAGGTGCTCGTAAGCCTCCGCGGCGTGCTCGAAGTCGAAGACTTTGTCCACAACTGGCTTGATCTTAGCCGCGCTGATCAGCTTGTTCATGTCTTCGAACCTAGAGCCGTCATCCACCTCAGTGTCAAGGAGCTTCATGCGGTCGTCTCAAAGGAGAAGTGCGTACTGCGTGCGAGACCCTATCATGATCCTGCGGAGGTTGATGCTTCTTCCAGGGATGTAGAATGGTACGTTGTTCCCCGTCTTCAGATACTAAATCGCGCTTCAGTGAGCTCAAGTACCCCGAACCACAATGCAGCAGCCGTCACTCACGTCAGAGGCGCCGACGAGGTCAACGGTGCCACCCCACGCGACGCAGTCCATGGACTTCATGATGGTGCTGAGACCGCCGGTCTCGATGACGTGCTGCACGCCCTCTCCGCCCGTCACCTTCATGACTTCCGCGTCCCAGTCCGGTGTCGTCTTGTAGTTGATGAGGTGCGTGGCCCCCAACGCTTTCGCGACCTCAGTTTCTTGTCTGACGATGAGGTTGCGATCACCACGGCGCCCGACGCGACCGCGAGCTGGAGCCCGAAGATGGAGACACCCCCAGTGCCCTGGACGAGCACGAAGTCGCCGCCCTTGATCGGGTTCGAGCCCATGAGACAGTTGTACGCGGTGACGGCGGCGCAGGGAGTGTCGTCCCTTCCTCGTAGCTCAGGTGCTCCGGGATCCTCACGAGGACTGTCAGTGCGAGGACGGTACGTGGTTAGCATACGGTGCTCTGCAGTTTTTGAGACGCATTGCTTACATGCGCGGGCAAGACCCTGTACTCCGCCAGCACGCCGTCGACGCCGCCACTGAGGACGCTGTTGATGATGACGCTGTCGCCTCGCCGAAGACGTGGTCGGAGGTGAAGTTGGCGCAGACACGCTTACCGTAGTCCATCCGGTCACTTCAGCGCCGAGGGCGACGATTTCCCCGGCCATGTCGGATGCGGCGACGACGTCCGGCTTGAACGACCACGGGTAGCTATAGGTACCGTCGGGCATCATCACGTCGCGGAACTGGAGACGGGAAATGGGTCAATCCTCGAGCGCACAAGGACGCGATATGGGGTGCGTACGTTCAACGAAACCGCATGAATCTTGACGAGCACTTCGGTGGCCTTCGGCTGTGGAATCGCAGCAGAGGCGAGGACCAACTTGTATTTAAGCCCGTCGGTCTGTCATTCGCGATGAGAATGGACTGCGTCGTCACAACGAAGGGCTTGTACGCACCTTCTGGAGAACATACTGTCCGGTAGTGGCTGGAGCGACCATGGTGGTTAATTTGTTTGTCGGATGAAGTGATTCGGAATGAAAAAGCTGAGAGAACTATCGACTCCTGCTTGCCCCAGCCTAGATTTTATAGCATATGTGTTTCCCGGTCGTCGGCCATGCTCATACATTACCTCACCCTCGTTTCCGAGTTCTTTGCGGCGAACTTGCTGACTCAGATGTGGCCTTATTGAGGTGGGATGCAGTCCAAAACTTCTCATGGTGTTTTCTCACGAGGTGCAGGAAGAAGAGTCATGCCGTCTGCCATCGCAATGCCTTTCCTTTCCGTCCGATCCGCTTATGGGGGAAAGGTCCGGTCCCGGATATCGACCCGATCGGACCCAATGGTGTTCTGCCGTTGCGTTTTGACTCTTCGTAACATCCTTGGACGGCGAACTGAGTGGATATGAACCGCGGGTCTCCTCGCAGAATCGCCATACAACCAGAGCGGCCTCCCGGGGTGACAAACGGAGATGTGATTCAGTCTGGTGAACAGACCTCTTCTTGGGAAGCCTGTGTGATCCGCCGTCCGAGGGACCTGAATGTTGGCAGACTCCCGCAACAGCCGAAGTCGGCGGCAGCATGTAAAGTGAAGGGTCATAGAAAAAGGCGTGAGCCAATTGATAGAGACGTTTCCGCACGAAGCATAAGAAGAAAGAACAGATTCCCGGAGGAGCGCCTTCACATCTCCGTGACTCGCCCCGCCTCGCCCGTCGTAACTGGAGACCCTAGTGGCCCGAGCGTGAGAAAATGACATAATCATGTGCGGTTTTACTGAACCGAGCTACCTGGGCGCTGGGCCGCTATTGTTCCCTGTCGCTCTGGTGCAAATGCGTTGTTCATCGAACAAAGAACACACACCCACGACGAATGTCGCAAAACCAAAAAAGAAAGGCCGGGGTCTGCATCGTGGACAACTAGGGCAGATGATGGCCCTGCCCGTCGAAGTCTTTCTGGAGGTTTGCGCCGTCACCAGGGTGTCGTCGATACGCCGCCGTTGACATCTTTGTATGCAGATACTGACGCGATTTCACCCACTCGACCTACTTACCCTCACGCGTGTTTCAAAAGAGTTGCGACGAAATCTCCTCTCCTCGCGCCTCAAATGGTTATGGGCTGCCTCCTTGCGGGGGCTGGAGCCACTTCTTCCGCAATGGCCTGACGATATTTCTGAGCCAGCACTGGCGTCCCTTGTTTTTGAAGCGTACTGCATGGTATGAGCTTCATAATATCCAGCAGGTGAAGACTGTACTCATTTTTTGACTAGAAATGCCATAAACTCGGCGGTTGTCAGCGCGAACTTGGTCTACTAGTTTGCTATTCCACCATGAAGCGACTCTGTGAAGAATGCTGGAAAACACAGTGAGCGATATTGACGGTTAATATGATGAATATGCTGAATCCCCTGCTGTAGGATGATATCAGGATATTCAATTATTAGAAGAAGGTCCGCACTCTGCCAGGAACTATCAATCTCGTCCCCGCTTCGTATGCGTGCCGGAGCCCTGCACTTTATCCACCGTCTATATCAATGCAGATTACAGGAAATTCCCGTTCACCGAAGTAAACCAAGACGCAAGCGAGCTGTTCTACGCACCTGAGTTCGACGAGGTCATCAGTCGTGTATCGGACTTGCGTCAAAACCACTTGCAGTAGATGTGACAACTACATGGCTGAGCGCAAGTCTTACACTCTAAGAAGGTTGAATGTGCGTAAGGAATTAGAAATTTCACGCAATGTTACTTACCTCACAGCATGGCGTCTCCAGTTCCATCGAGCCATGGAGAACTGGGAGGTCGACCGATTCGACGCTGAACGCCGTCTGCGCCGTTCGACGTGGTATACCCATGTGATACGCTTCACGTCCGCTCATCATGTATTCTCAGAATCCTACGCAAATTGTCAGCCCTCGGTTATTCACCGCAAGACCTTCCTGTTCAGTCCGCAAAGTCACGGCTATTTTGTCTGAGCCAAAACCTTTAACTGACCAAAGTACGTCTCCTCTGTGCTCGCGCATTCCCCGGGAGTTCCACTAATCGCACTGCAGCCTGGAGAATGATCCGGACCACGCTCGTGAACATAATCGAGAAAGAACGGGCGATAGTGCAAGACGCGGCCTTTTTCGACCGCTGGTTTGCCCATATCAAGCATTTCCGCGACGCCTACGAGGCGTTTCTTGAGAATGGCCGCGATGCACAGTCCTGGAAGCGCACGATGCCGCACTACCGCGACGCGATCAAGTTACCCGTGGTGCGCGCCTTGCTCATCAGCGTCGCGCCGGACAGGTACCTCCCTATCGAGAAGCATGAACAACTCCTCACGGGCAAGATCAACGAAGCCGCCGAAGTCTATCGCAAGAGGATTCGTCATGATCTCGCGACGGCGTGGCGGGCGACCCGGGATGATGGCGATTTACCACCTTCCATGAATCGCGCCTTTGACATACGATGCTTAGTCCCGAGTATACACCACCGCCCCTCCGCGTGGGACTCCAAGGCAGATTCAGACGCGATTTCGCCCCCACCCTCCGACTCAGACCCAGACGGGGATCCAGACGCAGAGCACTCAAGTTCGGACTCGGACTCGGACTCGAACCACGACGAAGACACCGTGAACCACACAGCAGACCTCGCCCTGCTCGAGCGACCGACGACGCTTTTCCGCTGCGACGAGCGCTTCTGCGGCGGCTCCCACTGGACCTCCCATCACGGCTACCTCGAGCACCTGCAGACGCACGCAGCGGTGTCTGGTTCGATACGCCCGGGTCGTGCGTCGACAACGTGCTCACCGCAGATCCACCGTGCGCGCCCACGTTCTCCGAGTGCTCGACGCCCTCGGTCTGCCAGCGGATAGGACGACAGCGAGCGAGCTGCATGGCGCTCTCGCGAAACTCAGTGAGGGCCGAGAGCCGCGGTGCGCGTGTGGCCAGAACGAGTACTTCGAGCCGAAGAGGTTCAAGGGGATGTTTGGCGCCCTGGTGAGTGTTCGTCATTGTGGACGTCTGCCTCGGATTGGACGCTAAAGTGGGTCTGCACACAGCTCGTACATGTTGGCTTGAGTGGGTGCGAGTTCATTCCTCACTCGGTGTTTCCGAATCGGTTGCTGATCTGTGATACCTAACTTCAGGTGTCACCAGTTCACTTTTGTCGAAACAGACGAGCAGGAAACGCGTTTTGTGCCGGAATAAGAAACTTGAACAGACGTGTATGTGCCAAAGGCGAGATGAAGAGACAGTACAGAACGGGGGAGCGAATGTACATGTACTATACATGCTCACTGTCGATGAGTGATACTGCGTTGGTCAACTGGACGGTCTACCGAGCAAGGAAAAGGTGTCTTGAACAAAGCACTCTTTTTCGTCATAAACATAAGTACGCTGGTGGAATAGGGAAGATACCGATTTTCGACTCGGCTACTCCCATTCACCAAAGGTCATCCCCCCATCTCAGCAACCATGATGCATGAGGACGGCCCGCATATGCGCAAGCCTGACACATAAAGTAGTTTTTAAGTCTAGAAGTTGTGCGCAGTCAGCTTGCAAGCGGGAAAGACGTGTCCTAGCCTTCGGTATTGCCAATGCCCCGTGGAATGGAGCAGTGAAGGACAGCACAGCCCTCCGGTGGTCTTCAGAGAGTCATACATACTGGGATCATGGCGGTGTCGAGCATAGCGAGCTCGCCCTGAGCGGCCCGCGCCAAGGGCCGCCCGGCACAGGCCCACGCTGGCGCCCACGTCTCCGACGTTGCCTCCGTCGTCCACCACATCGCGCTATCTCGGGCCTTCACTGCGCCCAGTAGCCTCAAGGCTCCCTATCATGGCCTCCGACTACATCCCGACCCGTGTCTTCCTTGCCGCCGAGCCCACCGAGTCCGCCACCATCCCTGAAGAAGAGGAATACTACTCATCATGGTCGCTCTTCCTCGTCTGCATGCTCCTCGTCATCTCCCTCTGGACATCCTACTACCTGCAGATCAAGCGGATTCGTGCCATCCATGAAACTCTTGTCGCTATTGGTGCTGGGATGGTCGTGGGCTTGGTGGTCCGGCTAGCCCCCGGTACTGAGATACGAGGAATGCTGGTGAGTGATGCTGTTGTGTCTCGTCATGAAGGAGAACGGCGGTAATGGGGCGTGAACGTGTGGTTGGGAGGCTGAGACATCTTCTGGGGGCAATGGTTGGGTATATGCACTCGTTGGTCCTGCCTTGAGATGCGCTATCCACATTGTTCCCAGGATCGTTACTTCTCCAGCTGAGATCATGTCAGTTAGGCAGGTTGTTTGTCATGTTCTGCGCCGGTCCGTTCAACCTTCAGCCCAGGGCCTACTCGAGCTGAAGGTTGTAATGTATCGTTTCTCCTCGGACCCCCGCCAACCTAGTCATGGTTTTGTCCATTAGTTTCGTTGTGGCCGTAGGGATTCAGCAGCTGTTGTGGCATGGGCAGCGCGGTATGGAAGTGGGCTGGCGTATCCCATGTTTGTGCCCGACGGGGTGGACAGTGCTGGGTCGTGTATCGAGAGAGGGATCGTGGTTCATACTTCAATATTTCTGCCCAACGTTCCGGCGACCGCCGTCTCGCCTTGTGGTTTCACCCTCAATGTTCCAGTCATAGACTGACATTGTTTTGCGATGCAGACGTTCAAACACACATTGTTTTTCAACCTACTCCTCCCTCCCATCATCCTCAACTCAGGGTACGAATTGAAGCAAGAGAACTTCTTCCGCAACTTCGGATCCATCCTAGTGTTCGCATTCCTCGGAACGTTTATCTCAGCTGTAGGAGTAGGGTATGTCACTTTTTCGGCGTCTTTCATTTATGGGGGGCTGCGTTGACCACGTACAGTACAGAATTATCGTCTTCATTTGGTCCTCGCTAGGACTGGAGTCCCTCGGACTGTCCTTGATTGAGTGCCTGATTTTTGGGTCAACACTATCCGCCACCGACCCGGTAACCATCCTTGCCATCTTCAATCAGTACAAGGTGGACCCCAAACTGTACACCGTCATTTTCGGTGAATCTCTTCTGAACGATGCCGTCAGTATCGTTATGTACGAGTGAGTGACAGCGTCTTTTCCTTGTTCTCCCTCTCTGCTGACACCAACTAGAACGCTGTCGCAGTTCCACGGCTCGGATTTCTCCGTTTCGCACCTGTTCCATGGTACCGGCATCTTCTTGCTCTCCTTCGGGATCTCCATGGCTCTCGGGGTTGTCTTCGGCCTCGCGATGTCCCTTCTCCTCAAGCACTCCTCCCTGTCCCTCTACCCATCGATCGAAACGTGCCTCGTCGCGCTCTGCGCGTACATGTGCTACTTCTTTTCGAACGGCATCTCAAAGTCGGGCATCGTCTCGCTCCTCTTTTGCGGAATCACCCTCAAACACTACGCCTATCACACGATGTCCCGGCGAACGCAGCGAGCAACAAAATACATCTTCTCCACCCTCGCGCAGCTTTCGGAAAACTTCATCTTCATCTACCTCGGCCTCTCGCTCTTCACCAGCCCGCCGTCATCCGCAAAGGTCACCAGCTACGTCAAGCCCCTATTCATCATCGTCACCACGGTAGCGGTCGTCTTCACTCGCTACGCCGCAGTCTTCCCACTGTCCGAGATGATCAACCTCTTCCACCGTCACGCGCGTGGGCAGCGGCAAGAGGAACTCCCGCATTCGTACCAGATGATGCTGTTTTGGGCCGGTCTGCGCGGTGCCGTGGGGGTGGCGCTCGCTGCGGGCTTCCAGGGTGAGAACGCGGAGTCGATGCGGACGACGGTCCTCGTTGTGGTCGTCCTAACGGTTGTCGTGTTCGGTGGCACGACGGCGCGGATGCTGGAAGTTCTTGGGATCCGGACAGGGGTAGAAGATGATGAAGCGGGCAGCAGCGACGAAGAAGAAGATATCCGGAGCCAATTCTTCCGACGCACCGGCCGGTGGTCCCGCATACCCGAGGACGATGCGGGCTACTTCTCGGAGCACTCTCGCACAAGGCGCGGCGTCGGCGTTGGCGTTGGCGTCGGCGCTGGTGTCGGCGCTGGTGCCGTTGTCGGCGTTGAAGACCTCAGCTACAACCACCACTCGCAACACATGCCCTTCAGCGCCCGGCCGCGCAGAGCAACACGCTCTTCTCCGCCGCATCCTCCGATTCCTATGACTCGGACGGCGGCGAAGTGCTCCCACTCGCGCCGGCCGCGACGGACAGTCCGCGGCGCAAGTCGCGAGACGATGGGCCCGCCGGCCTCTCCACGTCCGCCGCGGCGTCGACCGAAGACGGGAAGTGGTTCCAGGCGCTGGACGAGCGGTATCTGCTCCCGTTGTTCTCGAACGCGACCGCGAGCCGCTCGTTCCACGCGCGGCGCGCACGGCGCTCGCAGGCCGCGTCGCCGCAGGCCGGTGCAAGCCAGGGCGGGAGCCGCGTGGAGAGCGACGACGAGCTCGACGACGGGCCAGAGGTCGACCTCACCGCGCCGCGACCAACGAGCACGCACCACCCGTTCCCACCCACGCCGGGCGTGCGCGACGAGGTGCGGAACGAGCGCGGGCTCGGGAGCCCTGTCCTCCGCGGCCCGCGGGATAGCGAGGGGCAGAGCCGCGATCGGGTGTCGTGATCACGTCCTAGACCTGGGAGGCCGCGGCCTTCCTGGAGGCGTGCTGGAGGACGCTTTGTGCAAGAGAGGAGGACCGAGCCCGAAGGGGCAGGCGCGCGGGGACATGCGCTTCATATTCGCTACTTGTAGTAATCTCGCGACGTAACAGGACAGCTTTCTTACCTCGCCGTTCTCGGTTTCGACGATCGTTCACCGCGTTGGAGACTGCTGCAGATTGCCGGCCCCAACTTCGCAAGCTTCTTATGGCCCACGACGAACACATGTGCTCCGAACGCGTGCAAGTTTACGGAATGCGAGCCCGAAGAAGGCCCAACCCCGCAATTCGACCTCCCAGAGCAACGCCAGTGTTCCACCGATGAAGCCCTGGCGGAAGGTACTACATGCGGGGGAAGGCTCGAAGACTCGAAGTCGAACGGTGAAGATCGCCCTCTCCTCTTTTGGCGCCGGTCCGATGTTCCGTGCGCTCGTTTCACCGCTCGCGCAGCTGTGCTCCGACGGGGTCCCGCAGCCGGCGTCGGCACGGGGCGCATCAATTCTGTGGTCTCTTCTGAATATGTTCTGTCCTACTAACGCAACCTTACAAACCGAAGTCGCAGCGCCGTGGAGATGACTCAGCTGCAGTAGAGAAGGCAAGAAGCATGCCTGCAAGGAGCGCATTTCACACCAGACCTCCCGGCCACCGCTTGACTCAGTTGGCGGCCTGAGTTTTTTCCACCGGCCCGGCGCTCTGATGGGTGCAGCTGACGACCTGGGCGTTGGGAGAGAACCAGTGGACGGTGACACGAGTCGTAGGCTCTAATTTTTCTTCGTCCCCGACCAATGGTTGACGTCAAAATCACTTCCCCAACAGCCCGCCCGCAACATGCTGCAAAGCCCAGAACGGCCGCGTGCGAGTCACGAGTAAGCAGGCGGGCAGGGGCAGGCCCGCCTCCCGGTTGCCTCAGCCTCCGACGCCCGCCATGGAGGCGTGCGTCGTTGATTGGCCGCGCTGCCGCGGAGAAGAGCGACACTGACTCTGTTATTTAGCCGCGGTCCGCGAGGACTCGAAACATTCCTTCCGTGGACCCCCTCCCCACGTCCCCCCTCCATCTCCCTCGTCGCGTCCCCACGATGGATACTCCCGGTCTGAGAAGACATTCGTTGGCCATGGCACGAAGGGTAGCAAGGACAAGGTCGGCATGTTCTCCGCCGCGACTTCCGTAGCACCGTCCATCTACGAGAAGGGCTCCGACGCCCAGGGTCCCACCGCAGAGGACCTACTCGACGTCCCGCCCGACGGCGGCCGCGGTTGGCTCGTCGTTCTCGGCTGCGTTATCTACTCCGGCGCAACCGTCGGATGGGGGTATGTGCTTATGCTCATGTGCGCCGAATGTCGAACCGCATCCTCACCTGAACCCGTTACCGCCCGTCGCGTCCTCGTCAATGCCGTCCGTGACTCGTTCGCGGAGCAAGGCTTGTGAGCAGTGGACATACCTGCCCGATCCACTAGTCTCCCCGTTTGTGTACTCACCCCACGCCAGGTCTGGGGAGTGACGGAGGAATACCTCAAGGCCCATGTTTTCCCCGACGCCTCAGACGCTCTCCTCAGCACACTCGGTAGCATATCCGGTATGGTGAGTACCTTTCCTCAGGTGGTTAATAGAGTTCATCCGCTGATGCCGCTGTCAGACTATGACCCTGCTCAGCGTCATTCCTGGGAAGCTCGCAGATCGCTAGTACGTCTCTCCTCCTGCGGATTTCATACAATTGACGCTGATCCGCGCCGCAGTGGTTATAAGGTGTGTGGGCTGCTCGTGGTGCCACCGCGATCGACACTGATCCTTCTAACAGCCTTTCTTGGCCATGGCAGGCGTGCTGTGGACGCTTTCCATGCTACTATGCGCGTTTTCGACACAGCTTTGGCACTTTTTCGTAGTCATGGTGCGTTCGCCTCGTGGATCGATGCAACCGGGCTGGTCTCATCACCATCGTTCTTGCAGGGCTTGGTGCAAGGCATCGCCAACGCCCTTACCTTCCCCCTGATCGTACGTGCCGGTCGTTCCTAATGACTCCATGCAACCTCTCATATTTCGGTCGTCTGTAGGTCGCGTTGCCGTCACAGTGGTTCCTGAAGTATCGTGCGCTAACGACCGGCATCGTGGTCGCGGGCAGTTCAGTCGGTGAGCCCGGTCTTGCGCCGTATGCAGCTTGCCCGTTTCTGACGAAACGTCAGGGGGTGGCGTGTCCAGCCTGGTGTTCCGCGCGTTGTTGACCAAGCTCGGCCTCCGCAACGCGTTCCTCATCTACACCGCCATCGACGGCGTGCTTCTTCTCGCTGCGTACTTCATGATCTCCGAACACCGTAATAAGTCACAACGAAAGCCGATCATCTGGTTTGACAGGTCGTTTTTCATTGACCCCGTGTTTTGGAGTCTGGGCGGCTGCTTCTTCTTCACTGTGTTGTACGCGTCTCCGTGCCTGTCATGACTGGACGTCGCTTTAACAAGCGCTTCACAGTGGTTATCTTTCTCCAATCTTCTTCCTCCCGACCTACGCCAAGGCGAGGATCCCGAATCTTTCTCCCTTGGTAGGCTCGTCCTTTGTCGGCGAAACCTATATCCACTGATTGCACTCACCAGCTTGCGACGGCTCCCATAACGGTACTCAACTTTGCCGCTGCCTTCGGTCGCACCCTCGTTGGCTTCATGGCCGACCGCATCGGGCCCGTGAACTCGCTTTGGATCGTTGTCATGCTCTCTGGGCTCACTCAACTCCTGGTATGGACGTTCGTGTCCACCTATGCAGGCATTGTACGCACTGGCTCCTCTCCTATCCTGTGTTGTGTCCCTCCTGCCGAGGGCCCGCTTACGATTTCTCTGTTTGGTTTTCTCTCTCTTGCGCCTGTGCACCTGACTACAGATTTCCTTCGCTGCCATATACGGCTTCGTCTGCGGCTGTTTCCTGTCGCTTTCCCCTGCCGTATGCGCCCAGCTGTACGGCTCGGGAAGGCTCGCCGGCCTCTCGGGCCTGATGTTGCTGTTCAACCTACCCGGTATGTTTGTTTCTTCTGCTGTTCCCTCTGTCAGTAGTCTCACCGGACTCTGTGCGTTTACAGGTAACGGCGCGGGAGCCCCGATCGGTGGTGCTATTCAGAGCGCGACGGGCAGCTGGCTCGCCGTGTCGCTCTACTCTGGCGCACTGCAGATCGCTGGAGCCGGGGTGCTCTTGTACGGTAAGACTGCACTCCATTTCTGCATACCCTTCATCTCTGACGATCCATCCCTCTCAGCCCGGTTCAAGAGAGAACCAAAGGTATTCGCTCGCTACTAACAGCCCACCTTCGCTCGCTCGGCGGCATGGGCACCGCGCCGGCGATTCGCATCCTGCTGCGCCCGCTCTCGTCCTCGGTCTTTTACGTCTCCGTCCACGTCTGCCCGTCGTCACGCTTTCGTTCCGCTCTCGCTCTTGCTTCCTCGCATCTTGAAAATTCGCCGCCGCACGCGCGGCGCGCATTGATCATATACAGGTGACAGACTCACGGCCTCTCCGACCCCTACGAACACCCCACGAACCTAATAGAATTTAGACGGCCTTAGTGCCGAGCCCTCCGCTACACGTATTCACGTCCTGACTCCGCTGGAAGAGCCATCATTGTACGACACACTATGTAGTATCACTAGATCTCTCATATTCTCTCGTTCCCCGTCCCATACAGTGACTCCGGTTTTGTTTCAATATTTGGGTTTTCCTCTCCTTCCACAAACATTTCTCATGTCCTCCATCATCTATCTGATACATATAATCAGATACATATAAGGCTTTCCTCTCTGGCGTGTCATGACTTGGAAGGAAAAAGTAGGATCCGAAGCATGGTCGCTGTTTTATGTAAGTGATGAGCATGATCTCCCTAATGCCAGGCGCAGAGCGGGCGTGAGCCGATGTCGCCCATTTAGCGCCCGTCGTGCTTATATATCACGATTCGCTTTTTGAGAGAGCATTTACGCCGCATTGTCGGAGCGCTCGCCCGGCGTAGCTCTGAACGCATTACCGACACTCTGAGGCGCCCGCTGCTGGCGCAAGTGGATGCAGTGGCGGTTCATCCCTCTCGGTCCGTAGTCAGCACAAGTTCAGCCGCCGGAGGTCGGAGACGAGAACGATACGCCGAGGAACGGGAAATGCCGGAGTCGCCAATAAAAGCTTCGGTGCTGCAAAATACGAAGCACGTCCAACAGGACCTTCAAAGTTTTCGTCTTCGTCAACAGCACTATTATCAGTAAGCGCCGTCATAACGGCATGTCTATCCCACAAACTACCCGCGAGTACCGTCTCCCCAAGGTTATTCACTCCCTGAAGGGTACTCATAGCGCACTATACAAGCTAAAAACACCTATGAATAGAAAGAGGGGTTCCACGACCTCACCCTCGTTGAGTCGCCGATCCCCAAGCTGAAGGCGACTGAAGTCCTCCTCAAGGTGCACGCCGTGTCTCTGAACGTGCGTCGCCCTGCGCCTTCTGCCACATCATCACATTCCTTATCCACCACTGTGCAGTTCCGTGATGTCGCAATCGCCAAGAACATATACCCGATGCCGCTGAAAGAGAACCTTGTTCCAGGCTCTGACATGGCTGGCGACATCGTTGCCCTTGGGCCCGAAGTCACTGGGTGGTCCGTCGGAGAGCGTGTCTCCGTCAACTTCGCACCGGACCACATATTCGGTGAGGCATCCGAAGAAACGATCAATTCTATAATGGGTGGCTACAGCGATGGTGTCTTGACCGAGTACAAGGCCGTTCCTGCGCATGTGAGCTTGAACCGTGACGTCGACTCATTCCGCATTGAAGGGGCACTCACACTCGACTGGCCTAGTCTCTGGTGCGCATCCCGGAGCACCTCAGCTACGAGGAGGCGTCGACGCTGCCCTGCGCCGGTGTGACAGCATACAACGCCCTCTTCGGCGCCAACCCGATCAAGGGCAGTGACATCGTCCTCGTCCAGGGCACCGGCGGCGTGTCCATCTTCGCGCTTCAGATTGCCGTTGCCTCAGGCGCGGTCGTCATCGCCACGTCGTCCTCGGATAAGAAGCTCGAGCTGGTGAAGAAGCTGGGCGCGACGCACACGATCAACTACAAGACAACGCCGGACTGGGAGATCGAGGTCCGGAAGCTCACGAATGGGCGCGGGGTCGACCATGTCATCGAGGTCGGCGGGGCCGGGACGATCATCAAGTCGGTGCAGAGCGTGCGCTTTGGCGGGTCGATAGATCTCATCGGCTTGGTCGCGGGGGTAAGTGGAGACGCATTTGCCCGTGATGGGTAATAGACTCACAGTTTGACCGACTTCAGCAAGCCGACGTGAGCATGCTACCCCTGCTGATATTGAAGTCGGGCTGCTTCGTCCACGGAATACAAGTCGGGCCTCGCGTCATGTGCGTATGGGTAGGCACGTATGGCATGGCATTCCTTTTGATTATGGTGTCGTTGCAGGTTCGAGGACATGAACCGCCTCATCAGCGCTGCCAAGATCAAGCCCGTTATCGACAAGGTCTTCCCGTTCGAGCAGCTCAAGGAGTCGTATGAATATCTATGGAGCCAACAACATGTTGGCAAGGTCGTTGTGACGATGTCGAAAGACTGATCGTGGGCTGAGGTACATTGGGTCGCCTTGTCGGGGAGTTGGGTTTTAGTGGCAGAGAAGCCAGTAAGAAATTGGAAGCATTGAAGCCAGTCGTGGAATCAAGCGGAGTCTGCCGGGGGAAGTCGGCAGTGCTTAGCGTTTGCGACTTTGAAACTCAGCTCTGGCTCAGAACTGTCGGAGACTAAGATTGGCGCTCAACACTAAATAGTTCGAACAATTCTCAGGCTTGTCACCACCCTCTTTCAACTGACTTTCTTGTTTCTCATCCAAAATGCGCATACGTGTCTGAAGGCGACCCATTTACGGAAAGAAAATTATGCATGCTTATGCTTCACTGGCTAGATCTCCATGCATAAAGTCAGCTCAATAGGCTATTTGCCGGGACACCCTGTCTTCCACTTTCGGTCTTCTCACTGGACATCAAGGCTTCTCTAGTATGTGAAAGTGGAGAGGGTTTTCGGAGGGATGGAAAAGGAGACGCTCTCTTCGGTTTGGATGAACTTTAGCTCGCACACAGCGCTGCCTTTACCGCCTGCAACAGCCACCGCAAGCCCATTTGGACAAAGCTGACTGGGTTACCATCGGTGGTCTCCTGCTACCCGAAGCCCATCGATCATCGCCGAGAGCAGATGCCGAAAAGGTATGACAAGTATACGTCGCCTGGACGCGTGCTGACCAAACCACTCGACAGCTCCTGGGAACGTACTTAGGCCCCGTTCACCTGCACGCTAGGTTTCGGCTGGGTGGAGCATTCGTGGCAGGTCTGGTTGGGTTTCGAGACGGAGTGTCACACATGTTACCGGGCATCCACTAGTCCGGCTTTTCAAGTGCCCGTTTTGCACATGCATACAACCACAAAGGACGAAAGGCACGCACTGTGTTTCCGACGATGTTCGCCTGCTTCATGCCAACACTAGTCCTGTTTGCATGGCCATGTGTGAGCAGGTCCACGACGGCTGACGTCCAGCCATGCGATCTTCAACACGCACTCCGCGAGCTGCCGGATGTCCTCTATCAGTATCTCGTTCCACCCCTCGAGCTCGAGTCTCGGCCCGACAGACGCTAGGCTGCCCGTGTCCGCGCAACGCGTCCAGGAACAGGCGGTTGCGTGCAGGGCTGACAGTCTCCAGCGGGCGCGTCGCTCCATCAGGGTCGCATGTGAGTGGGCAGGAGAGGACCGCGGCGGCGACGTCGTGCGGAGGCAATGTTGAGGTGGAGGACTTGTCGCTTTGAGCATGGGCGGCCGCAGCCGCGGCGTCGAGGCCTGTGCCGGGCGACCATGTGAGGGTAGAGAGCGTGAGGGAACGCAGCCTGCACACACACTCGTCGCCACCAAGTGTGCACCCGCATGCCATCACGATGCACCGCGCTGAACGCGAGATGCGCTCGCGCAATGCGCTCGCTCGCCGGAGCGCTCAGTGGAGGAAGCACTCGGGTGTGCCGCGCGCGGTGTGGGGGCGAAATAGTTATTCATGAAAAACATACTCGGCGAGCGTACTACTTTACGCAATCAGGACTACATTGGCGATGTCTTCTCTCAAACCCGAGTCCCGGTCTCCAGAGACCCTGCTCGAGGATCGTGACGTGACTTGAGTCACGCTCTCAACCCGCGTCTGTCGTGCTCCAAGTTTTGGAGCTTCGGGCGGGTTGGAGGCCGAGACCCTAAACCGTGGTCTCTCGGAGACTCAACCGGCGCTCGCTTATTTGGCGGGGCAAACCGAAACCCAACCGAAACCTAGCGTGCAGGTGAACGGGCCTTTACGCCGTCCGTTCATCTACTCTGTCACCAGACGGAACAGATGCCACTGTCAAATTGAACCCCTGCTCGAAAATACGAGTTCCGACTAGGGTTATTACCGAAGCTTACAACGCAGCACTCGTTCTCCGTCCACGAGGTGCAATGTCTTGGGATATGTACATAAACGCAGGGCCACTCGCGGGAAAATCCGCTCAGGATCCTCCTCTCTCAAGCTCGTAGGTCCAAAATCAAGATGGCAGTCCCGAGACTACTCGCGAATACCGCTTACCGAAAGCCGACGGCTTTCATAACTTGGCTATCGTTGAAGCCGTCATCCCCGAGCTCAAGGCCACGCAAGTATTGGTGAAAGTACGCGCGGTTTCTCTCCAGGTAAGTCTGTCTACCAACCACCCGGGACTTGGCTTAACGCTGTTCACCTCAGTACCGAGACCTTATCGTGCGACGGGCGAATTCCCGTTCACGCAGAAGGAGAACCCGATACCCTGCTCCGACATGGCAGGCGAGGTCGTGTCCGTCGGAGAAGAAGTTACGGCGTGGAAAGTCGGCGATCGCGTGTCCTCCACGTTCGCCGTCGACCACGTCTTCGGCGACGTGACGGAGAAGATCAAGGCCACCAGTCTCGGGGGCGCCATCGATGGAGTCCTGACCGAGTACAAGGTCCTCCCTGCTCACGTCAGTCCGGCTTGTCCTCTTCACAACCAGCGGCCTCCTCACATCCTCCACAGTCGCTAGTACGGATCCCCGACCACCTTAGCTTCGAAGAAGCCTCGACCCTCCCCTGTGCCGCCGTGACGGTCTACATGACGTTCGACAGCGGCGTACCCGTCAAGCTGGCGATACCATCCTCGTCCTCGGTACCGGGGGCGTCTCCACCTTCGCCTTGCAAATCGGCGTCGCGATGGGCGCGTCGGTCATCGTCACGTCCTCGTCCGATGCGAAACTCGAGCACGCAAAAAGTTGGGGGCGGCGCACGTAATCAATTACAAAATGAATCCGAACTGGGACAGTGAGGTGCTGGGCCTCACGGGCGGGCTGGGAGTCGACCATGTCGTCGAGGTTGGTGGGCCGCATACCTTGCTGAAGTCGGTGAACGCGGTGAGGTATGGGGGCCAGATACACCTGCTCGGGTTCCTCTCGGGGGTGAGTCCTTTCTGTCCTCCACATCTGAGTCGCATGCTGATACCAGTGATACAGCAATACTCTGCTGAGGCGCAGGTCGACCTCAGTGGGCTTCCAATCCTCCTTCTCGGGAAAGCGGTCGCTCTTCGTGGTAATCTGATTGGTTCGCGCGTTCGGTAGGAGACGATCTCTGCTGCAGTGGTATCTTGTTGATTCGTGACTCGGTTTCCATCCACAGATTTGAGAACCTGAACAAGCTCATCGCCGCGACAAAGCTCCGCCCTGTCATTGACAAGGTCTTCGACTTCGAGCACGCAAAAGAGGCATACGAATACCAGTCAAGCCAGCAGCACGTAGGAAAGATAGTCATCAAGGTGTGCGATAAATAAGAGAAGTGTGGCAAAGGCGTACATCGTACATATGTCCAGAGCATTGTTTGGTGGCGTAAGCCCACTTTGTAGGCGTAGAAGGTTCTCGATCTTACTCGAAATCTAAAAGTTTGAATAAGCGACAATAGCTAGTTGTCGTCAGGCGCCCATTCGCGCTCGCCTGCAATCGACGACCACCCGACCTTCCCGCACCCCCTTCCTCCCCCCTCTGAGCCACCGCGCGTAATGGCCAATAAGAAGAACAAGCAGGCGAAAAAGCGGGCACAGGCCAACGGCGCCGCCCCAGCTAATGGCACCGCCAATGGGTCCGCAAGCGTGTATGTTGCCTCACCTCTGTATCTCGCCTAGTGGCACCGCTCACCCGCGAGTGCATTGCTATTCAGAAGCGAGAAGAGCATGGATGTCGAGCAAGATGCGATTGAGGTCCCCAGCGACACTCCACCCGGGTCCAGCACGCCTTCAGAACCTGTGGAAGAGGTTGATCCCGACAAAATTAAGGAGAAGGGCAACGCTGCGTTTAAGGGCAAACGCTTCCAGGAGGCCATCGAGCATTACAGCAGAGCTATCGGTATGTCTGCGTTTTGATTCGTGTCTTGATGACCGGGGTGCGGCAAGGGATATCTCGGTAGATTGCCGCTGAGTGTCGTCTGAGCGCAAACTCGCTTCTCCTTCTACTTCAATACCCGATGAACGTCATCTCATTCTTTCGTTCGTTTCGTACGTGCAGATTTGCGGCCTTCCGAGCCAACATTCTGGACAAACCGTGCAGCGGCGTACATGGCATTGAAACGTTTCAAGCCTGCCCTCGCCGACTGTCAACAAGCAACCACCCTCCAGACCGATGCGCCCTCGCCCAAGACCCTTGTCCGTCTCGCGCGCTGCCAGCTGTCCACAGGATCGACGGCACCCGCGCTCTCGACCCTGCGCACAGTTCTCGCAATCGAACCCAACAACTCCGCCGCTCTCCAGCTCCAAACACGGGTACTAGAGCTCGAGGCCCATCTACGAAACTTCGAGGGTGCAAGCGAGCGGAAAGACTGGGGCATGTCGCGGCTCGCACTTGACAAGTGCATCCAAGTTATCGACGGCGAGGGTGGGGATGTACCGTTACAATGGCGGCTATGGAGGGTGGAGCTTGAGATCGCGAAGAAGAACTGGGACGCGGCGGGCACGGCTGCAAAGTGCGTACTTTCCCCCTCGAACCCCGTCTGCGCTGTCCCACTGTGCGCTGGAAGACGCGATCCCCATCACTATCTGTATGCAAGACATTTACCGCCATCCCAGTGACGCGTTGCGGATAGAGCCAAACTCCCCCGACGCGATGACCGTACGCGGCCTGCTCCTCTTCCTCACCTGCAAACCGCGCAGGCGACGCAACACGTGCAGTCTGCCCTCCGACTCGACCCTGGCACGAGGCCGCGATGAAGCTGCGCAAGCGGATCAAGGACGTTGAACGGCTCAAGGACGAGGGCAACGTCGCGTTCAAGACGGGCCGCCTGGACGACGCCGTCGCGCGGTATGGGGACGCACTCGAGCGGATCGGCTCGGATTCGCGTGAAGGCGACGGTGGACCGCTACGCGCGCTGCTGCTCTCCAACCGTGCCACGACACTCGTCAAGCTCGGCCGGCACCAGGACGCGCTCGCGGACACTGAGGCGTCGCTGGTATTGAACGCAACGAACTTCAAGGCGCTCCGGACCCGCGCCCGGATCCACCTCCACCTGGAGGAGTACGACAATGCCATTGCGGACTTCAAAAGCGCGATCGAGCAGGCGGGAATGGAGGGCAGCGATGCGGACGTGAAGGCGCTTCGCGGCGAGCTGAAGAAGGCGGAGGTCGCGCTCAAGCGGAGCAAGTCGAAGATTACTACAAGATCCTCGGTGTCGAGCGCACTTGCACGGAAGTGGAGCTTCGCAAGGCTTACAGGCGAGAGAGTCTGAAGCACCATCCAGATAAGGTATGTACTATTCACGCTCATGAAGGCCGTGTGTTGACAACTCTGCTCTCAGGGTGGCGACGAAGAGAAGTTCAAGCTCGTGGCGGAAGCACACTCCATCCTCTCCGACCCGCAGAAGCGGCAGAGATATGACCTGGGCGAGGATGACGAGGAGGGTCCTGGCGGCATGGGTCCTGACGTCGACCTTTCCGAGCTCTTCGCGCAGTTCCACGGTGCTGGTTTCAGTGGGGGGCGCGGGGGCTTCTCCCAGTTCGGTGGTGCTGGGTTCGGTGGGGCCGGGTTCGGCGGCGGCGGGTTCGGAGGTGGTGGTGCTCACTTCCGCCAAGGAGGCTTCCCCTTCTAGTTGTTTCCGTGGGATGCGGTATGCTCACTCGTCTTTTCCTTCCAGCACAGTGTTGACTAGTTACTTTTCTGCTGCTTACGTCTTGTTGTCCGTATCACATTCATCTCCGCCTTCTCTTGTCATACCGTAGAGCGTGTACCACAGATAGCGCACGCTGCCATACCTGTATACTTACATCCATCGCATCAACGAGGCGCGTCCTTTCTCGATAATGCATGCCTAAAGCCGACAGGTCAAAGATGCGAGTAGTGAGATGTGGTCTAATCTACTAAATTAGCAACGAGCGTATAATACCCGGCCCGCAAGCCCTTTTGTCTTCAGCCACTCTCTGCCTCATCGACGTTCAACTTCCGCGATACGCGCCTGCAGCCGGTTCTTGTAGTAGACCGCAGACTGCAGCATCGACGGGTGTTGCGTCTTCTTGCTGACAATGGGCAGCCCAACCCGGCGACGGACTGCAGGCATGCGTAGTATCGCAGTCTGAATGATGGTCCCGACGACACCGACGAGAACGGCGAGAGCCGAGCCGGCGGGAAGCTGTTGCATGAAGACAACAGATACTAGCGAGAGGAGCTGCAGGGCGTTCATGGCGTGTGGTGACATGGCCGACGCGGCGTCGCGCTTGGAGAGCTATAAGACGGGACGCGATCAGCCGAGCCCATGGCCAAGCACTGATACTTACCCCGATCTGGGTGAAGATTAACGCGGTCGCCATCGCAGGAAGACCCCACGTCGGGTCCGGGATCGTGAGGTCCGTGAACCACAGCAAGCCCGCCGTCTTCAGCTGCAGAAGCGGGAGGTCGCACAGGACTTGACGCCGAAGAAGACACCGAGGGCGACGGGGACCTGGATGACCGACGAGAGCAACATGGTGGGCATGCTCACGTTCGCCTTCTCGTAAATGATCTGCATCCTCATCGTGGCCTCCTGCACCGACATCATGTCCCCCTTCTGCCGCGCGGCCTCCATCGCGTCGCGCGCCTTCTTGATGTCCTCCTGGTACGGCTGTATCCGCGCCGCGCTCTGCATCGACTTGAGCGTGGGGTAGAAGAGGAGGACGCGCGCCGCGAGCGCCGTGCCGACGATCGTCCAGCCCCACGGCACACCCGCGACGGCTACACCCTCCATGACCTGGCGAATGATACCGGGAGGCCACCACCAGCTCGTGAGGCCCATCGCGGCAAGGTCTCCGAGGTGCACCGATGATGGAATGGACGCGATGACCTCGGTCGGGAGAGCTTCCGAGATGACGGTGGGGGAGATGGCTTCCACGGGGACATCTTGGACAGCGTCGACGGCTGGGGAAGCCTCTGCGGACATACTTGATGAGGTTACGACCTCTTCTGGTGCCGGGGGAGCCTGCTCTGGTACAGGTGGAGGTGCGGGTGTGGATACAGCGGGGGCTTTGGACCCGCCCCAGCCCCAAAGTGAAAGCGGGCGGGAGGCATTGAGCTGCACGCTCCGGAGCTCAACGGGCAGTCCGCTTCGCCTGAGCGGGAAGCACTGGGCTGCATAAGACACGTCGATGGTGTGAGAGCGCGGAGCGAGACTCACGGAATTGCCTGGCCTGAGCGTGGACAGTGAACGGTATGAGGGAGTGGGCACAGCTCGTGCTCTGGAAGTCCTCGTGAGGACACGCCTCCATGTGGTGATTGAGGACTCACCTCAGCCCTACAGCTCTAAGCTGGCCCGTAGTTCCAACGCGCATGTACATCCTAACGTGACCCCACCAGGTACCAGGAGGAAGAGGAAGGGGAGGATGTAACTGTAGGTTGAGAACGGCCTCGAGCGTGAGCCTTGCTGTGGGCGCTTCCTACTTTTGGAGCCACGTGCCTCTAGCGGCGGTCCGGCTGGTCCCGCGGCCTCACCTTCTGCAGTCACCTCCACCACGTTGACTGTGCCTCTACGCTGTTACGACACTTCACAAAATATACCTGTGCTAGTAATCTCGGGCCTTTACACCCGCCTCTCCACCTCTGTCCAAACGCTGGACAATCCCTGACCCCTGACTTCCTCGACCGACTCCTCCAGCTAAACCCTCATGGACACCCCGAGCTCCGATATCAACTCTCGTCACCGATACTACCAGTGCGTTGCTTTGTCTCGGCCACACTGCACTACAATTTACCTCGAGATGCAGTGGACATCGGTCCAAGTCATTTCGAGCTCAAGATGTAAACGAACTCGGTGAGTGTCCAGCCCAGAGGACGGGCTGTGCTGACATCCGCCTCACAGTCGAACTGCGCGCCCGGTCTAGGACTTTTGACGGTGCCTATGGCCGGAGTGCCATCGGAATGTTGGGTTATGCGCTCACCATTCTCCGACTCTTCGACCGGAGGTTCTTCCGGAGTGAGTGTATGCTATCCCGCGTATCTCCCCTCCCCTGAAACAATCATCGCTTCCTCAAGTTGGGATTCTCTACACAGTCCTTGCCGGACTTCTTTTTATCCTTGCATACTTTCGCCAACGCCACTCTCGCCACGATTTTGCGGACCGCCATCGCAACCCTACCGCGTTCGCCAATGCTATCAAAACCAAAGGGCAAACTGGCAAGCGCGTTTTCGGGCGGCCCTTCGTTACAGCAGGATGGATTGTCGCGTTGCTCTCGTTCATAGTGTTCACGGTTGAAGTCGGCCTGTTGGTTCTCATCTTCATGGTTTGATCGTGCGTGCTCTTTCTCCCTCTCTCGAAGCCTCTCCTATCCTGGATTCCGATTAAGCTGCACGCAGTTTATACGGACACTGTACTCCGCCTCGGTTATACACTGCATACACTACTATACTTCACTGTGAACTATCCCATGTATTTGTAGACACGCTCACTCTCATCATCTTTCGCCCATTGCTCAGGTCCCGGGTGATGCCGCAGCTCCTGAAGACAACATGCTCGCCAGCCCCAATCTCTGCCGCGCCCATTGTGAGCGACGTTTCCCGTTCATTCCGACTGCCAATGGACAGCGCTGACGTCGAGTGTAGGAGTCGTTACCTAAAGCACAGTTGCTGCGCACCGCGGATGTGTTGGTCTGCTGCCACGAAGACGTGAACTGCGTCCGACAATATGGATCTCCGACGAGTGGCTGGATTGGCGAAGGCTGCGACTAGATGTAACGCCCCGGTCGAGTTATACCGACGCCCACCCTCACTCCAAACCACACGGATCTGTCCCGTGTGCGCAGCAAGCGTGGCCACTCATTTCCGTCTGCAACGTCTCCGACCGTGTCCCGACTCCCGAGATCCTGCGGCGTCGGAGGTCTCAGATGGAGGCTGGAGCCTCCAACGGAGCCAATCCAACACCAGCCACTGGGCTGTGCCGCCAAGCGGCTCAGACGCGGAAATGTTCGTGGAATCCGACGCCACCGACGGAGGGAGTGCGTCCGGGACCCTTCATCGCGAAGATGCGAAGGGTTGAGCTCCGTGCTCGAATCGGATTCTTACTTGCCTCCCTGAAGTTCTGTGAGTATGTCACACGCGCTTCGCTCCCATTGTGCGTCTCACCGGTGCAATCTGTAGATGCAGCAAACGCGGAGCGTCAACCACTCTCAGACTTCTGTCGTCTTCATGATTAGAGAGGTTTGGTAAATTACAATTGTGCGCAATTGCAATGAGCGTTGGCGGTGGAGTCCGTCTCCATGTGACCGTCGCTGTGACTGGACCAGGGAGCGCCGGGCGAGAGATGCGCATCATGATGCATCCTCTGGCCATCTGGCACCAGGAATCCGGGCCCGGGAGCCTGACGGGGGTTCCGGGTGATCGGGCGCATCCAGCCGCACCACAGAGCCGGCCAGGCGACCGCCAGGCGCACCACGGGTAAGTCTTTACATATTGTAGCATGTGCACAAACTTACTGCGCTTGTGCTCAATGCAGTACCGGCTACTCTCAGGCGAACGCCGCATCTTCTCCATTCCGCTGAAGGCTGTTATAGCTACGCATCTGGATGAACGGGAGGCACGAGCCCCAGATATCTATTTGCCCTTTTGAGACCTAGATTAACGTGGACAGACCAGCTTGCTGACCTATGATCCCACACATACGGTACCAAGGAGTGTTGGGGTTGTTGCGTGTAGCGCAACTGGGTGTTGTCGGCCACCTAGGTTGATGACACGCACAGCCCATTCTCGCTAGCAGTGCACAAGCCCACAAACAGGTTCGCTTCTTCGGCCTCCGGAGTAATCAATATTCGAATGACCGGATATGCGCCCCATCTCCAATACCATCCGACCCCCGTATTCACTTGGCAGCTACATCGGCGGACCGGACACTCCGAAGATCCACACCGAACATGTCCACGCTGCGATCACACTGCGAGAAGAACAGTGTCGTTATCAGAGCTTCGCAGCACATCCCGATATGCGATCTCGTTGGACTCTGGCGCTTGGCGTCGAGTGTGCAGCCATGGGTCCCATGGTCTGTGCGTCTCGTGGAACTTGGAAGTCAGGAACGCAAGTCATGGGTATCATTTTCTTACGCCACGGGTGCGTACTCTTCATAGCCCCTGCGCTTGTGCTTTGTGCCGTCATATGGTTCTCAATCAAAGCACGGCTCCAGTCTGGTAGTGCTGCTGAACTGCGGTTCAGGCAGTGCACATCTTGTGGTCGGGTCCCTCTACTTCTTCCTAATCACCTGAGTTTGACTGAGGTGTTATCCGCAGCCATCATGACTTTCGCGAGACATACCCGCAGGTGACAAGGAATCGCGCAGTCAGTGTTCGTTAAGGCTCGTGGTCGATACTGCGCTCGGCGGGTCTCTCCGTTGGACATAACAAGTCTCATCAAAGCACCAGCGCTCTGTGCACTGCTGAAAGGACAGCGTCAAGGAACCAGTCACGTCTAGTGGGTACTGGTTTGGTAATGGCACGCATACTCTGACTCGATCCGCTCCGCGCAGCTACATCGATCGTATCTGGTCTCGGCGAGGTCGATTCGGCACGCAGGCGTCGACCTCGTATTCTAATTTCTGTGACTTCGTTTGGAGGCGGTGGCGATGCCTTTCTCCCAGTCTCAGTACTTTCCGCCCATCACGCCCACCCGACATGTCGCACCATATAACGACAAACGTTTTTACCTCGTCCAAGACTATCGCCTCAACGCGCGCGGAGGCTGTTCGAGCGGGCTTCGTGACCTTGTTCCTCGGCCTTCGGCCCCGCGGTCAGAATTTCCAACGTTCGCCTTTGCCACTGCGGCCTGCCCACCTCTAGGCAGAATTCGGCCAGGGACGGAGATGTCAAGCTCGTCAGGCCTGGACGTCGATCGACGACAGTAATGGCTTTCGAGGAATGCGCCACCTCTCGGTGGCGCGTGCCGGAATGAGGCCCGAGACCGAGGACTGACGTGTACGAGTCGTGTACTCGGCTGGAATGATAAGTGCGAATATCAAGTTGCGTGGACACCAGCTATCGCTGAGCGTAAATAAGCTGACGTCCATGTGAGATGCTGCCGCTGTGTATATCATGTTGGGTCGTCCCGGAAGGTAAAAGGACTCCATACGTCTCAGCCCTACGGCACGCAGAGCACCCCGAAAAGAACTAGTAATGGTGTTCTGCCCCCTGCGGCTCGACAATCAAATTCCTGGCCATCTCTCAGAAGACGATTTGTCGCGCTTGTAAGAGTACGCGGCCGGCGGCGGGGGCCGCGAAGGGCTGGCATTGGTCACTGGTCGTTCCCATTTTTCTCACCCGGCCCGGTGCATGCTTGTTGTGATTATGTCGAACAACGGGACGGTCCGAGGAGATGGAGCAGGACTCCGAGAGGCAGGGCCGATGGTCCGCCTGGGAGCTCGCACCTTGAGGCCTTGAGGAGTTGAGTGCGGGGCATTCCTGCCGAAGATGCTGCCGGGCTGTACACGCACGCCGGGGGAAGGCCGCGCTGCCAAGGAAGCACTACCAGTCTGCCGGGAGCCCGGAATGCCACACGAGCGGAGAGGTCGTCCGGAACGGGCGCATGGTGAAACAGATCGGCCGGCTGGGCGGTCGTCGCGCGACAAGATCGCGCTCGCGCGCGCGCGAGCCCGAGGTCCAGGGTGCGCACCATGAGCGACGCTGCGTCCCTGGCCCTTCCATGGGTGCACGCGCAGGACAGCGGGTGCGGCGGGTGCGTTGGGTGTCAAGCGCAGAGCGCGTTCTGATCTGCGCGGGCACAGCGGGCTTGCAGGTTGATCGCGCGGGGGCGTCGCAGTCGCTGCGGCGGAGGACGGGCAGAGGGCGGGTTCACAGCCGCTGAATCACGGCGCTTAGCTCATTGAGAATGACGCAGTAAAGAACGGCCGCCTCCGACTCCTTGTCCTCCACCACCGCATCCTGATTTCAATGCTCTCCTCCATCTCCTCTTTCCTCCCCTCCGCCCTCCAGATCGGCGACAAACCCGCTGCCCACCCGAGCGCCCGCCTCTCTGCGAGTCCCCCACCAAAGCCGACGAACCGGAAGACATGACCGTCGATGAGCATGGAGTGAAGAAGAAGAAGGACAGGACCAACGAGGTTCGTCAGTCCCTCCCTTCTGCCTCGGGGGATGTGCGATGGGATTCTAGACCAGTCCGCGCATTTTTGCCTCTCCATTGCCAGACATCTCGCTCAATTGTGAGCCATCTCGACAATGACTGGCCTATATGCGCACCATTTGTATCCGCAGACGGCCTTGTCGTTCCCCAAACCCACCATGTCTCTTGAACTTGTCACCTACGCACGAGTACGAGCCCCGACCCTTGTGTCGTGTCTCTGTCATGCGGCACTGGACTCAACCTCCAGCCCTCTCCACGCCTTATTTCTCTCCCTCTCAGGTCCTGATGCTACTTTGCAGTCCTTCATTGTTGTCCGGCCACCCCCTTCCAAAACCAACCACCCATTGAACCTCCAAGTGCAACTCGTTCCACCGAGTAGCCGAGACTTCAGCCGCTCCTCCACTGGTGGTCGCTCACGCGAGGCCTCCGTGGTACCAGATGAAGACCCCGCGCCGGACATGCAGCTCACGAGGACAAGCTCGAATCGCTCCGACGTCTCGATGTATTCCTCTTACTCCCAGGCGTCTTTCTCATCTGTTGCCTCCACTTCCACGACATCATCCGGCCGACGGATGATCATCCCACTCTACAACCTCCAAGCACACAGCGTTCTCACAAACGTCATCCTGGACGCCGGTACAGATGCGAAAGTTGCCAAGTTCCAACGACGCGGCCTCGAGATTCTTGGTCTCGCCACCCTAGAGCCGATTGAGGTATGGGGTGAGGGCGGGAACCCCACAGTGCTGCCCGGCTTTTCTCCAAACGCCGCGTCCAATGCTCTTCCCGATGAGCATGCCTCACGCCCCAGCGCCGACTTCTCCCAAGGCGTCCAAACGCCTGCCTCTTCGAGGCTGTCGTTCACGTCTGACGACCATCATCACATCGCACCCCCAGCCACCCCCGCCCTTCCTGTTACTCCTGCGACGCCTTCCACGCCCAAGCACACGCCCGGTTCTAGAAAGTTTTTTGGCAAGCTCTTTAAACGGCGTGGTGATTCGCCAACAAATTCTCCCGGCCTTCCCCCGTCTCCATTACCTCCGATCACCGCCCAGCCCCCCTCACCCATCCAGTCTGCAACCCCGCTTCCCTCCACCGACCAGCGACCGAATCGTCGTTCATCACTAATGCTCGGCGGAGGAGCCTCTTTGGGCGTATCCGGTCACTCGTCAGTGCCGTCGGGGTCGGAAGGTGCACCCCCCGTAGGAGACGGTAGCACATACCTCCTGCCACCGGTTCTTGGCCTCCAGCCCACTCTCAGCTCTCAAACATACCCCCCTCGTGGGCGGTCGACGAAATATGTTTGGGTCGTGCGGAAGTGGCTCAAAGGCACGCCCGACTCGATCCTCAGCGGCATGAAGGACAAGTTTGCGCGCACCGGCCCGAACCCCGGCACGGTTGAAGGCATGGTGGAGGTCCGATTTGAATGGAGCCGCGGGAAGCACCGTCGAGGGCACCGGGAGAACACGTTGGAAGAAGGCTCACGTTCCAAACGACACAGCTACGCTGCGTCATCCGCCGCCCAGTCGACGACTTCCCTTCATCAATCTCCGCCGCAGGTCGTGATTTCAGATCCTCCCTCGACGCGCAGGAAGAAGCGCGCCTCGATACACGAATCACACCCGACACGGGCCTCGATGGACTCACGCCGGTCCGGCTCTCCCGGGACTGGGGCCGGGGGTTCGGACGAGGACCGGGCTAAGGCCAGCCCACCGACAACGCTGGAGAACGACGGCGACGAGAGCGATCCAGAGGACTCGGAGACGCCGTGGACGTGCACACTCATCGTGCGCCGCCTGGGCGGTTCACGCCTCGCGCCTGCGCCCGCGGGCGCAGGCACGAACTCGGCTGGGAATGTGAAGGTGAAGATCGCGGGCGTCGTACCTACCCCGCACCACCCGAAGGTCGTCGCGCTCCTCAAGGTGCCGTTCCCGCTGCCGGATATAGAGATCGAGCGGGTGAGCGTGCGCAAGCGGGTGATCACTCCGGCGGGGGTCGCGCGCCCGGCGACGGTGAACGACGAGCGGCCAGGGTCGTTAACGGGCAAGCAAGTGGGCAGTGGGATGAAGTTCTTCGGGAGCACGAAAGAGAACGGCGCGATGGGCCCGCCAGAGGGCCTTGTCCTGACCGCGGAGGAGATCAAGGACGTCGTGTCGTGCACGGCGATGTGGCTCGTAGTGCGCGAAGGATTCGGTGGGGTCGGGAGGGCGAACCGGAAGGGTGATGGAGGATGGCGAATGCGGTGATCTTGTATAATGGTGGTTTTGGCGGGGTTTGGTGCGTATGTCCGTTGTGCTTTTTATGGGCGTTGCCTAATAATGGTTCAGGCTCGTCATTTAGATATATCCCCATCGCGCTGTGCGTGCAGTTGATACCAGCGCGCCTGAGCCCTGTCCTGGTTTCGTACTACACCTCCCCCCTCTGTTTTACATCCCTCTTTTCACCGCGTCTAGACAACCCCGTACCTCTTCTTCTTCTTCCTACCCGTCACGACATTCGCCATCTTGAACCACCCCGTCTACCCTGACTCACAGTGCTCATACCATGCCACCCATAAACATACCACGCACCCCTAATCTATTCGTCTGCCGTACCCCGTTCATGCACCGTACACGTTTGCACGCACGCAAATATTTATCGTCCTTTCATTAATCGCGTGGGTTTCCAAGATTTTTCGCGTACTATAGTTACTCGCCGTGTTGGGATTAGGCAGCCTGTGCACAAGACAAATGTATACCGTAGTGCCCTGTCGAGAAAGTCATTTTCGCTTGGGCGAAGTTTCGCACTTGATAGTACTCCGCCACCGTGCGCTCGCTCGCTCACCGCAAGCTGACCGCGCGAGATGGGATATTCGCCTCTCTTCCCCTCGTCGTCGACTCCAACGTGCATAGTCGTCGCTATCGCTGCGCACATCGATATCGACGTCACGCGATGGGCGGGACGTGTGCCACACATCCCATAAAGAGAGCAGGACGGGTCGCCCGAAAAATTCGGAAACGCCGTCCGTCGTCCCTGGTTTTGGGGATGATGAGGATGTTAAACACGTGCCGGTCGGACCCCAGCGTCCTGTTGTCGCACTAGCCTGAGCTGTTACGTTTTTGTGCGTCCTGCCTCCTCCCACCATGTCTTCAGCCACGTCTGCGTCCCTCGCGGACGCCCCGTCCGCCCTCCGACAACGGCGCAGTGAGCACAAGACCCCTCCCAGCACCGTTACGGTTCCCGCAGACAGCAAGGACGATATGGCGAAACACGACGAGGTCGTCTGGGGGAAAACGCCAGGTGGCGAAGGTACGTGGCATCACTTCCGGGTGGTCGCATGCGCATATATGGAGCCAACGCAACATCTGGCTACTCTCAAACCTTCGTGGTGTCTAATTGGGAGCGTTCGGCGCGACGCGCGCTGAAAAGGGAAGGGTACGGGCGTCATGACGCACTGGTGACCTGGACTGTGCAGCGCGCGTGCGACTGCCCAAGTGTCGAGCAATTCCAAACTGACTAACCATGGCCTTTGTGCACCACAGTCTTCCGCGTCCCGACGACCCACGACGTCCTGACGCTCTTCCATCCCGGGTACCCGAAGTCACACATCGACCTCTTCAACCTCGCCCTGCTCGGCACGCAGATCTTCCTGTTCTACACGCTATCGCGATCCGCATCCCGCATCTTCTTCCTCTTCTACTTTGCGTTCTGGCGCGCCGCGTACGATGTCGGCCTCGGATGGGTCCTCACGAAGCAGAGCAAGCGCAAGTGGATCGTCCGCGAGGTCCAACGCCTCGGCTGGCTTGATGGGGAACGCCTCCCCGAGGTCCGGCGGTGGATCAAGAACCAGCTCGCAGGCAAGATGGGCGGAGACTACTCGTTCGATGTGGGTGGCTGAATTTTGTGCTGTCACACGACCACAAATGAGCTTATCTACCGCGGTGTCTAGGAATTGCCTTTAGAGTACAACACATGGCTGCTCTTCCGCCAGCTCGTGGACATCATCCTCCTTAAGTCCGTCCCTTCTCCCGCCCCGTTCCTTTCTCTGCCGCCTGCTGACTGTCGCACCCCGTCACAGTGATTTCCTGGCCTACTGTATGTTTGCCTTCTCGTGCTTCCGGGTTCCGGAAGGCCTGTCAGGCACGCTTCACATCATGAGGTGGGCGCCCCTCCGCCTTTGCAATTACGATTAAAGCCTAAAAACTATCCAGGTGGATCGGGGGCTTTGCGCTCATCGCGTTCAACCTCTGGGTCAAGACTGAGGCGCACGACGTCGTCAAGGACTACGGCTGGTACTGGGGTGACGTCTTCTTCCAGCGCGGTGCGCTCGTCTTCGACGGCGTGTTTGAGCTGGCCCCACATCCCATGTACTCTGTTGGTGAGGAGCCTCCCACTGGCATATGGAATGGGACGCATGCTGACTGTGGTGCCAGGATATGCCGGCTACTATGGACTTTCCCTCATCGTCGGAAGCTACGCTCTCCTCTTTGTCAGCCTTGCCGCTCATGCCGCTCAGTTCGGCTTCCTGGTCTTCTTCGAAAACCCGCGTAAGCGCTCCTTTCACTCAGTGCCATTGTAGTCATCGCTGACTCACTATTTTGACAGACATTGAGCGCACCTACGGCCAGCGCAAACCACTTGCGGCCAGGTCCCCCGTCTTACCTCGCGGAGGCCGCATTTCATCCTCGGACGGTTCCGAAACGGCACACAGCAGGCACGCATCCACCTCCTCCCTTGCATCTACAACGACGACCCCGGCGGCCACGGAGGGCGAGACGGCCACGGAGTCTGATGCGCTTGCGACAGAGACGGACGCTGAGACGGAGCTTGATCTCGATGAGCAGCCCGCACCGCGTCAGCACAAGCGCACGAGCCCCCGTTCGCAACTGGTCACGCTCCCATCCGAGGATAGGCACTCGCAGAAGGGTCGCAAAGCGGTGTCCCAGCACGACCTTTTCCACCAGTACTTCCACAAGGACACGCTTTTGCTGCGCAATCTTGATCCTCTCCGGTGCGCTTGGACGGTTCTTGTCCTTATTACTTTCAATCTTAACATGGAGTCCGCAGCGCATCGGACTTCTCACTCATCGTTGTGCTTGGTTATGCGGTAGCACTGACTATGCTCCCGACGGAGTCGCTGACGGTGCACTTCGTGCACACGCTCTTTTGGTGCGCGTTCCACTGCGTCGGACTCGGGCTCGTCCTCCGCGCGCAGTCACAAAACAAGTTCCTCGTCCGGCACTACCTCAAGCACTACCATTACCCCCAGAACGACCATGGACAGGCAGCAGTCCATGAAGTTTTCCAAAACTGGAAGCAGGTGTACAACACGAGCATGTGCTTGATGTATGGTGAGTGCATGCTAGGACCTCTCATAATGCATCAGAGACTGAAAATTCTGTAGTTTCTGTCGCGTGCCTCGCGTGGAAGACATACACGCTCCCGCAACAGTGGACCGTTGGTGACGAGCTTCTCCGCCACACCCTCGGCGCTCTCATGATCGGACTCCATGTCTGGTCGAGCCTGGAGTCCTACGAGGTCCTTGGCTACTTCGGTAGGTCCAACTCGAACGCTCTTCAACATGAGCAGTTTCTGAGTGTGTACGGCTAGGTTGGTTCTTTGGAGACTTCTTCATCGAAGACTTCCCTTCGCATCTCGAGTACACTGGCATCTACCGGTGCGTGCCTCTTGTTGTTCTGAAGGCCCTTTGAACTGACGATGGTTGTCGCAGCTACCTCAACAACCCTGAGCTCATCAGCGGCGCGACCTTCTTTGGGCTCGCGTTGATCACTGGTAGCAAGCTCATTTTTGCCAACGCCGTTCTCCGTCATCTGTTCCAGTGGTGGTTCCTCGCCAAGGTCGAGAAGTAGGTGTCATGTTGCATATCTATCTTCTTGAAGTACTGACTCGACTGCTCTAGCCCACATATGCGCAAACTCTATGGCGACTCCATCCGTAGCGATGCCGGTTTCGTCAAGGTCCTCAAGAAGGTTGCCGAGAAGAACGTCAAGGTCCTCGAGTCCCGTGCTGGCAAGCATGCCCCTGAGATCCGCCGTGTCGCTCGTGAGGTCAAGGGAACCTTCGACAAGGTCTACGAGGAAACTGCCGAAGCCGTGGAGGACTTCCTTGCGAAATGTGAGCCAACTCCTCGCTCTGCCGATGTTGCAGACCCTCACACTTCATCTCAGCTCGTCCCAAGATCTCTGGGGTCATGCAAGACACCAAGGTCCTCCTCCAGCAGTCCCGCGAGCGCCTCATCATCCGCCGCGTCGCCCACGACCTCTCCTCCTACGACGCGAACAAGTACAACATCTCGATTGTCCCCTCCGCCGCGGGCTCCCTCCGCTTCCACCTCGGCGAGCCGATCCGCGTTCGCTGGCGCGCACCCCTCCACCACTCGCGCAAGGATTGGGTAGGGCTCTACCGCGTCGGCGCGAACCCGTCCGCACTTGTCACCCGCACGTCCTCGCTCGGAATGTGGGTGCCCGTGCACGACGACGAGTGGGACGGAGACATCCCGCGCGAGCTCCACCGCCCCGCATGCACCGCGTCCGGCGACGAGGCCGCAGAGGAGGGCGAGATCGTCTTCCGCGCAGGCGTCCTCCCCTGGAAGACGGGCCGGTACGAAGTCCGGTACCACCACGACGGCAAGTACAACGTCATGGGCGTCGACGGCCCGCTCGAAGTCGTCGTGGACAAGCCCACAGAGCTCACCTTTGACGGCGTCCGCCAGAGCCTGATGCACATTGTGCCCCTCTGCCTCGATAACGACCCCTCGCTCGTCCCGCAGTCCTGCAAGCCTCTCGTAAGAGCGGAAGGAGCGGCAGCGGTCGAGGCGGATGCGGATGCGGAGGACGGCCGGGACTCGGACGATTTCCGGTTCTGGAGCGAGCGGCAGGCGAAGCGGATCTCGCTCGCGATCGAGCAGGCGTTTGACGTCGAGCTCACGCCCGATGTCGTCCTCGCGGACGCGAACATCAGCGCGCTTGCGAACCGGGTGCTCGTCGCGAAGGAGCTGCTCACCGAGTGAGAGTCGCGCTGCCCGCCGATTTGGGTTGGGGTTTGGGGGGAAACCTCCCACCGGATGGGAGGACGGTGTTATGGGTTCATTGAAGGCTCTGGTCTGCTGTCATCTTTCCATCTCATGTTTTCTTTTTCACGCATTGGGTCACGACTTCACGAACACGATACCTTACGCGCACACTCCTACCCCGATTCTGTCTTGTTTTCCTTCTCGCTTTGCCTGTGCGCTTCCGCATCGGCCTGGGCTGTTGCCGGCTACACATGTTCGTATACCTAGACCCAGTCCGCCTCAGTCGGGCTCTGCTCTCTGTTTAGACGCATGTATTATATTCTCCTCCGTTCCACACCACATGTAGCTACCAGTCGCTGCCGGGTACCGTACACGTCCGCACGTACTAATGTTACACGGGTCGCACGACTATATACATGTACACAAGTTCAAATCGTCTCTGCCCAGTCACGGACGCGGGTGAACGTCCCAAAGCATGAAGCATGTACAAAGCGAAGCAATGCCGTCCTCGAGGGCGAATAACGAATAAGATATAGCAGTGTGGAGGGTACGTGCACAGCGAGCGCACTCGTTCCTTCTCGCCCCAAGCCCAAGCCAAATCTCGACCCATATCGCGCACACATCACGGCGGCACCTTGATCTCGGGCGTCATCGGCGACGAGAACGCGGGCGAGACCGTGTCCTCGGGCGACGACACCTCCCGGAGCATCGCCATCCCCTCCTCCTCGTCGCGCCCGCGCTCGCGCTCGCGCGCGTGCCGGGCCGGGGCTAGGAGCGGGAGCGGGTACGGCAGCGACACGCGCCGGAGGCTCGACGAGAGCGACGAGAGCGTCGTCCGCCGGGTCGGGGTCGGGCCCGACGACGACGGGCTTCCCGTGCTCGCGTTCGTGCTCGTCCGCCGCGCCTTGCCCTTGCCCTTGCCCGTCCCCGCCCCAGCCCCAGCCCCAGCCCCAGCCCCAGTCCCAGTCCCAGTCCCGGGATGTTGGGGCTGCGGCTGGAGTGGGAGCGAGAGCGCGAAGCTGCGGCCGCTCGCGGCGCTCACGGGCGTCGCCGTCGGGGTGCTGCTGCTGTTCTGGCGGGGCCGGCGCGAGGCGGTTCCCCGGGGGCGCTGTGGCGCGGGCTCCTCGTCGGCGAAGGAAGAGTCGGACGACGAGCGGGAGCACGACGAAGACGGGGAGAGCGGGCGGCGCGGGCGGCGCGGGCGGGCTGGCGGGGCGGTGGTGGGGAGCGCGGGGTCGTCGTCGAGGGCGAGCGCGGAGTAGAGGCCCTTGGGGAGGGCGAAGGCGGCGCTGGTGACGGAGGCGCGGGCGCTGGAGATGCCGTGGTTGTGCACGCGGAGGTTGAGGATCAGCCGGGGGCCCTGGTGACAGACGGGTGGAGCGGGCGTGAGCAGAGGACGGAAGGCGGGGAGGGGGAGATGGGGAGTGTGTGCGGCAGAGTGACAGGGGAGCGAACTCACAGCGACCCCGAGGATCGAGAGCACCCATCTAGGTCCGGGAACTTGGTTAGATCCAAGTAAAGATGGCGGCGGCGACCGCAGAGAGCCACTCACGGAATCCCGAGGGTGACGAGTGTTGTGGGCGCAAGGGTGAAGAGGACGGTGTTGAGCAGCATAACCACTGCACCCAAGCGGTGAGCTTGTGGACTATAAGGAAAACAACGAGACGAGAGACAAGTACTGACTGAATATCCCCACAAATGTGATGGTACCATCGCGCACGAGGACGTCGAGCAGCGTCGCGCTCGCGTACCCGTCCTTCTCGCCCCGCAGAACCCCGAGGAGCATCATCCCAAGGAGGAACGTCTCGTACACGATCGAGGCCGTGCTGCGTGCGAGCGAGAGAGGTTCGAGTCAAGATGACAGCGATGGAACGGCGTGCGAGACAAGGAAGCATACCTGTAGAGCACCATCATCACCGGCAGGTCCGCCGCCTTGCAGTAGAATCCGCCGACGAAGTGAGGAATGCTCAGCCCGAAGCTGATAGTCATCAGAACGATCTCGACGACGAAGCCAACAACCATGGCCCGCAGGGCTTTCGGGGAGCCCATGTAGATCGCGTGTGCTGCGAGACAAGAGGTCAGTCAGACACTGGCGCAGACAGCCGGGGACGTACTACGGAGGATCATGATGACCTGGACCACAGCCTCGATGGCGGACGCGGACATGATCTCGAAGATGAGCCAAGGGACGCAGGGGACCACTCCTTCCATCCCACGATGTGTAGGCTGGAGCAAGGCAAGCATCATTGGCGACGACCGGCTGGGCGAAGAGCGGACGTACACACCTCAAAGCGATCAATGAATAGTAGCGCACGAATAGGTACAGAACCTTGGGCACCGTCCACGCCGATCTGTCAAATTCGAAATGGAGTTAGACGCATCGTCGATGGTAAAGCTACCGGCGCGAGACCGTGGACGCGTGCCCGAAGCTGTCCAAGCGAACACTCACGGCCATATCAGAGAAACCTGTCAAGGGGAAAGGTAGGACAGTTGAGCGCGCGATGCTTGACTGTTTAGGGATCCACGTACCTCGTCGTCCATCGTCGTGACAATGTCCCATGCGAGCAATGCGAGAGCGGCAACTGGGGAAGAACGAGCGTGAGCATACCGTCCGCGTCCCCGCGACATAGTGCGCGCAAATGTCCAATCCCCCCGTGCGACCCGAAGCGCGATGGTGGTGACCATCCGAGAACCGAGGCGAGATGGCGATGGCAGAACGAGCCGCAGGACGGCATGGGAAGAACTCGCACCGTGGCCGCAGAAGGCGCAACGGTGCAGATGCGGGGAGGGGTGCCAGGGGAGGATGGGGTGATGCACGCGAATCACAGGCGGACGAAGTACGCACCTCCGCTCCGCGCCGCGTCCTGGGTTTGCGCGACTGCGGCGAACGCATCGTGCTCCGCTTGCCAGAGGGCCCAGAAGTCGGCCGCGCTGGTGAGGTTGGCGGGGGAAGCGCGCCAGTCCATCGCGGGGAGAGAGACGAAGCGGGGAGGGCGGGGAGGGAATGGGGAGCGGATACACAGACTGCGGTGAGGAGAGTTCGGAGCGGTGATAGACGAGCGCACTGGTTATAGACGAGAAGACAGCGCGGGAGTCGGGCGAGGGAGCGTCCGGGGCCGCGCGCCGCTGGCTATTGTGCCCGGAGAAGACCACAGCATGGGCCGAGCGCAGATGTTCCGACGCATCGTGGCTCGGGGAGGGCTCGTCGTGGGCGGTCGTGAGAGGCGACAATTGCAGCGGCTCGCTCGGCGCGCGCGTTCCTCGCCTGCCCTCAAGTGCGCGTCATAAATTTGCTGTGTGGACCTCTGTTGGCTGCTTGTTCTGTTCTCTCTCCCGTGCAATTCCAATCAACTTACTTGCCATGTCAATATCATCTTGCCGCTCTCGTTTCTGAACACCCTTGTCATTCATCCCCCACACGACTGTTTCTATCGCGTGGGGGCAGAATTGCTAATAAAGGGGATATCGACCAGGTACTATTTCGGCCTTCCTTCGCGTTTCCACGAGGAGACGACCTTACGAGGTGCCTTACATCCCTTTCACATTACTCGGGCTCATGTGTATGTCGCGTAGATCGTCCAATTGCAACGACGTTTCGGTTCGCGCGGACCTGCATCTCCGTCCGTGTATTGTCTTCTCTCTCTCGGCCTAGGCGCACAGCGACTTCCGGTCTCCTTCGACGACGTTCCATCCGTGCGCCTCTTGTTGTTTGCGAACGCTTGTATTTACCCGAGACAATGACATACTTGTAGCATGGGCAATGCGTTCGCGTTCTGCGGGAAGAGCCGCGAATGCCGATCATGCGACGCGCTGGCCTCCTCTTTTTTGCTTCGTGGATCGCGCACGCTGCGTTCGTCTCCCAGGCACGAGTCACGATAGCAAGGACCACGGACGGACCTCAGGAGCAACTACAAAGCTATCGCAATCGGCCTCTGCGACGCATCCGCGAACTCGTGCCTGGAATCGGGCGTGGGTACCATGGACAGCAGGGTAGTCAGAATATTAACAGGGTCCAGTTCCCATGCGATTTCATGCGCATATTCGAGCTCCCTTGATAATTGAACGGTACAGACCTGCAGTCGTGGCATGTCCTCCGAACGTCGAATCTCAAGTTCTGCTCGTCCTCGAGCGGTCAACGGCATGCATGTGGGTATATTTTAAAGGCAGCGCTCGACGATACATAAGCCTCTGTAGGCACGGACAGAATGCGTACATCGTAGCCACCGGAACCAGCCCGCGAGGCCAGCCCGGCCGGAACCAGTCCTCGCAGGCAAGCGTCCACAGCGCCAGAGGGACTCGACTCGAGGAGGAGGGGGAGGGGGGGAGGGGAAGGGGAGAGAGCAAACACAGAGCGAGAACCAAGAGCACAACAGGGGGGAGGCACGTATTCCTACAGCTGATCGTACACCGAGACCACCAGAACCACCGCGAGAGAACGTCGACTCAAAGCCGCCCGGAGGCCGTCCGCGAGAGCTCCCGCGCGCTGCGGTCCGCCCGAGACCTAGACCTCGACCTCGTCGACAGCGGCGCGCTGGGCGGCGGCCGCGGCACCGGCGGCACCACCGACAGCACCTCGTCCTCCATCGGGTCCGACGGCGAGAACTGCCGCGCGGAGACCGGCGCGCTCGGGAGCGGGCGCGCGGACAAGGACGAGGACGACGGCGGCGGGGGCGGCATCTCCGCCTCGAGCCCCTCGGCCCAGTACATGTCGCCCGACGTCGGCGTGCGCGGGAGCGGGGCGCGGGTCTGCCGCGCGCGGCCCCCGGGCGTGCGCGGGGTGCGCGGCTCGACGGCCCCAGCGGAGCGGGGTGTCGGCGTCGGCAGCGGCCGTGACCCGCGCGGGGTCTTGGGCGGCGGCGGCGGCGGCGCGAGGGGGAGGACGGGGACGGGGACGGGCATGGGCGGGACGGGGAGCGGCGCGGTGCGCGGGCCTGGGGTGGTCGGCTCCGAGTACGCGCTGGAGGCGCGCGACGCGCGGCGCGGGGCGACGTCGCGCGGGGTGCGGGGGAGGCCCATGGGGATCGCCGTGCGCGGGGTGCGTGGCACCGTGGACGCGGTGCTGTTCGGGCGCGGGCGCGGGCCCGCGGGCGTCGTCGGCGTGGGCGGGGTGGACCGCGGCGCGCCGGAGCGGCGGCCCTCCGCGCGGACGCGCGCAGCGCGCACGGCGTCGACGCGGGGGGACTTGCGCTGCCCGCCGGGGGTCGTCGGCGTCGGCGGCGGTAGCGGGGCGCGGGACTCGGAGCGCGCGGGGCGGGACGACTTGCGGCGGAGGAGGCCCCCAACGGCGGCGGCGCTCTCGCGGCCACGGCGGCGGAGGACGGACGCGCTCGACTTGCGGAAGGGGTCGATCGAGTCCGCCTTGGAGCGCCGCTTGCGCGCCCCAGCGCTGAACGCGCCGGTGCGCTTCGCCGTCCGCGGGCTCACGAGCTCTTCCTCCTGCCGGACGTTGATCGAGGACGCGCGGGAGGACTGGCGGGAGAGCGACGCCATCGAGTCCCGCTTCGCGAACCCGGGCAGCGGCGGCGCGCTCATCGCCATCGCCGTCTGCCACTCCGCCGGCGGCAGCATCGGCGTCACCAGCGGGATCTCGAGGTTCGGCGAGCCGGGGGACTCCCGCGCGGTGTTGGCGTACGCGGGGGTGGGTGGGGTCGGCGCGGGGGCGGCGACGGGGACGGGCGACTCGCCGTCCTGCTCGATGATGATGTTGCTCTTGAACGTCGACGTCGAGTCGATCCGCGTGAGCTGCGCGGAGCCCTTGCGCGGGCGCAAGATGGGCGCGGCGGCGACCGCGGGCTCCGACTGCTCGAACGACGGGCGCGCGCGCGCGGCGACGTTCACCCGCGCGGCCTCGAACGGGTCCTCGGGCACGAGCGCGAGCTCCGCGACGCGGAGGCGCTCCATCGACGGCTTCGGCGTGTGCGTCGGGGTCGGGAACGCGCCGGGCTTGGACCGGCTGCGCGCGTGCTGCCAGCCGTCGGCGAGCGTCGCCTGCGAGTCGAGGCTGTGCGCGTCGCTCGTGCGCGTGCCCGCCTCGAGCTTGCTCTCGTCGAACGACGCCGTCGAGATCTTGGCCCCGACCCAGGTCGCGTCGCTGTCCTTGCGCGCGTGCGACGCGGTTGGGGGCGGGAGCGGGGTGGTGGGCTTCGGCGCGGCCTGCGAGAACGGCGTCACGCGCGGGGCGGGCGTCCGCCCGCGCGTCTTCCGGCGGTAGACGAGGAGGAAGACGACGACGATGAGGATGAGCCCGACCGCGCCGCTGACCCCGGACGCGATGATGATCGCCTTCCGGTAGGACTCGCTGCTGGCGCGCGTGCCGGACGTCAGTGCACGCTCACGCGCGAAGGGGGGCGGGGGGCGAGACGTACCTGTTGTTCCCTCCGAAACCGACGTTGGTGCTCGATGTCCTGTCCGGGAGCGTGCTCTGGGTGGATGCGGGCAGTGTGCTCGCCAGGGAGACAGGGCTTTGTGGGACTTCAACGCGCGTTTCGCAAGACAATGATCGTAGCACTCACGTAGAGGTCGTGTCCGTGCCAGAGTCCGTCTGGGGTGTGTCATTAGGGGTCGTGTCGGTTTGGGTCGTGTCGAAAGGAAGGTCGGTAGTGTCGGACATGAGGTCGCGGCAGTCGATAGAAGGAAGGGAACGGATGAACGAAAGGTCCAAGAGGGCGTCTGGAACCGGAGAGCCTGCGAAGAGAAGAAGGAAAAGCGACTGCCCGACCGCCCGACGGCCGAGAGGAAAGGGAGAAAAGCAAAGGGGGGGACGAAGGAAGGGAAAGCTATTCGCTCACGAGCGACGGGAACGCGGTTTCGAACCTGGACCTGTCCTTGGAGCACTCCACCGTGGCCACGCCGCGCTGTGGGCGCAAGAACGCAGGAGACCGGGGACCGTGCGAGACGAGTCCGAGACCAGCCCGAGAGGCGTATAGGAGGCTCACCAGGAGCAGCGAAGAAGGGAACGAGGGGAAAGCCAGCCTGAGGCCTCCGGAGCCAGACGATGGACGACCTCGTCAAAGGTGCGCGGAACAAGCGAGCCCCGCCCTCCTCCTCATGAGGCCCGCGCGCCTGCCCCCATCACCAGCCCGGGGGGTCGATGGTGGACTGGCCCGGGGCGGATCACCCCCCAATCCCAGATGCGCCGTCGCCAATCTATCCTGCGCGACCGCAGAGCACATCATTCCACCAGTCCGTCGTCACCGCTTTACGACGTTGATAGCTGCTCTATGATCAAGGCGGTGCTCTCGTCTTCGGGGGACGCCGGTCTGTGAGGGAAGGCGCGGGATCTGCTGTACATACACGCCGGGAATATCAAAGTTTCTGCTCGTCCGATATGTATGAGTAAACCTTACGAGAAATGTAGTGTTTTTGGCAACGTTCTGAGCCCTTCAGAATGATACATTTCGCGTGCATTGAAACTTTATGTACCTCGACCTATTCCCGAGTCCTCAAAATGAAACATTTCTGCGCCTGCGGAATGATTTCTCACACATAGAGTTCTGGCGGCCCGGGAACTCAAAGTTTCCCGATGTGCGAAATCATCTGCCAAATTTGACGTTTTTCTCATCATTTTGTCGGCCTCGCAACGATATATTTGGCATGGCGTTCCGGCGGTCCTGAAATGTTATGTTTTGGACCTGCGCGCCCGCTCATCGCCCGCGCGTCGCCCGCGCGTCGCCCGCGCGTCGCCCGCTCGTCGCCTGCAGGCTGTCCACCTCCCTTATTTCCCTGCGCCCTGCTTATTGCGCGCAACGATGAGCGAGGTGATGAGTGGGCGACGAGCGGGCGACGCGCGGGCGATGAGCGGGCGATGAGCGGGCGCGCAGGTCCAAAACATAACATTTCAGGACCGCCGGAACGCCATGCCAAATATATCGTTGCGAGGCCGACAAAATGATGAGAAAAACGTCAAATTTGGCAGATGATTTCGCACATCGGGAAACTTTGAGTTCCCGGGCCGCCAGAACTCTATGTGTGAGAAATCATTCCGCAGGCGCAGAAATGTTTCATTTTGAGGACTCGGGAATAGGTCGAGGTACATAAAGTTTCAATGCACGCGAAATGTATCATTCTGAAGGGCTCAGAACGTTGCCAAAAACACTACATTTCTCGTAAGGTTTACTCATACATATCGGACGAGCAGAAACTTTGATATTCCCGGCGTGATAGGCAGAGTTCAGTATAGTCTCTCGGAAGAGGCCATCCGAGACCCCGTCGCGCCCGAGTTCGATCGTCAGCACGGGCTGGACCCACAACCTCAAATACATAGTGCGCAGGGCACAATGAAGCGCTGCTGACAGTCAGTGGCCACTGGCCAGCACGGGGCCCGCGACCAACACGGCAAAACCATGAGTACCCACCTGGATGATGGCCTGTTCCCCCGCCCTGAGCCCGGTACGGCGTGCTCCCGACTCCGGACCCCGATGCTGGAATGGTAATAACATGAGGTTGACGACGCAAGCAACTCCAGGCCTCTCCGGAACGCGGTGAGTTGCGTTGGCACCATCGTATTTTAGGCATCGTAATTTCCAAATCGACTGAGAAACGTCCACTCAGGTGCCGGCCTACTCATGATCGAGGGGCTTCTCCAGCTTTGAAAGACATGAGCGAGGTATTACAACGAAGGTGATGCCTGGTTGCTGAGCGTGACTGAGCAACCGCGGTGATCTTACCGACGCGCTAATCTCCCCAGAAGGGGCCAACTGGCAACCAGGCCTCTGATGGCCGAGCTCGAGCTTCAACGGGCCTCCGCCGCTCTTGCCGTCTAGTAGAATATGATACCATCATTGGGCAGCGGGTTGGCACATGGCGTACGAAAATCACTACTGAACACTACAGGCCTCCGGCGACTGCCGGGCCGACAACACTACATAGGACAAGTACGAACGCTATGACACCAGGTGAGTAATCGACAGACGAGACAAACGACTACAGCTTTTGAACGTACACGGACGCTGGGATCTGTATACACGAGCCTCGCACGCCCCGAGCCGCCGCCCCGACTCTCGAGGCGGCGGCGCGTCTGCGCGCAGGCGATCTGGGAGATGTGGGTGGGTAGGGGGTGATTATACAGCAGATGGAGGTAAGCGAAGCACATTGATGATGGATGAGGAGAGGCATGTATGTGATGAACCGAACGCTTGCTGGTGATGACTTGTGAGTTGTAGCTGATGTGCGACGAGAGGGGCAGATGCAGGTGTCCTTCCGAGTCTGAGATCTGAGTCCGTCCACTGCCACCGTCCTGGAACGGTTGGAACGGCCGCGCCGCGAGCCTCTTCTGCCAAACCCCGCGCAGACCCCTGTCAGCATCCACAAGCGCACCACGCACGAGCGACTCACCTGCCCGCACCGCACCGCGCGGCGGCGACGACTACCGGATCGTGCAGGACATGAACGCCTGCTTGGTCGAGTCCCGGAGCTTCCCCCACACCTCCCACACCTTCAGCTGGCACTCCTCCGGCACCGCGACCGCGATCCGGTGCCCGTTCGGGCTGAGCACGCTCCCCGCGAGCGCGTGGTCCGCGACGCGCACGCTGCGCACGCACCGCAGCGCCGGGAACTGGTGCACCACGATGCTGTTCGTCGCGAACCCGGGCAGCGGCTGCTGGCTCGGCGGCGCGTCCGCGGGCGCCGCCGCCGCCCCGTGCGTCGTCACCATCTCGTTGATGTGCGGCGAGAAGTGGATGGAGGTCACGGGCGCGTCGAACTCGACCCGGTTCGGCTTCTCCTGCGTCGCCGTCGGGATCTCGTCCCCGTTCGAGAAGTCCCAGGAGCGGAGGACGCCGGTGCCCTCGGGCCCGGTGTCGCCAGAGAGCAGGTAGTTCCCGTACCACGGGCACCACGTCAGGGCCTGTTCGACCGCGCACGTCAGCCGCCCGCGCGCGGAGTCGAAGCCCAGAGGGCCTGAGGACGCGCGCTCACCGTGATCGCGCCCGAGTGCTGCATCTTCCGCCTCCGCTGGACCATCTCCCCGAGCTCGAGCGGCACGCGCGGCTTCCGGATGTCCCACACGAGCACGAGCCCGTTCTGGTCCCCGCACGCGACGTGCACGCCGTCCCGCCCCCAGGCCATCGCCGTGATCCTCCCCTGGTGGCGCGTGACCCGGATCGCGCCGTCCTTCATCTTCGCCGCGCCCCCGCCCGCGCCGACGCCGACGCGCGTGTCGTAGTGGCGCACCCCGCCGCGCGCGTCCCCGACGCTCAGCAGCGACGCGTTCCACGCGAGCGCGCTCGGCGTCTTGCTCGCCGCGAGCCGCCACTGCATCGCCGCGCGCTTCGTCGCGAGGTCCCAGAGCTGGAGCGAGCCCGAGTGCGTCGCGAGCACGACGATCTGCGGCTGGTCCGCGCCCGCGGCCTGCACAAGCCGGAGCCCGCCGAGGTGGTCGGGGAGCTTCGTGAGCTGCGAGGACACGCCCTCGGTGTCGTTCATCGACTTGTAGAACACCCGGTTCCCGCGCCCGAACACCAGCGCGTTGCTGTGGCTCCACGCGACCGGGGGCGTGCCGGGCTCCGCCGCCGGTGCGGGCTGGGGGAGCACGGGCGGCGGGGGCATCCCGGGGCGTGTGGGTGTTGGAGGAACGGTGGTGGTGGGAGCGGGATCCACGACGCGGGAGGCGACGTTCAGTTGCCCGAGCGTCGTCTTCGGCGCGGAGCCAGAGTAGTCGATCGAGTTGACCGCGCGGAGGGTGTGCCGAGCGGAGTGTGAGGGGAAGATGAGGGTGCCGTCGGGGCCGACAGACTGGCGGCGCATGCGGGGCTCGCCGTCAGCTGGGGGAGGGGCACTGCCGCGCATGCGTTCGAAAGTTTGACTGTCCACTGAGGACGCGCGAGACAGTGTACGGCCGGGACTGGTGAGTGATGATGAAGGGGATAGGTTGGGACGAATGTAGGAGCCAGTGCCGGAGGCCAGTATTTCGCGGTCGATCGGGCCGTCTTGAGATCGCAGAATACGAGACGAGGTACGCCTCAGAGGGCGCATCGGTGATGACTGGAATGACAACCATGTCAGCACTTCCGCGCATTGGTAGCCACAGGACAAGACGGTTGGAACATAGACCCAAGACTCGCCACCAAATAATATTTCTGACACCGCACATGACCCGCGCCAGCGCAGTCAGTGAGACCTCAAGAAGCCCCGAAGCCCCGGCATGAAAAACCACGGCCCCCAGCAAAATACCGGCCTCATTTCCGCCCCCGCGCGACCGTGCACTCGCACACTTATTTCCGGTCGACGTCGCCCCTAAGGAACGCCGCCACCTCAGCGGAGCGCGCCGGGTGCCCGCAACTCGTCCATCCGCCAGTCGTTCACAGAGGCCCGCCGACCACCGTCAACCACCTGACGGCAGCCGAACGACCACAGCTGGACCACTGTGGGACGCCGTGGGGTCCGCGGTGGGGCACCGAGCCCACCGTTCGCCTCCGGCGGACGGTGCGCACCCACGCGCACTGGCGGCCCGCGGGGCGCTACACGTCGCCACCGCCCACGTCGACATCCGCAGGCGCACCAATCACCGGCGGAAGGGTGGTCAGGGCCCCGCACGCCCTCGACGGCCCCAGCGGCCTCGAGGACGCGTCAGCGAGCGATCGCGGAGGTGCTCGGGGCCCTCGGGGCCTCCTCGAGAGGCCCGTGCGGGCGGGCGGGTGCGCCGTGGTGGCTGAACGATAGCCGGTGCGATGAAAAACTGGGACGATGGTCTCTGGCGCCCGAGCCACGGTGGCGACGCGTCGTCTCGTCGACTCACCCGAGCGGAGATGCTGCCGCCAAGGGTGGGCAACGTCGACTCTCGTCGCAGCTTCTTCGCATCGTGGTCTCCAGAGAGAGACTCGATGGATCGCGTTCGTTTGCTGGTTACCCGATCAGTCGACGGATCAGTGCCAGACAGCGACAAGACACTCACAGGAACGGACTCGTGGCCATCTCGAGAGCCCGCTGGGGCATGGTGGGCGGAAAGAGAGGGAAGGAGACGAAAGGTTGAGGCAGGTCGAGGACGAGGAGACAGACTGACAAAAGGCCCGGGCCCAAAGCGTCAGATCAGGTGATCGTGGCGTGAACCTTCGCGGGACCCAAAAGATTGATGGCCGACCACGTCGGCTCCCACGACTACAAAGCCCCCATTGTCCCACTTCAAGCAAGCTCAGACTCCGTCAACAAGCAATAAATTAGAGGTGCAGCTCTCAAAAAGACCCATCGATTAACAATGCCGGGCGATCGTGTCCTAGTGCTAGCTGCATACAAGACGCAACGATACGACCTCTATCGCGACACTCACGGACACGACACATCAGTATGGGTAAGGGTGCGGGTAGGGTATACTATGGATAACGACAGGGGACCGAACTATGCGCCGGGTGAAAGCGTGCTCCAGAGCGACTCTGGACCGGAATATGCCACATCATCCCGTCACTACCGTCCCGCTCAGAAAGCGGCGCCAAACGCGAGCGCGAGCGCACCAGCAAGGACGCCGACGACGCCGCTCTCAGCGAACATCGCAGACGCGCCGCTGTCGTCACCGAGGATACCGCTGGAGATACCGGCGGCGGCAGCGACGGAGCCGGAGAGGAAGCTCGCGCCGCAAGTCGAGTTGACGGCCTGGTAGAGCTTCGCCTGGCCAGAGATGAAGGCCGAGTTGGCGAGGCCAGGCGCGTACGGAGTCTTGGACTCGTACGAGATGAAGTTGGTGAGCGCAGTGCGGGCGCACGACTGGCAGAGCTTGTCCTTCTCCATCGAGGGGTCGAACATCATGAACAGGACGTTGTTGCTCGTGATGGTGGTCGGGTTGGGGATGACGGCAACGACGGCCTGGGCATCCGCCCGGCGGGCCTTGGACGAGGACACGGTCTGGACGACGGAGCTCGTTAGGCTCGTGAGGGCGCTCGCCGACTTGCCGGTGGTGGAGGCGATGCTGCTGATGCAGTAGTTGCCGCTGTCATCCTTGGCGCAAACCGAGTTCTTGAACGGCGTGAGGGAGTAGAGGATGTCGTAGGTGCGGAGGACATCGGCATTCAGGCTCGAGGTGAGCTCGGCCGTGCAGGCGGTATAGAAGTTGGCGAGGGTGGTGCGGATGGTGGTGTCGGAGCAGCTGGAGGAAGACGAGCACACGGAGGAGAGTGCGGTCTTGACATCATCGGCGGTGGGGGCAGCTGCGGAACTGTTCGTGCTGGGCGCGAAGGCACCAGTGGCGGTAATAAGAGACGATGTGCAGGTGGCGAGGCTGCTGTCGTTGTCCAGGGTGGTGAAGAACTGGGAGCACGAGTCGCTCACGCCCGTGGGGAAGAGAGAGGCCTGGAAACATGGATGAGTATGAGGGCCATGATGACGACTAGAGACACAAAGAGTAGGCAAGGGTGGAAGGTGGCGGTGAATGGACGTTATAACTTTGGGTCAACTTTGCAGAACCAGCCCAGCTAGACCCTGCAAAGCCGTCTGGCTTCTTCCAGCCATCCTGCTTCGCCGCTACCCCGCAAACAGAGCCTCGGAGGATCTATATGCGGAGTCTTGGTGCCCAGTGTAGCAGACGCGAAGCGCAGCAGCTGCGGTGCCCTCGTCCGTCCACCGCACCGATCCCATGGACGCAATCAGATAAAACGGGACTCACGGCGCGGACAAGCGCGACGGAGGCGAGGAGAGTGGCGGCGAAGGCGGACTTCATGGTGTAGGGAGCGTAAGGCGCAATGAGCGTGGGGGAGAGTCGAGAGGACGGCGGTGGAAGAAAAGAGAGGGCAGCGAGCACTTGGCGCGGCAGCGTCAAGTTCGGGGCGTCACCCGTCGCGAGGAAAACACGGCCAAACAGCCCTGGGCAGGCTGACGCGTGACCAGGCGTGACCCGGCTCAGAACGGGCTTTCCTCCCCGCCCGATCGCCAGGGCCGAGACCGCCGCCTCTTGTTTCCTGTCATAACACTCCGTTGTTGTATCCGTTGTGCGATGCTCAAGACCTCTCTTTCCAAGTACGCGAATGTACACCACGGCCTCCGTCCAACCTCCCCGTCTCCGTGTGGAACTCGCGTGCCCCCATCCTGATCGTACACGACACTGACAGCCTTCATCCCCTCCGATCTCAACGCTCATCGACATCGCCCGCGGACCACGCCTCGCGCGGTCAGCCGACAACGTGGCGGCTCGCCTCAGTCGAACGGCCGCATAACGTCGTTGCCGCGCACGTCCGTCGCAAAGTTGCTCCGCACGCCCGCCGCCCAGCCCGGGACCTCGAACGTCGACGTGTGGCACCACGGCTTCAGCCCGAGCTCCTTCTCGATCACTCGCGCAAAGTGCTCCGACCAGCCCTTGCGCGGGAATTTGCCCGTCGTCGTCTCGATCAGCCGGGGGTGGACGAGGTTCGCGCGGCTGTGGAGGGATGGTCCGGGACCCAAGTGAGTACCTGGGTTGCAAACTGCCCGCTCGGGGCCCGCCCCCGCCTCGAAGTGAGCAAGCACTCACATTCCAACGTTGTCTAGAGGCGACACATCAGCGTGCCATCGTCAGCGGCGGGCAAAGAGACGCACCGAGGATCGTCGCGAGCTGCAAGATCTGGCCCACCATCGTGATGTTCCCTCTGCAAGCCGCACCCGCGCGCGAGCACGCGGAGTGCACTCCCCGTCAGCACGTACTCCCCCCTCCGCACACCAGTACGCCGCACTCACCCCTTCACGAATATGTCCTGGTGCCGGATGATCGCGTCGCACACGCTGTCCGCCTCCGCCTCGGGCCCGCCCAGCTGCAGGATGAGGTCGCGCGCGACGATCGCGCCCTTGAACTCGAACGACATGTGCGTCGTCGCCAGGAAGCGCTCCGCGGTCCCGATGTCGTGCAGCAGGCAGCAGAGCGCGTACGTCTCCACCGCGCTCGCGCACTCGGTGTACCCCCACCCGGGGAAGTGCGTCCGGACGAGCGCGGAGCCGTAGACGAAGACGCGGTTGCTGTGGTTGAACGTCTGCTCGTCGAGCTCCTTCTGTTGGGTTCGGGAGATCGGGGTCAGTAGGACGTGTGGAGGCGAGAAGCGGGAGAGGAGACGGGCGGACCTTGGCGAACGCGAGGACCTCCTTGACGAGGGGCGTGTCCGGCAGCGGGAAGTCGTCCGCGATGAAGAGGTCTTGCTTGGGGTTCGGGCCGGACGCGGTGGGGTGGTTCTTGAAGAGCAGTCGGGGTCACGCACGACCGGCGCGAATCCGTACTTCTCCCATTCTGTCGTCATCGTGGTCACAGCGGGATAACGAGCGATTGTGGGGAGCAGGGCTGTCGCGTCTCGCAGAGTATCCACGCCCCTTTATATGCTCCATTGCGCGTTCACGCGCTGCCTTCTGTCTCCCAGCCCACAGCGCGGTCATGATGTCACTGATGTCTCGCCTGACGCAGAGCAAAAAATAATCGAACGCCGTGAACTTAATTTAGTGTCATCTGACACCTGCGGAAGAATGAAAAGCAAATACGACCCATCTTGCACATTCGGAGACAGAGGGGCTGGCCGAGGATGCGGAAGGTCGCGGTACACACGTCGATAGCACATACGAAAGTTATTATCAACTTCATGAAATTAGAATCCTACAGTCAATGTACACTCCGTCGGTTACACATATACAAGTACAGTACACAGAGATAGATGAGAGACTTCAAAACAGTGACCGATGAACGTGAAGATCTCCGACTCACAGGTCGGGTCCATCGGAGTCGGACGACTCGAGATCCGACCAATCGCTTCCAACATGGGCCCCACCCTCGAGCTCGTCCTTGTCGATGATCTCCAGCTCGTCCGAGCCCGCAGAGGGTCGGCGCTTCGACACATCGGGATCCGCAATAGGTGTGGACGATAGCAGGAAGAGGACGGTGTGAGTGCTAGACGGCGACGCCGCCGCAGCGTCTTCGAGATTGGTAGTGTTCTCGGAACCGGCGGTCGGATCGATGAGATGAGATGAGGCTGACGCATCCCGTGAGATGGGTTCTAGAGCGTGGAGCCTTGTTGAGAGAGCGGCCTCGACGGGAGCAGTGGTGGCGGTAGGACTAGGGTCGACGCTGTAGGAGGCAAGGGAAGGGTCCAGTGCGTCTTCAGAAGTGCTAGTGGTGTGGTCGGGCTCGACATCCTTTATAGCCTCTGAGGTGCTGATATCCTCCAGAGCTTGACCGTCGACGGGAACATCTGGGACCGAGGTCGAAGGGTCTTCTTGTTCGTCCACTGAGTCAACGACCGGCGTCTGGGTGCTCGCATCATCCGCATGGGATATGAGGCCGGAGTCAGACGACTCGGAGAAAAGAGACGGTGCTCCAGATGAAGATTCTGGGACCACCACACGGTCTTCAACATCCTTGGCAACGACCTCCAGGGCGACGGCGGGAACAACAGAAGGACGAATGGTGACTGCGGAGTCCGACAGACTGCCCCGTCGCTCCAGCTCGTCCCCCTTCGGAGCCTCCTCATCGACTTCCGTAGCAGAGTCTTCCACCGCAAAGGCATCTTCCTTAGGGATGACCTCAGGCGCGGGTACGGCAGAGCGCACAGTGACCTCCGACCCAGTCACGCTGCCGCGTCGCGAGCTCCCGCGACTCCGGCTGCGCTCCCGCTCGGCCTCGACGCGCTTCTCGACCGCGTCAAGCGCGCGCTCGACCTCCCGCACGACCTCCTTCCGGCGCGCCCGCACCGACTCGTCCCCGTTGCTCTCCACAGCGTCGAGCCGGGTGAGGAGCGCGATAAGCGCGTGCTCGTACGCGCGCACCGGGCTGTTGTGCGCCGTGTACGACAGCCCGTCCGCGTTCGAGGGAGTGGGGGAAGGAGAGCGCGAGCGCGAGGGAGAGAATTCGAGGTGATCAGGGAAGGAGAAGGCATCTTGCAGAGCGCGAAGGGCGTCCTCGACGGCAGTGATCTCGGTGAGGGCTTCTGGGACCGGGGTGGAAGGAGAGGACTCTGGGGTGGACGAGGCTGGCTTCTCGTCGGCACTGAGACCAGACGGACCCGCGACAGGAGCAGGGGCAGCAGCGACGTTGTCGAAGATGTCGGAGTAGAGAATGACGAGGGACTCCAGGACCTCCGGATCCGTTTCGGCGCGGATTCGGGCCTCGAGGTCCTCCTTGAGCGTCCTTGGCGCGGTCTTTGGAGTCTCATGGGAGGAGACTGGCTTGGATGCGACCAGCGGTGCGACGTCGATATCGACGTCAAAGTGGTTGACTTTGCCCTTCCCCTTGCGGTCAACGGGGACCCCCGGGATGTTGAGCGACCGCGAAGTGACAGCTTCCTCGGGCTGAACAAGGGGGACACGCATCAGCGACGGAAGCGGGCGCAACCCCGAGTGGCGTGTACACACCTTCGGCGCCGATACTTGAGTGGCGAAGGGGATGTGCCCACCCTCCGCGCGAAGATAGCGCGCGAGAGCAAGAATAGCGAGCATGGCTTGATGCTCGCGATGACGCTGCGCCTCCACTCGGGCTCGAGCGACACGAGCGCCCTCTTCACGAACGCGCGCGGCGCGAGCGGCCTCTTCGCGGGCACGGGCAGCCTCCTGGCGAGCGGCGAGTTCAGCGAGAGCACGCTGGCGCTCAATGGCGAGTTGCTGTTGAAGGGCGATCGCACGCTGGCGCTCGACGGCGCGTTGGTGGGCGAGGTACTTGCGCTGGCGGTCTTCGTCGCGCAGAGCCGCCGAGACGAGGTCTTCGAGGGTGTGGCTTGGTGCGCTCACAGGGGCGCTTCGTGCGAAGTGGGGATGGGGAGGGTAGTAGGAAGGAGGCTCTTCGAAGTCGAACTGCCGGGGAGCCATGAACCCATACTGGTGGCGACAGTGACGGTGGGCTTGCTCCCTCGCGGCTTGAGCCTGGCGTTGGCGTTGGATCTCCTGGACGCGCGCCTGGGCAGCCGCGTACTGCTCCGCCGCCTGCTGTGCGAGCTCATCGAACTCAGAGTTGTCATCCGAGAAGTCGCGGTAACGACGTCCGGGGTGGCCGTGCGTGTAGCCAGCGGGGATGTGGGTGAAGGCGAACATGGGAGCCAGTTGAGAGTGGTGGTTGTCGAGAAAGAGAGGGATGGCCGGGGCCGCATTCCGTCCTCGTCACTTTATAGGCCATCCTTGTAAAGCAAAGAGGACGCGTCGCCCGACGCGCGTCGCTGCTGCAGTTTGACTCATCGGGACGGGGATGACTATGCTTGTGGCCGGGTCGAAAGCGCGAGCGGATTGCCGTCTGCGGTCGTCGTCGCGGGAAAGCGCGAGAACATCACGTCAGCGACCGCCCAGCCACGATCACGTGCCACGACGCGTCGCTTGAATTCTGCCTCGCTTTGTCCTCTCTTGAATCCGCTCCCTCCCCGGCATTTCTGCCGTGGTGCACCGTGTGGAGGCTCTCGGCTCCTGCACTTACCTCTGATCTGTTGTTATCCACGGCGCTGGATCTGTGGGCTTCGCGTTTGTTGCTCTGGTATTCTTGCACAAAGGAAATGATCGGCAGTGCTTCAGCATTCAAGTAAATGAGTGAGTCCACATGTTGTCCGCTCAGTCATCGGCCTGCAGCTGAAAAACCGTGTCTCTACGAGTCCATGCCTCATTGTGCGGTGACTCATGGACCCCTCGCTGGTCGGAGCACCAGCGTGCGGCGGTCCATGACAACAGTGCTCGCCGCTGGCCTGCAGGAAAACACGCGTTTGATGGCCGTCTCCTTGCCGTGTTTGGAATCTGCGGAGGACAATGGAAAGCGTTGGTTCTGAGTGCACGTGCACAGTTCTAACCAGCTCGGCAAACCCGAACAGATCTCGAGACGCCCAGCCATAAATGTCGCTTCCACCTCTCCGCCTTCCCTTCCTCCTTACCACCATCTGCCCCTCCCTCTCTCCTCCCCTGGTTTCTCTTTTGATGTGGAGACACTCCAACGCTGTGTACTATATGTTATACATTTGCATCCACTCATCCGCTACGTTTTGTGTTTTTGTGCTGTCGATGCTCACAATCTCGTCGCCCCAGCCTCAACACCCCACCCACACGCAATTGTTTCAAGGCTGACCACACGCTTCGGTATGATTTGTATTGAATGCCTGCATACGCTCTCGACCCCTCCCACAGACGTGATAGCGTTGCTGCTCCTCAAGCTGACCACTCTTGTCCTGACCACCCATGTCGCGTGCTCCTTGCACATGCAATACGCTAAAATTCGCGGGCCGTGGTCTGCTGCTGCTGTGCTGTGCTGCGGAAGGCGGGTGACCCAGTGCTGGGCATATCGTACGTCGACCTCGACCTTAACTACGCTGACCTCGTTCTTCGTGGAGCACTTGATCGCGGACATATTCATCCCGGCAACGTACGTGATCTTCGCGCGTTCAAGTCATTCCTTGCTCATCGTGTTACGCAGCATGCCAAGCCACAACCAATCACTGTGCCCACGGTGCGTTGCTGGCCTCTCGCGCTCTGTCGATGATATCCTTCGTTGCAAAGCCTCCCCATCTGGACCTCACACTGACAGCCACGACCGGTACGTCCGCCGCTCCTCACCTCGCGTGGCTAACGCGTCTTCAATCCCGTCGGCTGAGATCAGGCTCTTCCGCGACTGGCTCAAGACCCTCGGTGAGTATCTACCAGTCTGTACTGTGTGCTTACAGTATTTTAGGATCCTCCCGTCCAGAGCCATGTTCTTTCTTATCTCAGTAGTGTGCCGACGCGGTTCTGCGTCAAGTGACTGTGAAGCAGACAGTCCTCGGTGAGTCTTTCCCTCTTCACTACCCTGCTGATTGTCACACAAGGAGGTCAGTTTTCCGTCGAACCCTCAAGTCTTCTCGTCATATTGTGAGTTCTATATTCGAGGTCGCTGAGCTCACTGGTCGGCAGCCGCAGGGCACGTGTCTCCGATTGGAACCCGTGTACGTGGTCAGTTCACGGTAGTGTGTGCTGACTCCTTCTGTACGTAGCATCCGATGGCCTCAATAGTCTTTCGCCGCAGCATAATATGCCGTCGAAGGTGCGTCGCCGCCGCGCTTCCCACAGCTGAATCACGGTGGTCAGATGTCACCCCCGGATGAAGACCGCGCCGCACAAAGTGCCCGCAGCAAGTGTTCATCTAACATCTCTCAAGCTGCCCTCTGTTGCGCGAATGAAGGTTCGAAGCGTCTCCGCACCAACATCACCCCACAATCAAGGCGCTAAACAGGTAAGCTTGCTCCTTGTCTCGTGTGGTTGATGTGTTCTCCGCTCCAGAGGCGACCGGATATTCTCAGATCGAGCAGTCGCTCGAGGCCATTGGTACGTCTTCCGACCTCGTCCCTGCTGATGTCGCCACGCCCCAGATGTCACGGGAACATGGACTCGAGGAGGATCCATGGTAAGTCTTTCTATAGTGACCGCCGCGTTGATGGCTTGTCCGGTAGTTTGCGTTTCCACCCCCCTACAATGCTCTTCATCTCGACTTATGAGCATGTTGCCCTTGCAAGTCGCCGGGGGCCCCCGATGTGCGTCATTCGTTGATCTTTGTCAGTGCTGATACTGTCTTTAGCACACGACGCTCACAAAGGTTCCTGCGAAATGCGCAAGTCGCTCAAGGTACGTTCCGCTGCGTTCCAATGCGCTGACTTCTGTGAATCAGGGGCTAGGACGCTTCACGAAAGCTGTCCGCGATTGTTTCCGGTGAGTATTTATCCGATGTCTCTCAAGCTTACCTCTATAGTGTAAACGTGTCACAGCAAGCAGGGATATGTCAAGAGCATGCTGCCATCATGAAGAGGACGGTGTGATCTCGGTCAGTCGTGTCGTCTGCTCTGCCACACTAATCGCCGGTTCGTCGATTTGCCCCCTCCACCCAAAGTCAATGCCTTGCGTCATGTTGTGAGTCCAGACGTTTCGTGTGGTTGGCTGATTGTTATAAAACTACAGTCTGCCACGCGTCGTAGCCCCGCCCTTCCCAGTGCCAACCCTCTTGACATATGACATGTCCTGCCACAGGAAGAGTGGAACATAGCCGGTGCGCGTTCATTTTCGCTTCTCCCATGCTGACATCGCTTCGCCCAGATACGCGTTACGCACAAGGGCTGATGAAGAGGTCGACGTGTGGGGGACCCCGAGGTACGGTCGGCTCTCGCGCGAGCCGTCCCAGCGCAGGCCTCTTCGTGGCCCTCGGGACCAGTACCCGCCGCGGCCTCGCGCTGCAGCGGGGAAGCCAACGTGCGCTAAAATCAATGTCTCTGACCGTCTTGTAGAAGTACTGCATGGGCGCATGGCGTCGATAGAAGAGTACCGCATGTATTCTGGGACTTGATGTCATGCAGTTGCGATAGCAATCGAATCCTCTTGCGCGCGCAACTGTCCCCGCACCGTCCGCATCTCGCGATCGTTCACGCGCCTTCGAGTGACCTTCCTTCGAGGGGCTGTCTCCAGCTCGACGCAACAACGTTTATCACGCAAGCTCGGGCTCAACTCTTCTATTCAGTAGCAGCGATAGCAAAGCAAGCAGCGTACGTAAGCAGTCCGTGGACGATGGCAGAGCGAAGGGTAGGTGATACAGTATATACAGGCTCGGTGTCCGCTGGGGCAGGTCGATACCGTCTATGTCGAAACCGGAACGGGAATGGCGCGAAGAACGCGAAGCGCAGCAGGGAGGGAAGCCGACAGCAACAGCCTAGTACGCCGCTATGAGCCGCGGCTCTCGTTTGAACCGCGCTGGAAGAGCCGAACCGTCAGTGAGCGTCGCCCGGCCGTGCCGACGACGGGAGACGCACCGTAGAGCAGGCACAACGCGCCCAGGACCTGCACCGCGCCCGAGTACGCGGCCACGACCTGCCAGTTGTTGCCCGTCGCGCCGAGCAGCGCGCCGCCGATCGGCGCGCCCGCCGCGTTCCCTGCACCCCGAGGTCAAAAACGTCAGCGCGCGACGCGAGAGAGGGTGAGGGGGCGCAATGCGACGCACCGGGAGCGTTGAAGAGGAGGAGGAGCCCGGAGAGGCCCGCGAGCTGCGCGACGCCGTAGACCTTGGCGGCGACGGCGGAGATGAGCGAGAGGAAGCAGCCGCAGAAGAAGCCGTAGAGGACGGCGAACGCCATCTGCGCGCGCGGTCAGCCAGAGGACGCACGCACGCGCGTGCGGGAGCGGGGGACGCACCGTGCCGCCGTACGAGCTGATGAACATCCACACGAGCAGCTGGGTGAGGCCCGAGGCGGTGATCGCGACGAACAGCGCGTTCACGGGCCCGAGGCGGTCCGCGGCGAAGCCCACGAGGATGCGGCCGAGCGCGGCGGAGATGTTGAGCACGGTGAGCGGGAGCGCGGTGAGCTGCGGGGGCGTTGAGTTAGCGCGCGATCCACTCTCGTGAGTTAGGTAGACTGACCAGCTCCGGGAGGTGGGGCGCCACCTGGGCCGTGAAGGTGGGCAGGAGGAAGATCGGGCCAAAGTACCCACTGCGCGCGAACGAGGAAACTCGCCATTAGCACACCGGGTTCGTAAGAGGGGCGGCAGCGCCGTGTCGCACACGCAAGGCCGCGCGACCACCGCGCACACACGCCTGAGCGGACGGACTCACAAGACGGTGAAGAAGAAGCAGAGCGCGAGGCTCCAGAAGACCGGGTCACTGAAGAACGCGCGGTCGAACCAGACGATGGCCGGCCTCTTGTGCGCGGGGCGGCGCTCGGTCATCATGAAGTAGCCCGCGGCGAACATCGCGGTGTGGATGCCGGTGAAGATGGCGAGCGCCTTGCGCAGCCCGAGCGAGGATATGAGGAGGCGGTAGACGATGGAAGCAACGGCGCCGCCTAGAGAAGGGGGTACGCATGTGAGTCAGCGTGTGGACGCAGAGTTGTTACAGGACGACCGCGTACCGACTGAGCTACCGGAAACCACGATGCCTATGGCGAGGGCGCGGTGGCGAAGGAACCATTGCGTGGGCAACGCGACCTTATTACGACAGCCGTGAGCGGAAGGCGCGAAAATACACGGCACGGAATATTCACGATGAGCGGGAAGATGAGCGCGTCCGCGATCCCCTGCATGACGCCCTGCCAGAAACCGTCAACACCATTCCGTACGATGAAAACAGCCTGAGGCGAAGACCGACCATGGTGATGAAGAACTGCCACACCTCGGTGCAGAACGCGCTCGCGACCATGCTCGCGACCCAGATGACCGCGCCCGCCGCGAGGAAGGGCTGGACGCAAGCGCGCGGTGAGGCCCCGAGCGCGGTCCGTGGGCAAAAGCAGACGGGAAGCATACCTTGTACCCGCTGTGCGGCCGTTCAGCGCCTGGAGAAGGACACGGGCGGGAGTTCGAGGTACGCACTATCGGTCTGCCAGCTTTCCGGCCACGATGCTCCCCAAGGTCATGATCTGCCCAGGCCGCGGTCCGCGCGTGAGCCTCAAGCGGCGGAGCAGGCGGGAGAGGGGACGCGCACCAGCGGGGGGAGGCTCCCCAGCGTCGTCAGCACCGAATCAGGCGTGCCGGGGAACATCGTCGACTTGAAGAACTCTTCCGTGACGCCCCAGACCTGCGCGCGAGCGGCAAGAAGAAAGAAGTGAGTGCTCCGGGGGAAATGCGTGCGAGGTAGCCCGAAAGCACTCACCAGACTGTATGCGCCGTCGCGCGAGGCAGGCCCGGTCAGCTCCGAGCGAGACAGGGAAGGAGACGGCGCGGGGAAGACATACGCACCCCCAGCCCACGGTCGCCGCACAGAAGAGAGCGCAGCCGCAGACGACGACCCAGCCCTGGCCGCCGTCTGGGAACGTGTCCTCGTACGCCGCGGGGGCCTTGAGCGCCCGCTGCGCTCCGTGCTCTTTCCGCCCCTCATCCTCCGCCGGCGCGTCCTCCCCGTCGTCCTCCCGAGTTATCGACGGCGACACGGAGGATGTTGGAAGCTCGAGCAGCTGTATGCCACCTTTGTCGTGAGGAGAGAGTTTCTCCATGTCGGCGGTGATGAGCGTGGGCGCTAACGCGTGTATGGGTGCGGACTCCATAGGATCCATAGGTAGATGTCGGTTGATCGGTATCTGGCCGCTGAGTTTGGGTCCAGGGTCGACAGAGGGGGACTGGAGCTCGGCAACCGAGGATCTGGAGGATCGCCAAGATCTCGTCAAAGTCAGAGGTGGAGGACTAGTGCGAAAAGGGCAGTGCAGGAGGACGTGTCGTTTGGAACGCTGCAGGGGCGAGGCACAAAGGGGGCCGCGGCGGAAAGGGCGTTTGGCGAGGAGAGGCAGTGGGCGGGAAGGGACGTGGATAGCGGCTGGGGAGGAAGGTCTCTATATCTTGCTTCGCGTACTCCAGCGATCCCAGGGTGCTGCCGAGATCAACGCTCGCCCCGAAGACGGTCGCGAGAAAGGTGCTGCGAAGGACGGCGAAGGCAGCTGAGAAGGGCGCGCGTCCGCACCGTTCGTGCACGCCGTCATCAGCATGCCGCGACGCCGACGAGCGTCGCGGCGGAGCAGGGTGCGCCCACGAAGGACGAGCGCAGGCGGGGTATCCGGTGATGAGTACCCTTTATCCGGCATTCAAACGGGGGGCGAGACGCACCGCGCAGGACGCAGGATTGGTCGCGGGGGCCCGGCGCTGGGGCGCGTGCGCGAATCGCCGAGGGGAAGACGAGGGAGCGTGGCCGTCCACACCACGCCGCCCGTCGCGTGATCGTGACAGATCTTCTTCCCGTGCGTGGCTGTGTGTCCCGCCCTCCTCCTCCGGCGGTCCGACGATGAGGTCACCTCGATGTGTCCCCACGCGAACCTCCCCACGGATCTCGTCCGACGTCACTCTCGCCAGCTGCGCCCTGCCCGCCGCCCGGTCCATCGTCCACTTCGCCCCTCCGTTGGTTGCCACTCACGCGCCCCCGCGTCCACCCCGAAAGACAGGCGAAACGCTCCACTGGGCGGCCCGCCGCCCCGCTCGCTCGCGGGGCGCACACGGGCGGACCATCATAGCCATCCTGTGAACGCGGTGGCGCGAAGTCGCGTCCAGCGATGGACCATGGCAGCTCGAATGACCGGTCCTCGATGCCATATCCAACGCGCCACCCCACTGCACTTATGGTCCGGCCGCAGGCTTCGAAGAACGGTACCTTGGGTCAGAGAAGCAGCCGGTTGAGCACGACCAGACGCAGGTGCTTCCCAGAGCGCACGCCAATCAAGCGCGGGCAGCACAATAGCCGCCTCAGGTGCCTTCCAAACATTAATTGCGTTTGTTCGCCCATCTATTGCTCTTCTGTCTCGCCTGCCGCAGCCTGAAATTCCCATACGACCACACCGCCGACCGCATGGTGGGATCACAACAAGCCATCGACGCATGTGAAACTGTTTTTGGCGACGTACATACAGAACATGGATCCTAGATGCGCGTGGCTTCCGGCGGTTGAAACTCTCCCCTATTTCCAGACCTTCCAAACGTGCATGTGCGAGCGCTGCGAACATTTCCAGGTGAGCTTGGTGGCTTCTCCTGGAATGTCAGCACGCACCTCGTGTCTTCACACGCCATTCAGCGTTGAATATCCTTGACAGAACACCTGCCCAGGTGCCCACGAGGTCGGGAGTTCTTTGGCCCGCACATCCGGCCCCGCACGCCTAGGCGACCATCCACATTAAAGCCAGGAGAAAGGCAAGTAAGGTTTTCTCTCGCCCATAGAAATGCTTTTTCTGAATGCACGTGGATTTCAAACCTTAGAAACGACTCCCAGAAAAGCTCCCAGAAAAATGGTGGCCCTGGCGTAGCGCACAATCACCCCCACCAGCTAATCGCTGCGGTCCAGAATTTTGGCGGTCTAAGTAACGGCAACGTAAGCTATCGATCCGACTATTGATCGTCCACCACGGTCCTCTAAAAGTAGCACGAGGAGGCATGACACATACACGTACAACCCGAGCTCTCTTCCTCTCCTGGGCCTGATTACCCACCGGCATAATCATGAGGCAGAAGCCACCTTGTCTCCGAACCACCGAGCGGCGGCGGCAACACCCGCCGATAGGAGGAACGTCCCGTCGAAGAGCGTCCCAAAGAACTGGTACTCGGGTAGCGTCGCGAACAGCGTCTCCGAGGTTGCAGAGGTGTCTGGCCGTGCGGGTGGTGGCGGAAACGACGTGCGCAGCTGGATGAGCGTTGAGAGGAGATAGATGCCCATCACTTGCGCGAGCATGAGCATCATGAGCGATGCGCCGAGCGAGCGACTGGTCACACGGAGGACCTACGGGCGAATGTCAGCACCGTGTCGCAAACGGATAGCGAGATCTAAACGTACCCGCGCGACGCCCTGCAGGATCCGACGGATCGAGCTCAAGATGATAACGCCGACAAGAATAAGACTGATTTGACGAGAAATGACGGCCACGCGGCCTTGTGCGACGTGCACGAAGGGTAGGAAGGAGAACAGGTGCGCAAGCACAAGGCTGACGACATCCGCATTTGTTGACGTCGACGCTCCTGGAGTGGTTGCCGCGGACCGGGGAAGTATCAGACCGACGATGCACTGCGTATGAGCGCCGTGTTAAAAAAAGTCATGGCGCGCAGTTACTTCGAAACACTCACGCTGAAGATGCGATACACGCAGTACATGGCGAACAAGCGGCCACCCCAGTTGAACAGTCGTCCGGCAACCGTCTTCGAGAACTTCGCACTCGCCTGGCGCTGCTTCAGGGTCTCCAGATTGCGTGACATTTCGTACTCCAGCGCTTGTAGTCCTGAGATCTCCTGGGCAAGCGATGAAGCCTCTGGTGGGTGACTAAGGGAACCCGCAGGACACTGAGAGACAGCGAGACGCACCACTGTTGCCCGAGAAGCTCGGCAGCGCACGGTAAAGCCAATGGGATGAGTGTGCCTCGGGATTCTAGATGGCGGAGTGTTGGAGGCAGGTTGAGCAAAGACATAGATGCACGCACCTTGGACTCCTCGAGTGTCCTCAACTCCTTTTGTCGCCGGACCAGATCCTCTCGAACCCTCCCCAAGCCAGACTCCGCATTCCTAACCTCATCATCCGTTGGGTGCGACCTTTCGCAACATGCTCAGCCATGAACGTGATGATGTGACAAAAAACTCACCTGGACTGTTTGGAAAACACTGGGAAGAAGTCCCACGCCGTGTCTATGGCCGCAAAGCCAGACAGTGCGCCTATTATCACGGTACCTATCACGGTGAGGCGAGATAAAGTCGATGCCATGATTGTATGCGTCGGCATCCCATCAGGCAGGGGGACATAAGATAGAGCGAGGAGAGTGAGGATATTGGGGATGAGGTACAGGGCTAGACTTGCCGAAAACACATTATGGTGCGACGAAGGGACTGGCTGAGATGTGAATACAAAAATGAGGTGTGAAGGAAGAAGGAAGGAAGCTCACCACCAGGGGCATTGGACGAGTTGCTGAGAACAAGGCTGTAAGACACGGGTATTACGAGGACGATGGATATGATGAGGAAGTAAAGAGAGATGTTCCAGTGAAGTAGTCGGACCCTGCGGACGAATTCAGCCAAAGGATTCATGCACGAGGGGTATATGTGGGACGTACATCGGGTTAAACATGTCTAGACCTTGACACACCAGCAGGATGAACAAGATGCAACTCTCCGAGAAACAGAGCGAGAACAGTGTTCTTGATAGGAACGAGTGGAAGAGTCGTTTCCGTGGGGTGTTCACTACGTTCGGAGACGTCGTGGGCGCAGGGAGAGTGTTCAGCTCCACGCCATCTGCATCGAAAACCACGGCTGGGGTACCGGGAGCCGAGTGAGTCTTGGGGGATAAGTCTTGCAGGTCGTGATAGATATGATGGAGAAGATATCGCCGCGACGCAAAGAACAAAAGTGCTCTGCAAAGATACTGAGGACTCCTAAGGGCGAGCTGTGATGCATGAAACATACCGTGAAATTATGAACACAGACGACTGTGCCACATATGTGCTGAAGGCGGTTGCGGACATGGCGGAGGTTGGGCGTTCGCGGGATGATCGCTATTGGGTGGACGTACGTCTGCGCATGTACGAGAAGGGGTGCGGGCGGGGAGATTGAGGGACTTTCGTCGTTGGGGATCGGGGCAGGGCGAAAGCCGTAGCGCTGCGCGGGATACGCAGCAGACGCTCACCACGGTCCGCGACACGTCGACGTCATCGCGTTGTCGCCACGTGGTTGGCCCTCTTGTCAAGAGTGATGGCGCTTCCTCTTGTTATACTCAACCGTCGGCCGAGGAGTGGAAATCGGAGATGACGAAAGTCGCCGAAGGCGGGGCATGTCGGGATAGATCGGAATCCCCAGGAGCGCCGATGTAGAAGATGTGTGAGTGAAGCTGGTCCTCGAGGCACCCAGGCTGAAATCTTATCGAGAAGAGGCCCAAGTCGGAGGAGGAACCGGACAGCGCCGGCCATTTGGATTTCGGTCGAATTCGCTCCGAGGGTTTCCGAGCCTGGTCGGGCGGCTGACGGCTTGAGTGGCTCAGCCTCTCTGCTTGGTCCTTGAGGCTAACTTCCGCTTGGTTCCTTCGGCCGCCGGCCTCTGCAGATATAAACGAGCAAGGTGGTCTCACCACCTCCCCAGTCACCTTCCACTACCAAGCCCACGACAGCAACCTTACATCCCCTCCTTTCCGCGACGGATTTCAATGTTCCAAGCGTTCAAACATTCACCCCCGCCTACTAACGACTCAGGCAAGGCCCTTTGAGGGCCAAATCAAGTCGTTTTCTTCTTCCTTGCTCACACATGCTTACTATGCTGCTTCCAGGCCATCGTTTGCCGATCCAGCTAGCGAACAAACACTTAGATAAGTAGTCTGTACCTCGCGATCGGTAAGTATCTATACCTGCTCTGTTGTTGCTGACAGGCCTCCCAGATTATCTGAGAATCCAGAATCCATGCGGTATCACTACCTTCGATCCATACAACTTGTTACAGTCAATGTGCGTGTCGCTTGCGCTTGACTCCTGTGCTAATGACGTCATCGGGCGCGGGTTATCTTCAACTACCTGTATAGTCCGCAGGTCTAGTCTTGAGAAATCCATGGAACATAGCCACATAAAGCTTGTAGGTTCCGACATCCGAGTTTCTCATCACTGACGTGACCTTTTCCAGACTCGAACTCCACAATGCACATTCAAGTCAAACGCACAATCAGGGCCGCACAGCCTGACATCGTAAGCGTTTCACACATGACCGAGACTGACCCACTGGTCCTATACATCATGCAGAACTAGATCTCAAAATGTACCTTGGTGCATATCCGTTTCGGTGAGTCGCCATGGAATATCGTGGTGTACTTATACGTTGCTAGACAGGTTCAGCATCCAGAGTAGACGACGAACAGGGCGACAGTCGGAAGGATCTCGAGGTAGGGATGGTTGCTGGTGCAGCCATCCTGGCGCAGGCCTCTTCGTGGCCCTCGAGACTAGTACTCGTCGTCATCGTGTTGATGTTGATCGCACATGCCACGACGAGGAAGCCAACATGCGCCGAATGTGACCATCTAGGAGGAAGGTTTGATACATGTACAGGGAGCTGTAGGTGCACCCATGTTGTATTCCGGTGTTATGAAAACGATATACATGGGCACGTGGAGATCTATGGGTCGAGCAGTACAGAAATGTTAGGCAACTAGTAAAACTGTGAGACCACGACAAGATAGATCTCATGGCTGAATTGATGCCTTTCGTAAACTCGCTCTCCCCCGCATTAGTAACTCCGATCGTCCATCGGAAGGGACGGAGAGCAGTTGTCGGGGTGGCAGGATGAAGACGGAAAGATGATCAAAAGACGAAACGCTTGGTAAAAGTGAATAAAGGGAGTATACACGAAAACACCGCCGTAGTTTCAATGAGCTACCATCCCTATCGAGACGTCAGCCTCCAGCAGCGCGCACGATATTGACTGCGCTCACCAATCCCGCGAACAAGCGGATGTCCGCATGCGTTTCATACTGCTCGCCCTCCGCGCTGTTCACCTTCAAGACCAAGAACTTACCTTCGTCCGCGTCCCAGTGAAAGATGCGCTTCACGCCCGCCCACCGGCACCACTCCAAGCACCTCCAACACGGCCGCGCGCTCCCCGTCCCGTGCTTCGTGAATCGCGCGACGTACAGGTCGGAACCGTTCGTGCGCGGGTCGCGTCGCCGCGCGCCCCACCCCCGATCGCCGTTCTTCAAGCGTGTCGCGGCGAGTACATTCCGCGGCGCGCTGCATCCGGCGGATCCTCTGCTCGACGTCGACATCCCGCCGTCGCAGTTGCTGTCTTCGCCACCGTCGCTGCCGTGCTGCATCCGCACCGGCGGTCGCGACTTGTTGCGGCGTTCAGTCTTCGTCTTGCCCGGCTTAGGCGAGACCGAAGACTCCGCGCTGGAGGCGGTCGCCGCGTGCGAGAGCGGCGACATCGGCGGGCTCAAAGAGTGCGCTCTCTGAGCCCGCGAAGGGTTTTGAACCTTTTGGTGGTGTGTCTGGTTGTGTTGTGGCCGGTGGAACGCGCTGCACCGAGCCTTGAACCTGCGTCTTGAAAGAAGGGGACATGCCAGTGCAGCAGAAGATGGCGTGCATCTCCGCGTGCATGGACACCGGCTGCATGACGACAGCATATGAGCGCAAGAGCGTGGATGGAGAGGGCAGAAGGCAGGGGAAGGTCCGACGTTGGGAGGGAAAGCTCACCTTGCGATGTCCCTGCGTCCTCACTTCGGCGCCGTCGTAATGCGGTCGATGATGATTGTGGCCAGAAGATATGACCTTGCCGCCCTTCACAAGAACGGCTCCGAGCGTGAACCCCATCTGACTCTTCGACGCCGCCTCGGCACACTGGGATAGATAGAACTGGGACTTGTTCATGATGGATTCAAGAGCAGCTGAGTAGGTTGCGTATATTTGGTCACATTTCGATCATAGCCAAGGCAAAACAAAGAACTTACATGTCTGGTTATTGCGTAAGTGCAAGATTCAACACAGCAGAGTAGCAGCAGGACAGGTGAGCAGTGATATTCGGGGAATAAAGAGCTCGATGAAGCAGTCGGCGGTCGCGACATGACGCCGTCGCCAGGTGCCGCGCCGGCCCTAAACTCAGTCACGCGACGTTTTTATCCCCGCAAATTTGAGCGACGATCTCTGCTTTTTCCCTCTCCCCGTTCACTATGCCCTCCAACATCGCCACTTCTAATACCATCTCGCGACCGCTCCTATGTTGAAGGGTGAGTACTTTCTTCTTTTCTCCGCGTCCACTGCACCTCGATGTGATGAACACAACGCTATGGTCCGTGTTTCCAAGAAGCGACTAGACACCGCTGCTCAAGTATGCAGACACCTTTTGCACCTAGCTTTCTGATCCCTTATTCCGCGTTTGCGACCTGCATCTAAGTGGTGTGCTAACGTAGTCTCCCATAGGTCCATCTTTCGCAGGCGGATGTCGTGGACTCCAATGAATGTGATCGGTTCTGCAAACGGTCGGCGCGTCCGCGACCTCCGCATATCGCTGCCTGCAACTGCAACATGCTGATATCCAGGGCGAGGTTCGTCGTCAAGGTTCGTGCAAGTTCCTTCGCTTTGTCGCATTGTTCCCCCATGGCTCGTCCTGTAGACCTATGTCCCCCTGCCTGTAACGTCGGTTCGCGACTCTGAATGCATTTCCATTGTTTATCTTCTACGACGTTCATGATTAAGCCTTGGGATGATGAGACCGTTATGTCCGCCCTCTCAGAGTACGTGCGCTCCAACTAGATGGATGGCCTCATAGTCGAGCCCATCCGAGTAGCATCTTCAGTCACTTCAACGTTTGAGCGGCGTCTGTACCGTCTTCCTCCTGGTGCATAGGATGAGAGAGTAGCCAATCCCACAACAACGATGCCGAAGGCTCAACGGAGCCTCCCTGTCTTGAAGATCAAGTATATTTCGCCCGCGGTAAGCCTCCCGTTTTTGTCTATCTCCTCAGCGCTCTATGTAGGACATGTGTTCCACTGATCGACTGGTTTGTACGTACTACTTCCTTCCTCGAATAATCATGTCCACGCATGGGCGAACCAGACACACGCGATGACCTTCCATCAAACATCAGGGACGAGCCACGGGATCGGTATCACCGTGAGCCCATGGTGGGGACGAGCGAAGAGGAGATGGCCCATGGGTCAGGCCCAGGCTGCACGAGGATCAAACACAACCGGGAGCAGCAGTGCCCTCTACAAACTGAGATCGTGGACGTATTCCATTGCATCGAGTATATGTATGCAGGACTACTTTTATATACCCTGCCGACGTGTAGCATGCTGAACTTGAGATCCAACGAGTGCTCCCCGATCGCGTCTTTGCGAGTGTAGAAAGGAATGAGTCTCATGAAGGAAACGAAGGCCGAAACAGCGAGGCGTATATTTTAGCGCACGTTGGCTTCCCCGCTACAGCGCGAGGCCGCAGCGGGTACTAGTCCCGAGGGCCACGAAGAGGCCTGCGCTGGGACGGCTGGTGCAAGAGCCGACCGTACCTCGGGATCACCCATACGTCGACCTCTTCATCGGCCGATCTACCGCTCTTGTCAGCTTGACGTGATATATCTTCATCGCATCCCGACACCTTGATGTATGAGAGGAACACGATCACTGCCCACTCGCCGGAGTAGTGTCCCCGTCTTCTGTGCGGCGTGTCACTTCCCTTGCGCACTCTGCAGTGGGACATCGTGGTATTCCCTGTACGGCCGATGTTGGAAGCGGTGGATCGTTGCACGAGTTCAGCGAGCACATACCAAAAGGTCATAACAGGTAGCGCTGACTTGCCACAGCGCCGCCTGGTTCGAATGCATGCGGATCCTTGACGCATGCTGCTCGCACATACCAAAAGGTCATAACAGGTAGCGCTGACTTGCCACAGCGCCGCCTGGTTCGAATGCATGCGGATCCTTGACGCATGCTGCTCGCACATACACGGGCCCTTGGGAAGTGTGCGTGAGATCGCGCCGACGCGCATGGTTGAAGCACCCAAGTGAGCTCGGCCGAGAAGAGGGCACTGTCGCTCAAAGTGAACGCATATGTGCAGCTGTTATGTGGGCGTGTCAGCGCCCAAAGTTGCAGAGGTGAAGCGTGCACTCACTTTCGTGCTCCAGTCGGGTGATTGGAAGCATGAGGATACATCTTGTGTGAGGTTGCACCCCGATGGAACGTGACTGCAGAGCAAAGCGTTAGCCACGGTGAACGAGAGACGGGGACGCACGTTCCGGTCTTGGTTTCAGCGCACGTTAGCTTCCCCGCCGGCGTGTACACGTCGACAGGTACTGGTCCCGAGGGCCACGGAGAGGCCTGCGCCAGGACGACGGCCGAGCCGCCGACCGTACCTCGGGGTCCCCCACATGTCGACCTCTTCATCAACCCCTGTGTGTAACGGTATCTGTGCGAAGTGTTGTCAGCATGAGAGAAGCAGAAGTGGACACACACCAGCGATGTTGGCGTTCTCTTGATCGAATCTTGCCTATGGCAAGACATTTACTTGAAGGGCGACGCCTAATCATGAGACGTTAGGGCGCAGATCGGAGAACGCAGTGGCGACGTACCTTCCCTCTGTAGCGTTGTCTGCCAAGGGGGATAGCATTGGGAAGAGCGAGGAGACGACTAACAGTGATGGTTCCGCGCGGGGACGCTGTAGTGTCATAATAATCAGAAAACAACGTGGAGTGTCTGAACTCACCAGAGTCGGGGACAATGCATTGCATTTGAGTGGGGAGGTAGACTAATAAACAAATGATCAGTGAGGCGGATCATATGGCACGACTTACCGAGAACACGTCGTCCCACCAATGCGCGTCACGATGTATCTGGGCGAAAAGGCCTCAGCTTGAGAGAAATACAAGGAAAACGCACCGGTGATGTCAGCATGGTCTTGACATATCCCTGTTTGGTGAGACACATCTACGCCATGGAGGTAAGCTCGGCATAGTCGAATCGATACTCACCAGAGACAATCGCGGATAGCCTTCGTGTCATCTAGCTCCTGATCCATAGACGTCAACACATTGGAACGTAGCCGGGACGTACCTCGAACGACTTGTACATCTCGCAGGAACCTTTGTGACCGTCGTTTGCTGCAGAGAGCATCAGCAATGGCGAGGGTCAGGGGACGACGCACGTGAGTTGCAACTTGAAACGGCGAACACGCTGTGGTTCGAGCTTACAGTCCGATAAACTTGCAAGTCAAGTGAAGAGCGTTGAAGTGGAGTAGAACCACAAACATCTGGACAAGCTATCAGCGGGGCGGTGAAGATGGAATGACTCACATAGATCCTCCACAAGTTCAAGGTCCTGTGATATCTAGGACGTAACGATATCAGCGGTGACGAGGCAAGAGAGAACACACCTCAGAAAGGACGACGATCAGGCGGCCGGACGACATACCAATGACCTCGAGCGACCGCTCGATTTGGGAATCCCTGGTCGCCTAGTATGGAACGGAGAATACATCAACCACGCGAGACGAGGAGGAATGAGCTCACCTCTCTAGATCCTGTGCTGTGGATCAACGTCGACGTCTAGACGCTTCAAAGCTTGAATGTACCTTCTTCCAGCGACAGAAGTCAGCTTGAGATACGATAGAAGAACACTCACTCGGGGGTCAGAGCGGGCACGTGCGGTGCGACCGTCATTAGAGAGTGAGGCCTGACCAGTACAATTCAGCTTTGTGAAGCGCAGTGGCGACGCACCTTCGACCGCATGTTATGCTGTGGCGAAAGACTATTGAGGTCATCGGATACTACAGAAGAACTGAGCATACACCGCATCGAGGTGACCACGTACACGGCACAGCGGTGAGTGCAATTGGAGACACGTCCGCTGCAACCGCCGACCAGTGAGTTCAGCGACACTCGAATAAAGAACTCACATATGACGGGGAGACTCCAGAGTTCAACCGACAAGCGACCTGCTTATGAAACAATCAGCAAAGTAGTGAAGAGGGAAAGACGAACCGAGTATCATTGTCCGCTTCACAGTCACTTGACGCACTTGAACGACTTCAGAACACTAATAAGATAAGAGAGAAGGTAGCTTTGGCCGGTGGATTCTGAGATACTGTAAGCACCCGCAGTGCAGATGGGTAGCTAGATGTACGACGTACCAAAGGTTTGAAACCAGCTGCAGAAGGGCCTGATCTCGGACGTCGCGACGGTGGAAATATCAGCCACGCGAAGTAAGGAGCGAAAGACGCACCACTCATGCGTACACCACTACTGTCAGGGCAGCGTCGAGGATGCTTTGCAACGAAGGGTATCATCGACGGATGGCGAGAGGCCGGCGACGCACCGTGGGCACAATGATTGGTTGTTGTTTGGCGTGCTACGTGATATCATGATCAATGAATGACTTGAACGCAAAAAGAGTACGTACTTTTCCGGGATGAACATTATCGGGACGCAGTACTCGAGAAAGAACGAGGTGAGCGTAGTTAGGGCCGTGGTGGACGTACGAAGTGGTCAGCGCTGGGGACGTCACTGGCAGGCTACTTTGACAGTACGCGTACTACGGCGTGCGTATGTTAGCGCATTGCATGTGCGAAGAGCACGCGACATGGGTGATCAGGACAAGAGTGGTCAGTGGCAGGGTGGTCAGCTTGAGGAGCAGCAACGCCATCACTTCTGTGGGAAGGGTCGAGAGCGTATGCAGGCATTCAATACAACTCATACCAAAGCGTGTGTTCAGCCCTGAAACAATTGCGTGCGGGTGGGGTGTTGAGGCTGGGGCGACGAGATGGTGAGCATCGACAGAACGAAAACACAAAACGTAGCGGATGGGTGGATGCAAATGTATAACATATATTATACAGCGTTGGAGTGTCTCCACACCAAGAGAGCAACCAGGGGAGGAGAGAGGGAGGGGCAGATGGTGGTAAGGAGGAAGGGAGGGCGGAGAGATGGAAGCGGCATTTATGGCTGGGCGTCTCGAGATCTGTTTGGAATTGCCGAGCTGGTTAGAACTGTGCACGTGCACTCAGAACCAACACTTTCCATTGTCCTCCGCAGATTCCAAACACGGCAAAGAGACGGTCATCAAACGCGTGTTGTCCTGCAGGCCAGCGGCGAGCACTGTTGTCATGGACCGCCGCACGGTGCTCCGACCAGCAAGTCTGTGAGGGGTCCATGAGCCACCGCACAATGAGGCCTGGACTCGTAGAGACACAAGTTGTCAGCTGCAGGTCGATGACTGAGCGGAAAATATGTGGACTCACTCATTTACTTGAATGCTGAAGCACTGTCGATCATTTCCTTTGTGCAAGAATACCAGAGCGACGGACGCGAAACCTGCAACTCAAGCGCTTTGGAGAACCACGGATTGGCAGTAAATGCGGGAGAAAAGTGCGTCAATCACTTGCACCACGGCAGCGATACCGGGGGAGGGAGAGGATCCAAGAGACACGACGGGCAACGGCCCAGCTTCGGAGCCCGAAAAGGCGTAGAAAAAGCCTGTCAAAGGTGTCTTTTCTGCAGCCTTTTGTGCGCGTGTGAAAAAGGCACTAAAATGGGCAATTTCTCCGTGTGATTTACGGGGTGCCGAAAACGATCGATAAAGAGACCTTTGGTACCCATTCCAATAACGCGCGTTACTTATCATTCGTACTCACTTGTTTTTTACTCACATACAATACACGTTCTATTGCCTTTACAATGAATTCTATTGTCTTTGTTCTGAGCACAGTATTCTGTCGTGCCAAAACATTCACCCAAAACGTCACCTTTCAGGATACTCTACGACACACACAAACTTGACATAAAAGTTCGCCTTTCCCACCCTTTTTCTCCCCTAGAAAAATACCTGCCGGAAATGACACCTTTGACAGGCTTTTTCTACGCCTTTTCGGGCTCCGAAGCTGGGCCGTTGCCCGTCGTGAGAGGACGACGCGAGGCGCCAGAATTCAAACGACGCGTCGTGGCACGTGATCGTGGCTGGGCGGTCGCTGACGTGATGTTCTCGCGCTTTCCCGCGACGACGACCGCAGACGGCAATGCGCTCGCGCTTTCGACCCGCCACAGTCATCCCCGTCCCGATGAGTCAAACTGCAGCAGCGACGCGCGTCGGGCGACGCGTCCTCCTTGCTTTACAAGAATGGCCTATAAAGTGACGAGGACGGAATGCGGCCCCGGCCATCCCTCTCTTTCTCGACAACCACCACTCTCAACTGGCTCCCATGTTCGCCTTCACCCACATCCCCGCTGGCTACGCCCACGGCCACCCCCCACGTCGTCACCGCGACTTCTCGGATAACCGCTCTGACTTCGATGAGCTCGCACGGCAGGCGGCGGAGCAGTACGCGGCTGCCCAGGCGCGCGTCCAGGAGATCCAACGCCAACGCCAGGCTCAAGCCGCGAGGGAGCAAGCCCACCGTCACTGTCGCTCTCACTATGGCTTCATGGTTCCCCAGCAGTTTGACTTCGAAGAGTCTCCTTCCTACTACCCTCCCCATCCCCACTTCGCACGAAGCGCCCCTGTAAGCGCACCGAGCTACACCCTCGAAGACCTCGTCTCGGCGGCTCTGGGCGACGAAGACCGCCAGCGTGAGTACCTCGCCCACCAACGCGCCATCGCCCATCAACTCGCCATCGAGCGCCAGCGTGCTCTCGCTGAACTCGCCGCTCGCCAGGAGGCTGCTCGTGTCGCCCGTGCCCGCGAAGAGGCCGCTCGTGCCGCGCGCGTTCGTGAAGAGGCCGCTCGTGTCGCTCGAGCTCGAGTGGAGGCGCGGCGTCATCGCGAGCAGCAAGCCATGCTCACTATTCTCGGTCTCGCGCGTTATCTTCATGCTGCGCGCGAGCATGTCCCTCTCGCCACTCAAACATCGGCGCCGAAGGTGTGTACATGCCACTCGTGGTTTCTCCCACTTCCGTCGCTGATGCGCGTCCTCTCGGTCCAGCCCGAGGAAGCTGTCACTTCGCGGTCGCTCAGCATCCCAGGTGTCCCCGTTGACCGCAAGGGGAAGGGCAAAGCGGTCCACTTTGACGTCCATGTCGACGTCGCACCGCTGGTCGCACCGAAGCCAGTCTCCGCCCATGAGACTCGGAAGACCACGTCAAGGACCCTCAAGGAGGACCTCGAGGCCCGAATCCGCACCGAAAAGGATCCGGAGGTCCAGGAATCCCTCGTCATTCTCTACTCCGACATCTTCGACAACGTCGCTGCCGCCTCTGCTCCTGTCACGGGTCCCTCTGGTCTCAGCGCCGACGAGAAGCCAGCTTCGTCAACCCCAGAGCCCTCTCCTTCCACCCCGGTCCCAGAAGCCCTCACCGAGATTGCTGCCGTCGAAGGCGCCCTTCGTGCTCTCCAAGATGCCTTCTCCTTCCCTGATCACCTCGAATTCTCTCCCTCGCGCTCGCGCACTCCTTCCCCCACTCCCTCGAGCTCGGACGGGCTAGCGTACACGGCGCACAACAGCCCGGTGCATGCGTACGAGCACGCGCTTACCGCGCTCCTCACCCGGCTCGACGCGGTGGAGAGCAACGGGGACGAGTCGGTGCGGGGGCGCCGGAAGGAGGTCGTACGCGACATTGAGCGCGCGTTTGACGCGGTCGAGAGGCGCGTCGAGGCCGAACGGGAGCGCAGTCGGAGTCGCGGGAGCTCGCGACGCGGCAGCGTGACTGAGTCGGAGGTCACTGTGCGCCCTGCCGTACCCGCTCCTGAGGTCATCCCTAAGGAAGATGCCTTTGCGGTGGAAGACTCTGCTACGGAAGTCGATGAGGAGGCTCCGAAGGGGGACGAGCTGGAGCGACGGGGCAGTCTGTCGGACTCCGCAGTCACCATTCGTCCTTCTGTTGTTCCCGCCGTCGCCCTGGAGTTCGTTGCCAAGGATGTTGAAGACCTCGTGGTGGTCCCAGAATCTTCGTCTGGAACACCGTCTCTTTTCTCCGACGAACAGGATCCTTCGACCTCGGTCCAAGATGTTCCCGTCGAAGCTCATACTCTGGAAGATATCGGTGCGCCAGGCGACGTCGATGTCGCGTCCGAAGACGCCCTGGACTTTTCCCTCTCCTCCTACAACGTCGACACCACTCCTGCCGCCATCACCGCCGTTCCTTCAACACAACTCCACGCTCCAGAGCCCGTCTCACAGGATGCGTCAGCCTCATCCCATCCCATCGATCCGACCACCAGTTCCGAGAACACTGCCCATCTCGAAGACGTCGCTGCATCGTCGCCGTCTAGCACTCACACCGACCCCTTCCTGCTCTCGTCCACACCCATTGCGGATCCCGATGGAGCGAAACGCCGACCCTCTGCGAGCTCGGACAAGCTGGAGATCATCGACAAGGACGAGCTCGAAGGTGGGGCCCATGTTGGAAGCGATTGGTCGGATCTCGAGTCGTCCGATTCCGACCTGTGAATCGGAGGAAATCTTTACGTCCATCGGTCACTGTTTTATTGAAGTCTCATCCGTTCTTGTGTACGTTGCATAGTTAATTGTAGGATTGTAATTTCATGGAGTTGATAAAAACCCTCGTATGTGCCATCGACGTATGTACCGCGACCTTCCGCACCAGCCCCCTCAGGTCCCCGAACGTGCGGGGTGGATCGTATTTGCTTTTCATTATTCGTGCGGGTATATCCATCATCAAGCGCTACAATATGAACTGAGCTTTGCCGCGCTGCTGGATAGCTGGAGTTCGCTTGCAATCAGATATTCGTCGCCGCTCGTGTCGAAGAACCGGGGCGGAGTCGATCCGCCTGGCCCAAGTCCGCTCATAGAATCGATCCGCCACGTGCGCTGCAACCCGTCGGTATCGAGACGGCAAGACGCCCACTGACCCCTGCTCTTGTCAGTCACCGTCATCCTCTGCGGTGTCGCACTCCGCATTCTTCGTCGCTGCTTCTGAACGCGACGTTGCGTAAGAAATCTTTAATAATCACTGCGTCGCTCTTCTGTCTCACACAATTTTTTCTTTCTGCATGTTTAGTGTCAACCTTCAGGCCACATAAAAGCGCTCCAAGATCCTTCCGGTCTAACCTGAGAAGTACATTGGCACCTGTGTGGTACAAAAGCCAGGGAAATGAGCAAGAAGCACACATTTTGATGTTAAGTTCGTCATCTCTTTGTCATTCGCAACATGGTGCTCATCGCAGACGCTGCTAGCATGGCCGCAAGCGCCTTTTTGCGTGCTGATGACGATGTTCTCTTCGAGATACTATCCCATCTTACCGTCGGGACGGCCAAACCGGTTGGTAGCGAGGGTCTTCTTGCACTAGCCTTGACCAACAAACGCTTCACGCCATTTGCAATGAATGTTATCTGGAGGTCCCTTCCAGGCCACCGTCCACTTCTCGGTCTCCTGTATACCTCAGGGATTTCCCAACTACGCCACCTTGAAGACGCACACTCGTCCGACTCTGGGACCCGGTCTCTATCGGTGGGTGACTTCGACTAGAGTCCAGTTATGATCTGCGTCAAACACTGCACTCCGTCGCTGATATCGGCGTTTACCTACAGGGTTATACTCACTACCACTACACAGTCACTCACCACCAGTCCTACGATGCCCTCAGCGCTCATCCCGGCTGGGATCGGTTCCTCGTGTATGCCCGATACGTTCAAGAGGTCTCATTCGGCGCTCTCGCGTCTTCGTCAAGTCCTTCCGTCTGGACCGAACTTGGCGCACTCACAAAGGGGCACTTGACAATCCTTCCACGGCTTCATCGCATCACACTCCACTGCTCCGAGTGGGACCCCGCACCCTGCCGAGCGCCATTCCGATACGAGAACGGGCAACTTGCCCTGATATCAGCGACGGTACGGCACGCAACTATCAATCTCGATCTTAGTAAAGGCCCTCTATTCGACAAGCAACATACGCCCTCCGCGCTTCGATACGTTTCGGATATCATCTCTTTCCGCTGTCCAGCACTGGAAATTGTAGAATTGAAGTCGAACTTTTGGCCGTTGCGGTTCGCCACCCTTCGCCACCTTCGTTCGCTCACGCTTCCGCATACTGCAGTACTGTCCTTCGACGACCTGCGCATGATCAGCGCCCTTCCGTCCTTAGCGGAGCTCTCATTTACGGCGAGCCTTAGACAGCGCGACTCCGGGAGCTCTCCCTTGAGCGACGTCTGTTTCCCAGTCGTCACGAAGTTGACAATCGACGGTATCAAGCCCATCGTCGGGACCATTCTGGCCGAGATCCAATTCCCTTCCCTCACCTCCCTCCACATCGGCATCAACGGCACCAAACCGCCTCGGCTCATCCCCCATGTCCACAACCTTGTCTCGGCTATCGCTGGCTTATTTCCTAAACTCAAGTCCCTCCACGTCCGCTTCTACCTCCAATCCTCCGTCTTGCGCGACAACGACATGCACCAGTATGTCCTGGAGCGTCCAGAACGCACCCTCAGCACGCTCCTCGCCCCCTTCCTCCCCCTCAAGTGCCTCCGCTCGCTCTCGCTCACACTCCTCCTCCACGACATCAGCTACTCCTCGCCGGACATACTCGAAGCCGCGCTGGCCTGGCCCGCGCTCGAAGAGCTGCGCCTCACGTTCCGCGGGCGGTACAGCTCCCTGGCCCTGGGCACCGCGACACTCGACGTCCTCGCGCACGTCGCGCGCGCGTGCCCGCGCCTCCGCGTCCTGCACCTCCCCGAGACCACGCACGCGGTGGGCGCCCTACGCAGGGCGCGCGCGGACCTCCACGACGTGACGGCGCACGATGCCCTGCAGGAACTCGTGCTCGGCACGGTCGTGGTCCGCGAGGGGTCGGCGCAGGGAGCGAAGGAGGAGATACGGGAGTTCGTGGACGGGGTGTTTCCGTATGCCGCACATGCCTTTGAGATGCCGACCATGCAGCAGTATAGATGAAGCTCCGGGATGGACATGTCGCACATGTACACGTCCTGCGGGAACCCGGCCGGAGACGATCGTCAGCAGCAAGTCAAGTGAAGCGCTCTGGAATCGATCTGCAGCTGCGTGCTGGCGCCACCAGATCGACTCTCTGGCCGGATTACACGTGATCGTGATGCGCGCTGGGCGCTGGCAAATTCTCGCGCATTCCTGCTCCTCCGACCTCGACGAGGCGATGAGAGGCGATGCGGTTTCTATACGCAGGGCGGTGGCACCGAGGCTGAGCACCAAGCCACCTCGGCACCCTGCTGGTCTACATAAGCTCATTGCCTCGCGACTTGTCCCCTCCATCGTCCATCATGCTGGCCGTCGCCCACGTACTCCCTGCTCGTCCATACGAACACCCTCCACCGCACCGCCGCGACATCCCCGATGATGCCTACTTCAGAGAGCTCGTGCTCCAAGCAGCCGAGTTCTACGCCAGTATCTCCCACGTGCGCGTCGAGGCGATCCAACGCCAATGTCGCAAACAAGCAGCCGAGCTTGCCCATCGTGGTCTCGCGTACGAAGATCTTCGATCTCTCACTCTATCCTCAGCGCAGAAGGTCTGCCTTTGTCGCCATATCCGGCTCCGATCCTCGTTGCTGACACGTATTCCGTCGCAGCCTGAGATCACCGTCCACGCCGCGATCGCTGCGCCAGCCGCCATGACGGAAACCGCCTTCGCGGAAGCACAAGAGGCTCCCGCAGACCGTATCGTCGAGGACGACCAACTGGCCTCCCACGACTCTCCCTTCCAGCTCACCGGCGCGCCTCTCGAGGACGACGCGAGCACCGAAACCCTAGACCCGAATGCCATCCTCAGCGACGATTCAGCCCCTCAGGACCCCGAATGCTGGGGTGCGGACTCTCCTGCCGTCACTGAAGCTGAGGTAGACCATTGGACGCCCTGCGACGATTATAGCGCGGGCGACGGGTCTGATGGGTACGGTTGCGCGCCGTGCTACTAGGACCACCAGGCGCTCCCTTGGGTGCGTTACATGACGCAAAACGGGGACGATTACAGGTACGCGACCATCCCCTCACCCATTCCCGGCTTCCCTCTAACATCGTCGCGCTCGCAGCTTGTGGACAGGCCTGGAGAACGGCGCCGCTCCTATCGTGCAGGGGATGTAAGCTTCGCGAGGGGCGAGTTTGGAGGCCGCGTCTGCTGCAAGGGCTGGGTTCTCGCAATCAGTTCATTCGACCATGTTGTACCGGAGGGCTCGGCCGGGCGAGTACACTCGTGTACATAAGCTGTTGCATTATTGCGCCAACCCTCCCAGGAGGAATATCTCGATCTGGACCGCATCCCGCCCGCCACGCGGCGCGACCAGAGTCTCGGGTGCCACACTCCAAGCCCCATCGTTCCACGAACGACAGATAAAGCATACTGCTTGGCCTCATGTGCTCGCACCTAACGGTGAACATCAACCAATCCCCCATGCTTGGGAGGCAGCCCACCACGTGCAATCTCCCCGGCGCCCCCAGTCAGATGTCGAAGCCATTTTGACGCGCGAAAGGATGGCCGATATTACTAATGGGAGTAAAACATGATCCACGGAAAAGCAGCAAGAGCTGGATTCGAAACCATGCCCAAAGACCCGGCGCCAGCGTCCGCAGGCGCCCACAGGACTTCATCAGGCGCTTATGTATCTTGCGTTGGCCATCTTCTTCTCACCCAACTTGTTCAAGAACTACATCAACCGGTGAGCGCCCTGAGTAAACCATACCGCGGCTTGTGGATGCATCTAAGATGGTCTTATTTGTTCCCCAAGCTCATATTTGTGCCGCAGATCTGAATCGTCATACAGTTCAGTGTTCACTACCCGCCGATGGTAGATTCCAAGCGTTTCGCTGGCATGTTGCTCATCGAGAACAACCCTTCAATGCCTCGCATTGGCGTTTTTTGGGAAGATACGTGCGCGTGCAAGCGTTCAGGTGCTCAAGAAGGACGATGTCGGGCTTGTCCACCGCTCGGCGCTCATGACCACTGCGACGCCCACACCAAACCCTTGTTTGGCAACACTTCTGAACTCCGCCGTCCAACCGGAGCCTGACTCGAGCACCCCAAATCATTCCTGGGTGCCTTTCTCTCGACTAGTGCGCCGCCGCTTGGACACCGCGACCAATCCGCGACACACGACGGCCTGCGGTGCCCCCTGGTCGCCGTGATCTTTCCCCGAGTCTTCTCGCGCTCGGTAAGTAGCTCGTTCTGTCGGGACTCGGCTGAGAGCTTCTGTTGATTGAAATCAAAATTTCCAGGAACTTCTGTGAGATCCGAGAGCGACTTCTCGCCCGCGAAGCACCTGGTGTTGCTTGGGCGCGGAGGGGTGTAGAAGGCGATTGGCCAGGGTGATACTCGGGATCCCAGTATCGCGGGCCTCGACGGGGCCTTGTGACAGCCGAGCGAGCAGCCTTGTGCTCTTTGCGGATCTTGCGTGATGCGCTCGCCACTCGGGATTTGCGGTGGAGTCTGCCCGGCGAGGATAAAAGCCCCCCTCCCCCGCGTTCTCTCTCCTCAGAACCCGCACCACCGCACCACCTCGACGATGCTCTCCCCCCGTGGCGCACCCCTGCCCATGCGACACACCACTCCCTCACTCCTCGGCCGCCACGGTAACATCCTCGCCTCCGGGTGACGATGAACAGAGGCTTATCGGTTCCGACTTGCCCTCCTCTCGCGGGGTCGGCCTCACCGAGCGTGTACGGCTCCTCGAAGGTGAGTTGTGTTCGCCATCGCCGTGCGCCACTTGCGCTGACCAACCCACTAGAACTCGGGTCCCATGTCACTCTCTTCGCCCGGCACCGAGGCTCTGGCGTCGCTCGCGCGTCGCCATCCTCACCGCCAGATGGGCAGGTGAGAGACACCGTGCAGCGGCTTCGCGCCGCACCGCACGTGGGGCTGAGGAGAGGGAGCGTATGCACTGCCCGAACCTCTCGGTTGTCGCCAACGGCTCGCTCGAACTGCGTGAGACGCACTTCAGGGCTGACTGTGATATGTGCGTCTTTCCCTTATTCTCTCCTCCAACGTCGACCCTGAATTCTGCACAGCAGCTATTATTCCTGCAATACAAGCCCCCGAAATCGTGAGTCACTCGGCCTCTATCGTTCTTGTTGAATGTAATCTGAGTTCGACCTCGCAGCGACCCCCTTCGAGGCCAGCCGTACATACAGGCTCAGTAAGGGCGCGGTCGATCGCTTCCCGCTGTCCAATCCAGCGGCGAAAGTAGGACATGGTCCCGCGCCAGGCAGCACGCACACTCCCGACAGATGCCGCTCCGCTCAGCCTGTCGGAAAGATTTGGCTCCGGGAAAGTCGTGCGTGCTGCCCGGTCGTCTTTCTTTTCTCTCGACTACCCGCTCTCTCTCTCCTCTCCACATCTATGCCTACAAGGTCGGCGATCGTCAGGCGGCGCGCACGACCCGATGAATGCCGCTCCGTGAACTATCGCGGAATGTTTTCCAGGCTCCGGGACACTCGTACGCGCCGGCCCCAGCTCGGCCCGTCTTTGATTTCTCTCTATCTGTTCTCGCTGTCGCCGCTCTCATCCCTATGCCTATGTCTAGCTATGTTAGGGGCGACGGAGGTCCTTACGACCTCCGTTTAAAAATGCTCCCCGAGGTATCGGCGCAGGCCTCTCCGTGGCCCTCGGGACTAGTACCCGTCGCTCGTGCGGCGGGGAAGCCAACATGCGCCTTCGTTGTATTATGTAGTCGCTGCAATCCATGGTTTTCGCTCCAAATCCATATAATGTGTGACAACCGTCAACAAGTGGCGGTCGTCCACACATCTGGAGCGCCACGCAGCGCGAGCGTTGGCGCCGCGACGCTGCAGCTGCTGATGCGAGTGCCCTCTCGCGGACGGAGCGTGTCGCCACCCTGCTGAGGCCACTAGCCAGCTAGCGAGAGAGAGAGAGACCCATATGTAAGCCGTGACCCGCCCCCACTCATGCCCGCTTGAGTCGCGTCGACGCCGCAGAACAGACTCCGCTGCGCCACTCTGATGCGTCCGCTGCGGACGCGAAATGTATCCAAGGTCTTCACTATAGTGCCGGGAGTACCATCACGTCCGCTGACAGCGAAGCGTTCACGGAAGGAACCAGACCCCAAACCGCTCGCGCGCATCAGTAACGTGCCATCGAGCCACGCACGGACATAGGTGATACCGGCGCCCCGCGGCCGCGGGAGAGGATTCGAATTTCGAATGGAACTACATGCAAACGAATTGAAGGCGCAATGCCAGCAAATGCGAGACTTCGGGAAGTCCCGCAGAGTCGTCCCGCGCGCTCCATCAGCGCACATGCCGCCCGAGCTCGCCGCTCCCGCTCCCGCTCCTTCGCGCGATAAATGCCCGCGGCGTCCCTGGACGAACGGCGGCCGCGCGGCGCACGCCGCACAACGTCCTCTCGTTCGCGGTGTTTTTCACCGGGCGGGTTCCCCGCACTTGCGGTGCTCGATCAGAAAATGCATACGTGGGAGTGCGTTTGAACCTCCGCCGCGCGGTGGGATCCCGAGGCGCGTTAATTGCACTGCGTGTACCCAACGCGGACGTGCGCGGCGACGCCCCCGGTCTCCAAGGCCACTGTGCCGGCACGTACGTGGGCCAGGCCAGTCACTGAAGTGCCCCCCCTTCCCCACTCGCTCCGTCCGAGCCTGGGCCCAGTCGCTCATAAAGCCAAACCAGGGAAAAACCACCGTTCCACGGGCACGGACGGTCGCAAATTCGGGCGCAAGGCTACTACGTGGGTAAGATATGGAAGTGATACAGTGATGAGAGTGAGGCAGGCCAAGCAGAGCGGACGACGACGCGACGACGCAAGAGGACGAAAATGAGTATGGATATGGGGGCAATGAGACACGAAACGAGCGCGGACTCCGCAAGAGGAATCGGGACGGGGTAGGTAAGTGGGCGAGGCGTACCGGAGCGAGGAGTGGAGGGGCGAGGTAGCGATACAACAACATCGCCCGTGTGTTGTGGCGCGCGGCGGACGTAGAAGCCCGGCGCGACAGAAACGGCCGTGCGCCGCCCGGGGAGAGCATGGCAGATGTGCGTACATCGGGTGGAAATGGATGGGGAGGCGGCCGGGCGGCGTGGAGAGGCCTGCACAGGCCGGTGTGCACAGAGACATAGCGTTATTAATAAATCTGCGGATATCAAACGCCAGTCAGCCGCGGGTACCGGTAGAGAATGAGTGGGGGACGCTCACCGAAAAAGGCGCATGAGCGCCGCTCGCCTGCGCAGAGAAACAGACACATACGGGGGCAGGGGTCATGTGAGGTTCGAGTGTTCGAGGTTGCGCTTGATGATCGAGTCCTGGACTGGGGCGTGAAGGTGGCACGTTAACACGGCGCGTCCATCACGAGAGATTGCGGGACGTGGACAGTGGGAGGAGACATAGCGAAGCAAAGTACGTGGACGGGTGGTGAGGTGGGCGAGGGAGATGAAAGCAAGAGCAGAGCCGAGGAGTGGTTATGTCTAGTTATGGATGAGGTCCGCGGCCGGACGCCGCTGCAGCGGAACGGACTGTTAGAGCAGGTCCGCCCGCTGCAGGTGCTCGCGTAGGATGCCTTCCTCGACTGTAAAGAGAGAGCGTGTCTGTCTGTCAACGTCTGTGTCGCACGCGACACCGGCGACGAGATCGGAGCAGGGAGGGTGATGACAACAAGGGGAGGGAAGGAGGATTGAGGGGAGGGCTGTGCCTGAAAGAAGACTCACCAACAGAGAGCGTTACGGCCGTGGCTTCCGTATCCTACAAATGAAACTCAGTATTCAAATTTATAGGCACGAAAGATAGAAGAGCTCCACGTACGACGACGGATGTGTGATGCACGCGGAATGGTCTCGGTTCGGGAGAGTACTTCCGCAGGATCTCTTTGAAGTGAGACCCGAAGTCTGCCGTGAAGTTTCATCAGCATCGCCTTCCCCACCCATCCTGCCAACCGTATCCACAAGCCAAGGGTACTCACACTTGACGGCATGCTCGACCTCGTTTGGCCGGTCCCCATAGCTGTGCACGTGGTCCTTGATCCGCACGCCGCTCTGCAGTTTCTCCTTGAGAAGGTCGCACTTGTTGAGGAAGAGCACGATGCTCGTTTTCGCGAGCAGCTTTGACGAGATGACCGCCCTCCAGAGCATGTAACTGTCTTCGAGACGGTTCACACGTCGATCTTCTGTCAGGCGCTCGTCAAAGCAATTGATGGGTGCGAGGAAGATGATGGCGTCGCAGTCGTCAAAGTAGGGATACCAGGCCATGCGCTGTGTCCGGCTCCCGCCAACATCGTAGATGTACCAATCTGACCCCGTCGCTGGGCCTGTGCCGACGTAAGTCAAAGGAGCAAGCGAAGGAAGATGAGCGCAGACCTTTGTTGAGCTTAATCTTGTGCTCTTGCACGCCCAGTGTCCGTAACCTCGCACGAACCACATCGTCATTCGTGGGGATGTAGTGTCTTGACGCGATTCGCCGAATGTCGTTCAAGAAGCTGCGCGCCACGCTCGTTGGGCGACGTGCCGATCATGCGAAGGGAGTAGAAACACTCACAAGCCTGGCGTTGACTCCATCCGGATCCCCTTCCGGACCAACAGCTCGCGAATCCCCGCATCCTGCCAGACCGCCAGCATGTCCTCCGCACAGCCCGCGAGGATGTCCGCGGTCTCGCGCATCTGCACCTCCTTCGACCGTCGCCCGCTCAGCTCGCTCCTGCTGTGCGAGTGCTCCTTCTTCCACGTCGTCGCGGAGCGGACGAAGAACTCCTGCTTCTTGCCGCCCGGTCCGAGGATGGGCGACCCCGGTGGCGAGGTCCCGATCGTGACGTCTGACATGTCGTCCCCGGCCTGGATGCCGATGGTCAGTTCGAGGTCACGCTGCACGGTTCGTAGTGGGGCGAGGCGGAGCTTGAGGAGTCTGTGCTTGCTGGTGAGAAGCGCGGAACCGTAGACGGGGTGCATGCCGGTAGTGTCGTCGTCATCGTCGGAGATGTCCGAGTCGGCACCGGGTGGTGCTGGGCCGGAGAGCTCGCTGGAGAGGACGTCGAGGATGGCGTTGATGCCACGAACGAGGTTGAGCTGGATGACCATGCGCCATGAAACGCGCTCGGCCTCCCATTGGTCCTGACAATAGGACAATTGGAAGTCTGGAGTGAGGGAGAGGGTTAGAACTGATTGAGAAGGTGACATCATCGACACGAGACGTGGACTGTGGACGTCGTCATACTGATATGTGGAAGTCCACAAAGCGCTCTCCAAGATACGTGGCAGGGTGAATGGAGAGTGGACAACACGATTGAGATTTGGGGAAATAAACTCGACTGGGGCAGCACGGTATGACTGCATGCGCGCTTGTTGGACGAACGGGAGGTGGATGAAGGTTCGCGCGGACGGACGAACACCGAGGGCGCGCCCACAGAGGACAGCAAGGGGCAGGGAAGGGACAGCCGACGGACTAGAATCATGCCGTAAGGAACAACTCACTTTTAAGCGTTGTGGACTTGCCTGGAAAGGGCGAGGGAGGCAGTGGGACGTCATGTCAGCACTGCGCGCACCAAGCCATAGGAGGAAGAACGGAGGCGCACCGCTTTCGCTCTGTCCGAGGAGGAGGACCTTGACGGGCTTGTTTTTCTTCATGGCCGCGCGCTCGGCCTTGATCTGCTCGTCTATCTTGTCGCTTCTCTGGCGGGCCTCGGCCTCGACGCGGAGACGGGCCTCCTTCTGCTCCGCGGTCTCGTTGGGGGGCGGGGCGAGCATGCGTGCGAGGGGGTCGTCGTCAACCTGGTATCGGGAGCCCATGGTGTGCGGGAATGGGAGGTGAGGGTGCGGAGGGGAAGGGAGACGGGGAGGAAGTGAGGAGGGGAGGAGGGGGAAAGCGAGGACATCGGCGTCCGTGCGGTCAACGTCTTTACATACAGGATCTGAGGCCAGGAAGCGGCTGCCGGAAGCTGATCTGGACATTGCCAGCTGGATCCCACGGCCAGGGCGCGAAGGCAAAAGACGAACCGGCGGCAGGGCCCGCTCAGAAGGCCGCAGAGCGGTCCGGTGACAACCGCGCAACGGCTCTCCCGCTCGGCTACAGCCCATATCAAGACAGCTCGCCCATGCGCGTCGCGTCCTCTCTCGTCCTGCGGCCGGTCGAGCGGGTGAGTGGGAGCGTGTTTGGTAGTGAAGCGAGCACGCTGCGTCCAGCGCCACCACGCTGCCACTGGATTTGGCTTGCGATCCTCGGCGGTCCTCGGCGGTCGCCGTCCCTGGGCCTGAGTCCTGACCACCGAGGTCGGCTCGGAGCTCGGGCTGTTGCCTCTTTTGGACGTCCGACGCGCGCCAGCCCTGCCAGGCCCGCGCTGATTGCCGTTCTGGCTGCTCGCATGCACCGTCTTGTCCTGTCTCGGTCGACACGCGGGAGCGCATCATATCTTCAATCAGCCCACGTCGACGCGCCGCGGAAAGCTGGAAGGCTAATCCAAGCGATCTTCGTCCACGCTCACCATCCCTCCGCGACCCGACCGCGCGCACTACGCCGCCTTCCATTTACCTCTACTCGCCATCCGCACCGAGCACGAGCATGGATGTTCGCACCTGCCGGAGGGCCCGGCGCTCCAGTCCACAGCGACCGAACCCTACCGCACCGAAGGTACGCGCGCCGCCTCAAATAGCAGAAAAATTGCCTCACCTAGCCGCCGGCGCGCGCATGGCCCACGCATCAAGGAGGACGACAGACGCACGGGCCTTGCAGCCTGCACGAGCTCGAGCGCAGCCCCAGCCATCAATGCAAAGGCACGACCCGCGTCGCCCACGCGGGAGCCCTGGCTTCAATAACCTCCTCGGATCTATCCGGACACCGCCGTCCGGGCTGCGGCCTCGTCCGGCCGGCTGGCCGATGGCACCCGCCGTGAGCGCAGGAGCAGGGCCCTGTGCGGATCCCCAGGCAACGGACGAGAAGCATCACCGAGGAAGAGGCTCGCGCTGCGATCCACCATCCTACGCCTTCTCTTCCTGATCCTGGGGCCTTACCCCACGCACCTCGTCCATGGCTGAGCGCTAAGCTGTGCTGCGCGCGCGAGCACGCAGAGCACACCCCCGTCCGAGATCTGGCCAGCGCGTTCTGACGGCGGAGGTGCGTACTCCAAACTGGACGACTCGCCTTCCAGCCCAGACGTCCACACTTTACTCCGACGGACGGACTGACTGATCCCTCGCGCGGCCATGGCTGTGCTTGCGGGGAAGCTCACTAATATACGGTCAGCTGGCCTGAGGTCTGGAAGTGAGTGCAGGTTTCTGTTGAACGTTGAGCATTCCAACCAGGTACCGCGCCGCGGGGTCGGCGCAGTGCCCCCAGTAGCCCCCAGTAGCCCGCGCGGCCGCCGATACACAATCGTGACGCGGACCATCCAGCGATACCTGGTCTTACCTGGTTCGAGGTGCTTCCGTCCAGCTGCCTGCCTCCGAGGCTGCTCTAGTCTGCAATTCCCATCACCTCGAGTGCCATAGTGCAATCCATCCGACAAGCTCACGCCCATGCGGCCCACCCCCCATGCCTCCCTCGTTGCTACCCGTGCCAGAGCGGAGCGTGCTCTTCCGCCTCTCACTCTCAACACCATCCCAGGGCCGTATCACGACGTCATGTCACGATGTCTGAGTGATGCGCTCCCCCCGCACGCCGGACGCACGCACAGCCGACCCCGGCGCAATTCGCCTCCGCACGATGACTCCTCGACGCTTCGAAAAACGGCGCACGTACGGCCTATCTCGTTGCAAGAACGCCTGCAGGCTGCAGTGCGACTGAACAATGAGCCCGGCCGGCCCGTGCGTTAATTAACGCCAATGACGGGATCACAGGAGTCGCTCCGCACAGCGCTCCGTGGCGGCGTCGTTCCTGCCACGCACAGATTCCGCGGTGCCTCGAGCGGACGCGGGGTTTCATTATGTACTAAGTACGGCCCACTCGCGGTCGAGCACAGGCGTTCGCCAGGCGCAACGGATGAAGCGGCCGCGGAACTTTCAACTGAGCAGTGAGAAGTTCGAACGCACTCACGTGTGGTCGGCATGGCGACAGGGTTCACTCCGTCTATGCAGGTTCGTCATGTCCCTGAGCGGACGCGCTGCGCCGGTCGGACGTACCGTGCACCTGTGCCTCACGGTATCGCGCTTCCCGTAACTCGTGTGATCCGGGGGGCCGTGCCGAGCCTCGTTTACTCAATTTCTCGCCTTCCCCCTACTACTAGTTGCACTACGCCGCGCCCCCATCCCCTCCCTTGTAGGGAAGGTCCTAACACCCCCTACTATGGCTTATGTTCTGCCCCCCCGTATGTTTCCCCCTGCCCGTCTCCGTGATGTCCCGATCAACCGCTCCGGTCCCTCCGACAATGACGTGTGCTCCCTCCCGCCCCGAGATCTCCGGACACCGCGCCCGCGCCGCATCGCCGCCGGCGCCTTCCCGCCCCGCCACTCGTGCTCGCTGTCTCCCACGGCGAGCTCGCTGTCCCCTATGTCCTGCCCTTCCCTCCCCATCGTTTTCCTCCGTTCTTTTTTGTATGTACTTGTATTTACGGCGCGCATTCATTGATGCAATTAGATGTTTTGAACAGGGGCGTAGCCTGCTCCCACTGCGCGCTTGCCCCCGCCGCCCAAGTGCGGGGGCGCGGAGGATGATGTCATCATACGAGACGGCGGGCGGGAGGTGCGGCGGCGGCGCTTGGCACGGCGCGTGAGTGATGGCGCAGGCGGAGGAATGATCTCGGCAGAATGATCTCGCGGGCGACCGCATGGCGCCACTACCTCCCATCAGACAGCCCGGATAGCCTCGTGCCTCACCTCCTCCTATGTTCCCAGGTATGTTTTCTCCTCCTCCTCCCCTCATACAGTACAATACACACATGTACGGGACTCTATGTACGCTACAATACATGTGTTTGAAGCGGCATGCTTATGTCGGAGAGGGCAAAGACTCGGGCAGCAACGGCGCCCAGTGATCAGTCTCAGGCACGCTAAATTTCACCCGCACACTTGGTTTCACCTGGCGCCTCATGTTTGATGGGTGAATGAGCTGCCCGACACTGCAAGCAAGGTATACGGATTATCGTTATCCATGGTGCATCGACACCATCTTCTTCTACTACTACTCTTTACTATGGCGTCGAGTGGGAGAGCAGGTAAGAGGAACACAGTAACACGCGCAGGACGAGGGAGGCACCCGATGACGCAGCCGGATCAATCACGGCTGGGCATCACGCCGATGCAAACAAAGAAGATGACCGGCAAAGAGGCGAAGGCGGAGCAAGAAGCTGCAAAGGCGCGCAATCAAGCTTTGATCAATAGTGCGTAGTTACTACGGTTCTGAGACCATAGAGTGGCTCAAGTATTGGCAGACTTGACACAGGAGCAGCGCGAGGCCATGAACCAGACATTCAAGCGCTACAATGATGATGACGGATCATTACTGGGGATCGACATTCAAGTCCCCGGAGAAGAGGGCATTCAGTGGAGTGATGACGCTGATGTCGAGGCGATGAGATTGGCGCTCTATCAAGCGCAGTAAGTACTTCTATCTATTGAAGTCAGATAAGGTCACATCTTCTATCCCTCCAGAGGAAGCGTGCGCAGCGCAAAAGACGAGCGCACGTGGAAAGAGCGTCGCCAAGCTCAGCACAACGCGTGGAAGCCCCGCATGGCTGCGTTAAAGACTATGTATTTGAAGTGGAAGTACAAGTGGCAGGGGAAGGAGGACTCAGATGGCGCCGAGGACGGGCCCCGATCAGCGTCCGAGATTCCCGCTTCCGAGCCGATCCGCGCGACCGAGAAGCCCTCCGATCAATCTTCCCCTACCCCGCAGCCGCAGCCGAGTGCTTCTCCGCTCCTGTCGGGCTCAGACGTTCAGGTCCGCAAGGTGGCGTGCATAGACCTGAATACCCTCCAAGTACAAGTGGACTATGAGGTGGCGAGCGACCAGTTTCCTTGCGAGGCGCTCGCCGCGCGCGGCTATCTCGCCACAACGCCTTCACAGCCGGAGCTCGCCGTGTCATTTGACACATTGGAGCTATTCCGGACCATCAAGCTATTCAAACCATCCTTTAGCACGGAGGCGTTCGCAAAGATGGCGTGTTACAAATATGAGGTGAGTATCCATTGAGTATGTACTATTGCAAGCTAATCCAAAGCCATCAGATGGGCTACCGCCGGCATTATCGCACAGCGCTGGGGGACGCTTACGACATTTACATTGAGATTCTCGAGGACGTCCAGCGTGACGTCATGTCGGCGCTCGGTCGGGATACGCCGGACTGGCGCGCGATCCACGGCTGTCCGCCATGCGGCTATGAAGTGGGAACAATCTCGATCGCTTTGATCATCATGCTAATTTTATACTCCCTGCAGCTCGAGGACGAGGAACCCACGGAGTGGGACAAGAAGCTGGGCATGGATGGTGGCAATTCCCTCAAGAGGCTCGCACGCAGCACGCAAGATGTTGCGGACACCGTGAATTCAAGAACGACCTTATTCTCCCTCGCCCCTTCGTCGATCAGCACGCCAATGAGGTTCCGAAGCGCCAAGATGAGGTCAAAGCTAGGCCCGTCGCTAGCGCACTAAGCGACGGGAGTGATGCGGACGAGCCGGCACCACGATCAGATCCTAAAGATACCGAGGGCGATCCCACGGATGGTGCCGACGGCGAACCCTCACCATGCGCGACAAATTGGAAGGCTGCTGAGGCCGAGGTGAAGAAGCACGCTTACGGCGCCTTCGAGGAGACTGGAATCTTCGCGTCGTGCTGCAGGCACGGGAAGATGCTGTGGATTGCGGACATGGTCAGGAGCGGGGAAAAGTGAGTACTCTTCGGTTTGTCCCCGATCACTACGTCATACTTACCGATCATGATCTAAGAGCTAAATATGGCCTTTCTATCGTCAACAAGATCAACCAGTGCCTCCCAGGCCGAAAGCTCTGTGGGTACGACATTGGTTGTGTCTTCGAAGGCACAGTTGCTCGCAGCACCCTTGGTGCGGTGTTCCGCAGCAGTGGCTCGCGCTTCTGTGTTTGTGCTTTCCATGCGTACTCTCATTCCTACAAGTGCCAGCTTCTCCATCACCCCAACATCATCAAGGGCGCCGGCATTGAAGATCTGGAGATGCTCGAGCGCGTGTTCAGCGGATCAAACTCGCTCGCATCAATTGTTCGCTACGCTAGTGGCTACCGCCGCCACCTGCTGATTGTGCAGTACTTCCGCCAGTGGGACTACGACAAGTACACAAATCTGGGGCGCTTCCTCTTCAACAATTTCGTCCAAGCGCTCCGACTCGTGGATGCAGGCGAACTCAATCTCGACCTGCTTCTCCCCCGCATCAATGTCACGCGCAACGACCTCGCAAACCTTGCTGCCGAGGAGTCCGCCTACTTCTCTACCCTCCGCGATGAGCCGGGGTTGGACCAGAGCTCCGTGGAGTACGTCGAGAAGCTCGAGTACCTTCGTTCCTTGGAGTAAGTCTTTAGATGTTCTCACGAATAGCCGATTTAATTATAAGCGCAGGGATGAGTATAGCCGTAACCGAGCGCACTCTATCGCTCAAGGCCCACCGCTTGCGTTTCAGGCACCGGAAACAGGCCCGATCACTGACTACAATGCCCAGGTCAAGGCGACCAGGGCAACGGAATCGCGTTCACGCGTGCTTCTTGAGCGTATTGAGGCCATCAGCATGGACATCACCGACTACGAGCTCACCTGGGAGATCACACGCTGGCAGCCCTCCGATCTGAACTACCAGAGCACTCTTATGTACATCAAGACGCGTAAATACCAGAAGGCTCTCGGAAGATTGCAGCGCCTGGTGATTCAGCGGCTCTTCGAGCTGCACAAGCTGAACTTGGCTGGTACAGGTGAGCGTTCCTGACCATCGGCGTGCGCAAGGCTGATGAGCACGCTCGTGGGCAAGAATTCTTCGCGCGCGAAGGAATCGTGCCCATGTGCGTGCTCAAGGATGTCATGTCGGTGTGCATGTGTGTTTGGTGCGCGCGCGCGTGGGTGTTTGGTGCGCGCGCGCGTGGGCGTTTGGTGCGCGCGCGCGTGGGCGTTTGGTGCGCGCGGGGGTGTTTTGATGCGCGCGGGCGTTTGGTGCACTGTTGGTGCGCGTGCGCGAGCTCTGCAGACGTGCAAGATCTGTTCTCACCTCAAGTTGCTGAGCACTTCTACAGGTTACAAAGTACGAACACACCTTTCCAAGAGCTTGCAGAAGCGCTCAAAGACTATCCGTACGGCCATCAAAGCGTACAACAGCGCTGCGACAGCGGTGGGCAGGCCGCGGATTGAGTGGGGGGACATCGGCCACTACTCGTTCCTTAGCGAGTTCGCCCTCCTCCAAGGCACGGCAAATGACATCGCCGGCAAAGTGTGGGCGGGAGCTGATGGCCGCGAGGCGATCAGTTCCTGGCGTCGGATCGCTCGGGCCCGGGAAGAGATCCAGGCCGTTTACCGGGAGTCTCGGAGACTCCACACTCACCTCCGCGACGAGGAGATCCTACTGTCCACCACACTAGACAGGCTCCGGATGTCAACAGCATCCTGTACGGGCCCGTCTTGGAGTACGCCAAACGCCAGCGCATCGCAAACGCGATCAACCTCGCCTGGGTTCAACACCTGCATTCCCACGAGAAGTTCGCCGGCCATCCACGCCCGGTGTCCGCAAGGACACGATCCCACCACCCAACGTCAGTGTGGTCCCTCTGGAGCCCGATTCAAGCGCGATACCGGGGATGGGTAGCATTCCGGAGGCTGAAGACGATGAGTCACGGGCTGAGGAGACCGCCATTTTTGAGTACATAGCCCAAACACGCTGAGATCCGTGCCCGATCACCCTTAGCGCTCGGTAGGAAGCGGTCTTCGAAGTAATAAAAACATTCTGCGTGTTGTTCATATACAGAGGGGGGCTTGAAAACACTTGGTAACGTGTCTATGAGTATGTCATAATGATCTCCAGGTAAATTTTCGATTCCTGAATTTGTGTGACATCTCTGGCAAAGGTTTGTGCACAATTGTGCAACTCGACAGCTCGGACATTGCTGTTCGTGCTTTGCCACTCTCGTTTTCCCGCCCCATGGCTTACTCAACGATTAGAGGGGAGATAACACATGGAACCCGTGAGGTACGCACCTTGTGACACGTTCCTCTTATCTTTTCGCTCTCACGTTTGTTGTACCGTGTGCCAGGCCACTTGCAATGTGTCAAGAACCCCAGGCATGAGGCGATCGGGGCAGTGATCTCATGAGCGCCTGCCGCTTCTCCCCCGCCATCGATGCGGATTGTTGACAGCTTCCTTCTCTCTCCGCATACTCTCACCTCCCTGCTCACGCCTGACATGCCGTGGTGGGTACTTTTGGGTGCAGGTCTCTCCGGCCGTCGCGCCATTACGAAAGATTGGTAAGTCCGTCTCTAGCTTCTCAACTTCCATACTGATCGTCAGCGTGCATATGCAGCCCATCCGACGTCGCACGGGGCGCGCATCGCCCAATATTCCCCATCCTTGTCTGCTGTGCACGCAAGGAAGATGCCAAGGCCGTCGCCATCCTCAATGATGCCGCGTTCAGCGGCGACCTCAACAACATCTGGGATGCGGCGTGGCGGATGCAAGAGGCGAACGTGCAAGTCCCAACGTTCCGCCTCTACAGCATCCGCAAGGCGGGGATTCCCAACGGCCAGACTGGCATCTACGTTGGACTGCATTGGTAAGCAGATACACGTCTATTACGAGGTACTAAAACCTTTGTGCAGGAGCGAAATTGAGGCGAACGTCGGCTTCACCGACACAACACGCAAGGTCGCAAGGTGGCGCGGGCACTTCGAGAGCTTCACGCACGCTTGCTTGTACATGTTCAACAAGCCCGGGAGTCCGCTCCCCGTGCTGAGATGGCACGATGACCGTGTTGGTCCGCCCCACCGTTGCTGCCGCCACAGTCCCCAGCAGTGGTCCCGCGCGCGCGGGATCGTGGCGCGCACCTTCGCAGAGCTCGGCGAGTACTGCGAGCATCGTTACCTCGCAGTACGCCTCGTCAGACCACTCCGAGGCCAGCATCATGAGTCCCTCGCGGACGGTGAGTTTGCTGATCTTACTCTACCACACTGCTGACGATACCGTGTTCGCCCAGGGGTCGCGCGGGTCTCCCTTGGCTCGTCTGCACCCCGTCCACATCGTACGCTCCGCAGGCCGTCGACGACTTCATACTGCTCGCGCTGCGCAAGGTCTTGCGGCAGCATGACGATCGCGTCGACACCCCAACTCGCTACCCCGTCCGCCTTGGCCGCCGCGCAGAGCGTTCACTGCGCGACATCAGTGCCAGTGACGATGTCGCTGTCAAGGTTCTGCAGGCGTACGGCACTGCTGGCCGTCAGTCGAAGCATTTGCGTATCAGTTGGGCTGCGAGCTGGGCTGGACGACGAAGTATAGTCGTGATCTCTTTGTATTGATAACACTCCCTTCAATGTAGATAACGGCGCCCGCGCCTTATTCGATCACCCTCCCCCTCACTCAACAAGGTCACGTGGGCATTCAACAAATTCTTGTTGATCGGTGTAGTCCTCCCTCCGGGCTGCTGTTTCTCCCGCCTCCCCGACTTCTTTTCTCACCGTCCCTCCCATCTTACAGCACGCTCCGCTCGCCATGGACGCCCACCCATCTCCCTTCCCACATAATGCCGGCAGCACCATCACCAAGCTGCCCAACATCCTCCGCCGCGACGGCGCTCCACGCGTCAAGTACCCATGGCAGGAGGCCCGGCCCCCTCGGCCACCAAAGACCCAGGCCGAGAGGAAGGAGGCCCAGCAAAAGCGCGAGGACCGCGCGGACGCCATCTGGGCCAAAATCAACGAAACACGTGAGTACGTCCTCGCCCAGGCCCGGGCTCTCAAGGAGCAGTACGGCGGGCACAGCGAGCAGTGGTACTTCCGTCAGATGCTGTACCAGTGCTCGTTGTCGGAGAAGGAGCCACGCCCCATCACGCTGTGGAACGCCTTCCTCAGCATGAAGGTTTCGGAGCGCAACAAAGGTACGTACTTTCTTGGGGATGTTTATCACCGCTCATCAATTTTCCATAGCCGCGGTCGAAGCAGGGACGCCCGCGTTCCTCTCTCCCAAGCGGATCTCAAGGAGATATCCGAAGAATGGCGTCGCATGACAGAGGAAGAGCGTGAGAGGATATGCGCAGACATGGTGAAGGATCTCGAGGACCGTCGCGAGAACCGCAGGACCGCGTTCCACAACGTGGAACTCGGCGCGTTCAATGACGCCTTCACGACCGTGCGCACCATTTCTCTTGAGGTACGCATGTCTGCCCCCGCTCCTCCATCGCTGCTTACACACCCTCGAAGCTCGAGAATCTCTCCCACCGCACTGGCTCCAATACGCGCTCTTTATTGCGCGCGGCCACCGCGAGAGCTACATCGCGCCGTTCGCTACCACTAGTAGCGCGCGCGTCAGGCAGTTTGTAGAGCTGCTCGCTGAGGGCGATCCTACGCACCTGGCCAGCCGCATCGAAGCATGGTGCTTATCGGGAGTTCAGGGTAAGCACTGGTAGCCTCGTTGTATCGTTCTTAGTTGACCTACTTGCTCAGGAGTGACGAAAAATCATGGCATGTTCGTGCTCGACCTGAAGAAGGAAGCGGGGCATCTCATCGGGCAGAAGCTAGGTTAGTTTTCGAGTCCCTAGAGTGTGCGAACAAAATGCTAATCATCTACTATAGCTATCACCTGCGGCACCGGCAAGAACGCACCCAGCAAGATGTCATACAAGAATTTTGCTGGCGACATAACCTTCAAGTACGGCGCCATCATCGAGGGCTGGCCCCTCTCCAAGTTCCAGGCGCCGGGCGCCTTCGGCGGACTCGCTGACCTCCGCACTCTCTACGATGCGTGGAACGACGGCACAGCGCGCTTCCGTCTTCTGCTGACGGACGAATGGAACCAGTGGTGCACTGCGTACAAGGAGAAGAGGGATCCCACCGCCGTCTTCTATGCCCAGGGGATCGCTCCCACCACCGTATCCAAGAAGGCGGCAGACACCTCCACGCTAGATCCACCGCCCACCGAGCTGTCGTCCTCGCCCGCACTGTCGCCCTCACCCGTGTCCTCGCCCCTGTCGTCGTCCTTGCCCGCATCCTTGCCCGCATCCTCGCCCGCGTCCTCACCTGCGTCGTTGTCTTTGCCCCGCCATCGCCCACGTCGTTGTCCTTGCCCGAGTCGCCACCCGCGTCGTCGTCCTCGCCCATGCCGTCGTCCTCACTCGCGCCGCTGCTATCCTCCCTCGCACCACCACCCTTGTCCGCACCCCTACCTGAGCATGAACACGCCCCCGAGCGCACACCCGCGCAATCCTCCCTTGCGCCGCCTTCTATCGCGCCGCCGCCGCCGCCGCAATCATCCCCTACGCCACCGTCCATGCCCCCTCCATCCTCCCCCGTGCCCATGCAGGCCGAGCCCACGCCCCTCCCCTGCCCCCGCCGTCCTCCCCTGAGCCCTCAGAGTGTGCACCCAGACAGGCGGCCCCGCCCACACCCGTGACACCCTCCACCGCACTCCCATCGCTTCCTCGCCTGTGCCTTCCTCCACCGAGCCTTTGAACAGGCCATCCGCCGCACTCGCTTCCGCATCCTCCGCGCCACCGCCTTTGTCTTCGGCTTCCCTCCCATCGTCGGCACTTGTACCGCCCCACCCAAAGGGATGTACGCCTGTTCACGTCGAACTGGCACCCCCTCACCCTGTCCTGGCGCCTCCACTCCCCCATGCCCCTGCGGGTACGGTGCCTTCAGGCAGCGCATCACATGCATCCGATGGCGCTCCCCCACCCATTGTCCCTGCAAAGCGCGGTCAAGATTTTGACCCTTTCCACAACTCCTTCGCGGGAGCTGATGGGGTCGTTCATGCACCAAAGATGGCTCGTGCGCCGACACGCAAAAAGGGCTCTTCGACAACAAAGACGGCCCCCTCCGAGCCCGCGAAGAAGGCCACCTCGTCCACGAAGAAAGCCCCACGCAAGAAGGCTCCTGGCGCGGGCCAGGAGAATGTCGCCCCCAGGATCGCATGATATCCTTGCTGCAGGCGAAGGTCATCACGCGCGAAGACTTGTGTTGCACGCGAGAGGGATCTCTGCCGCGCGCGCGCGCGGATCTCTGTTGCGCGCGCGGGGACTTGTGTTGGGAGCGCTCGCATCTCATAGTAGTTGTTGTATGTCGTAGATAAGCATTCATGTAAACAATCGGACTAGACTTATGATTATGCTGTTGATGTGAAACCAAGTGTGCGGGTGAAATTTAGCGTGCCTGAGACTGATCACTGGGCGCCGTTGCTGCCCGAGTCTTTGCCCTCTCCGACATAAGCATGCCGCTTCAAACACATGTATTGTAGCGTACATAGAGTCCCGTACATGTGTGTATTGTACTGTATGAGGGGAGGAGGAGGAGAAAACATACCTGGGAACATAGGAGGAGGTGAGGCACGAGGCTATCCGGGCTGTCTGATGGGAGGTAGTGGCGCCATGCGGTCGCCCGCGAGATCATTCTGCCGAGATCATTCCTCCGCCTGCGCCATCACTCACGCGCCGTGCCAAGCGCCGCCGCCGCACCTCCCGCCCGCCGTCTCGTATGATGACATCATCCTCCGCGCCCCCGCACTTGGGCGGCGGGGGCAAGCGCGCAGTGGGAGCAGGCTACGCCCCTGTTCAAAACATCTAATTGCATCAATGAATGCGCGCCGTAAATACAAGTACATACAAAAAAGAACGGAGGAAAACGATGGGGAGGGAAGGGCAGGACATAGGGGACAGCGAGCTCGCCGTGGGAGACAGCGAGCACGAGTGGCGGGGCGGGAAGGCGCCGGCGGCGATGCGGCGCGGGCGCGGTGTCCGGAGATCTCGGGGCGGGAGGGAGCACACGTCATTGTCGGAGGGACCGGAGCGGTTGATCGGGACATCACGGAGACGGGCAGGGGGAAACATACGGGGGGGCAGAACATAAGCCATAGTAGGGGGTGTTAGGACCTTCCCTACAAGGGAGGGGATGGGGGCGCGGCGTAGTGCAACTAGTAGTAGGGGGAAGGCGAGAAATTGAGTAAACGAGGCTCGGCACGGCCCCCCGGATCACACGAGTTACGGGAAGCGCGATACCGTGAGGCACAGGTGTACCGTGTATCGCGCGACAGAACAAGGCCGGTCGCCCGGGCTCCGCATGAATGTCCTCACCGACGTTCGAGTGTGGACCGAGCCCGGTGCACAGGAATGCGATCCACGAGACGTCACCCCAACGCCCTCCGGCTGGAACGCTAAGTAGAAGAAGCGCGGAGTCCAGAGCAAAGGAACGGCGCGCGCGCGCCGGTGGATTGCGAGTAAAAATACACGTCGTACAGTCTCGACGGACCGACATTGGGACTACGAGTGGGCGTGCGCCGTGCCCGGGCGCACGCGAGAAGAAATAACCGCGTCCAGCCCAAGTGGGCGCGGGGGGGGATCGGGAGGAGTACACGTACACGATACAGCGCTGCGGCGACGGTCCGTCGGGGGTGTGGGGGACGAGGTAGAGGGGCCACAGGGGAGAAGGGAGAGAGCGAGTCCGAGGGGCGCGAGAGAGGGCGGGGCCGGAGTCCGGGAGCAGGCACAAGGAGGAGCGCATGGGGGATGGGAACGCGGGGTCAGCACGGCGGGAGTAAAGGGCTGGAGGAGAGGGTTTTGATCAGAGAGGAAGGGGCATAGGTCGTCGAGCACGGCCGGAATGCGGGGACAGAGGGTGAAAACGCAATAAGGCGTCGAGAATCTCGGCCCGAGCTCATCTAATCCTTCCGCGGCCGCTTCTTGCGCTCGAGCTCGCCCTCGACCGCCGCCGCGTCCGCGTCATCGCCCCCTTCTTCGTTTTCTTCGCGCTCCCGCTTGCTATTGTCCTTTGAGTTCGGCGCGGTCGCAGCTGCCACGGGACCGGGCTCGGTGGATGATGTCGCGGCGGCGCCAGGGCCTGCCTTGTGGCTGCGGAGAAGCTCAAGCTCGGCTTCGAGCCGGGTACGGAGGTTGCGCTCTTCCTCCCACATACGTCGCATCTCCTCGAGTTGTGTCTGGAGGTCGCCCATCGCTTGGTCCATGAGCAGCTTCTCGAGCGTCCACTTCTCGATATTCCGCGCCTCGTTCTCCTTCAGGTGGTGGATGTACTGCACCGCGCGCGATAGGATCGCGCCCTTGGCCTTCTCGCCCGAGCCGTTGGGTACGATGCGCCCGAGCTCATTGATGCCTTCGTTGATGTTCCCGCGCCGCCGGCGCTCCACTTCTTTCTGTTGGTGTCGCGCACATACACGCAGACAAGGGTGATAGACAGCCCGTGAGCCGGAGGACAGGGGCGCGAAACATACGAAGGGCACGTACGTGGTTGTCTTTCCGGATCCGCGCCCACTCATCGTTGGTCATCGTCGCACTCCGGCCGCCGCGCCGGCCCGAAGACTTCGTGGGGCTTCCCTTGTCGCCATCCGGCGAAGAGTCATCGCCGTCGCTCTGCTGGCCGGCGTCGTTGGGGTCGTTGCCCATTGGCTGTGGCGCCGCGTGCGCCGTCGCCTGCAGCACGGACGCGAGTGCGGAAAGCTGCCCGAGGTTGGGTGGGCCGCGCGGGTGCGACGAGGGCCCGGGCTCACTGGGGAGGGCGCCCGCGGGGATTGGTTGCTGCCCGAGGACGTGCGGCGGGAGCTGGCCGGCTTGGGGCAAGAATGCGCCCTGCGATAGGTGCGAAAGAGCCTCCGCAGCGGCAGAGTCCTTCAGATCGCCTCCCTACAAACAAAAACACAACATCGTCAGTATGCATTGACCTCCGATGGATACGATGAGGCGTTGTAGAGTCAAGGCACGACTCCGATAAAGCCGCCGCCCTAAGGATAGATAGGCGCTACGGGCATGTCCAGACCCCTTTTCATTCAATGTGCGACGGGTCTTCGATGGTCTGCGCGCGGGGCTTACGAACACGGAACAGAAATATCGCGGGGGTCGGCTCCGATGCGTAGTGCAGATGGCGCCCGCGCGCCCCGACGCGATCAGCGGGGCGAACGTGACCGATGCGCTCGATCACGTGGAACGCGTGCGCTGCGTATGCGAGCGCGACTGGAGGTGGATGTGTAGAGGGTACGTTGGGGCAAGATGGGGACGCGATAGCAAAGGGAATGAGGATGGTAGACGTACCCTGAAGATGTCCGGGATGTGCTTGAGGAGCGTAGCGATTTGCTCGCTGTTCATGGTCCCAATAATGCTTGCGGGAATATTGGCCGCTGGAGCTGGGGGCGCACCCGGGGCTGTCGCTGTGGCGGGGGTGGCGGAGGGAGCGTTAGTGAGCGCGGGATCGTGGGCTGGTTGAGCTGAAGCCATCTCCGGGGCGAGTAATGGACGTTGTGCTTCGGGTGGGGCTATTGGGCAGTTGGAGGGCCTTGAGCAGGCAAAAGCGTCGAGAGCGAGATCCTAGTGTGGCCGAAGCAGAGCAAAGTCGTAAAGAGGACGGCGATGGGGCCTCCTCGCTGTTGGGAGCGATGAGCTCGAGGGACAATTGCGGGGGCGGATTGATCACGGGGGAGGGAAACGAGGTCACGGCCAAGTCACGAGGGCGGTTATATAGGCCGCACGTGAGAACGCCACAAATAGAGTACAAGCGAGCCAAACACTGCCATCGCCTGCGCACGGGCCACTTGCCCAGCAACTCCCCGCCAACAGCGAAGGCCCAACGGACGTCGACTTCCAATGTCTGAAGGCAGGGAGACCCCCGGTTACATGCAGGGAAGCTAGATCAGTGTGTCTGCAGCTGTTTGCGTTGAATAGACTGACCTGTGCACAAGGCAGTTCCGCAGCACCTTTGTCTGTGCCGACGGACGCCCTTACTTTCGTCCGAATGCGCAGCGGGGCGTGGCTCGCCTTTACGTGGCGTCCTGAGGCTGTCCGCCGTGAAGGGGAAAGTAGACGGAGAGCGGGCTTTGCTTCATGGGCGTAGTGGGCCAGGTTAAACTCGGGCCACACCAGGCCACACCTCACGCGTCCGGATTTGACTGGATTTGATCCGCGCCATGTGCGCGGAAGGAGGAAGCGAGGGCGTTGAACCCACCCTCCGAGGTCAGACGATCGACAACGTCGGCCATACACCACGACGCTGCAAACGCGCAGTCCCGGCATGCAGTCCATCCCCCACACGTTGCGTTTGGCCCGCGGGCAATGTGCACCATCCAATCTCCCGTCCGGCTACGCCGCCTCCACTAACTGCCTGCTGCGGCCCATATCGCGCACTTATAGCACACGTGCAGACCGCTTTCCCCTTTCCGCGCCCTCCTCCTTTTCTTCCTTGCCCTTGTCGCCCGTGTTTGACGTCCCAGCGACATCCTGAACGACCCGCTGCAGTTCCTTTTAGCATGCTCACTGCCGCCCCGCTCGCTGCTGCCATCCTCGCTTCCGCAACAGGAGCCACCGCCACCTATAGCCTCATGAAGGAGTTTTCCGGAGATACCTTCTTCGATGACTGGGGATTCTACGGGAACTACGACAACCTCACGAACGGTACGTTCCATTTCAGCGCCAGCGTTCGAGAATGCACATTCAACTACACTCGGGGAGCAGGCGATGTTACTTTCGTGACCAAGGCGAACGCTACCTCGGAGAAGCTTGCGTACGTCAACGACGCTGGCAAGGCGATCATCACGGTCGACAACACCACATCAGTTGTCTACAACTACAAGCGTGATTCGGTGCGCACTCTCTCCCCTTCATCGCCCGAGCTCTTATTCTATCAGAGCACTCGTCGGTCTGACGCTCTGGGACACAGGTTCGCATCGCTACTGTGGACTACTACCCGGTTGGATCGGTCATCGTCTTTGACGTGACCCACCTGCCATATGGCTGTTCCGTATGCCTTTTGTATTGCCTCTCTCACGATCTTGTCTAAGAGATCGCGATCATGTTCAGGTATGGCCGGCGTTCTGGACGAAGGGCATCAACTGGCCTGCGGGTGGAGAGATTGACATCGTCGAGGGCGTCAACCTGATGACTGCCAACCAGATGGCCCTCCACTCTGACAGCGGCTGCAGCTCTTCGTCATCCGCCACGATGTCCGGTACTGTCGGCTCCGTGACTGATTGTTCGAACGCTTCTGGGTGCATTATCGAGGAATCGCAGTCGAGCAGTTATGGAGAGGCGTTCGCTAACGCCGGCGGAGGCGTCTGGGCGACCGAGTACTCGACGGACGGTATCAAGTGAGTCTGTCTCGTATCGACTTGGAAGCTTTCGCTCATGGCTCTTACTTGAATACAGGATCTGGTTCTGGAGTGTGAGATTCAACGTCGATGCCGAACTGTTTGTGTTATCTGACGTGCGACATTTCAGCGCGACAATGTCCCCACCACTATCTCGGCCGCTGGCTCTTCGATCGACACTTCGTCTTGGGGCACTCCCTCCGCTAACTGGCCCGCTTCGTCTTGCAACGTCAGCGAGTACTTCTCTGGCCAGCAACTAATCCTCGACATCACTCTCTGTGGTGACTGGTGCGTCCCTCGCACGCATGTTCTATTGGCACCCGCTGACTCCACTTCCAGGGCCGGCTCTGCATCCGTCTACAAAGCCACCTGTGGTGGCGACGGCTCCGCGACGGCGTGCTACATCAACAACGTCATCAACACGCCCACCAACTACACGAACGCGTACTTCGAGATCAACTACATCAAGATCTTCTCGAGCTCCGAGGTGGTCCTCACCCCGACCGTCTCCGGTTCGTCGACGATCCTCGTCACCGAGTCCGCGACCGCGACGTCGAGCTCGTCCTCAGCCTTGTCCAACGACGACAGCGCTGCGCCATCATACGCGCGCGCGTATGCGGCGTTTATCGAGGCGACGATTCTCAGTGGGGCGTCGTGGCTCTTGTTGTGATATCGGTTGCATGGGCGTTGACATCTGTAATTGCGTGACATAGGCGACATGGACGTTACCCTGCTCTGTTTACGTAGACACTGGCTTGGTACATAGCCGCGATTGTATAAGGTATCGCTGTCTACACTAAATGTTTGAACAATCTGGCCGTCTATCTGACTGCGCTACCTGGCGAAGTGATGGGTAGATTAGATTAGATTGCCAACGTGACGGGCTCCTGGGCATCGACGCGCGTCTCGTCTGGGAGACTCAGGCCCAGGGGCGTCCTGCTCGTCGCTGAGAGTTGTCCTTGGGCTTCCACGACTGCATAAAACCCCGCACTCTGCCACCTATGTCCCGTTCATAGTCTCCGGGCCCCCTCATCTCTCTCGACTCGCTTTTCACGCCCCATGACGGCCCCTACTACGGCCCCCTCCGAGGACAACCTCAAGGCCGCGCTGCTCGCGCTCAAGGCCGACAACCCCACGCTCGGCGTGCCCAAGATCCACGGCCTGCTCACCTCCGCACACCCGGAGTGGACGGTGAGCGAAAAGCGGACCCGGAAGGTGCTGCAGTCCGCCGGGCTCGTCCAGACGTCCGCGGCGAGCGGCGCCGCCCCAGGCCAGGTCTTCCCCACCTCCCGCCTGATCGACGGGCTCGACGTCGCGCGGTGGACGTCCAAGGTAGAGGTGCACTTTTTCGGCAAGGCGAAGGGCAAGGGCCTCGTCGCGCGCGAGGCGATCCCAGAGGGCGAGGTGATCTGGAAGGAGGACCCGTTCGTCCTCGCCCCGGAGTGGTGCGTCCCCCCCGTCTCCAGCCCCCACAGAACCGACCGCTGACGCGGACGGCCGACGGGCAGGGAGATCTACGACATGCAGATGTCCTCGCGCGCGTGCGGCCACTGCTCGACGCTGCTCACCGCCTCCGCCCTCGTCGTCCCCTGCGCCGCCTCGAGCTCGAGCACGCCCTGCCCCGTCCGCTTCTGCTCGCGCCTGTGCCTCCAGCGCGCCGGCCGCGCGCACCCGCCGCTCTGCGCGTCCCGCAACCCCGCGAGCGCGCCGCTGCTGCACTTCGCGCGGCGCAACCAGTGGATGGCGCTCCACGCGCTCGCGCAGGCCACCGCGCGCGCGCTCGCCGCGCACGAGGCCGACGCGCAGGCGTTCGCGGAGGACTGGGAGGCCGTGCGCGCGATGGCGCAGCTCGGGATGGAGGAGCGCGCCAAGGGCGGGTGGCTGAGCGCGGAGCCGGACCGCGCGATGTGGAAGCGGGCGCACAAGCTGTACGTCCAGGCGTTCCGGGAGCCGGCCACGGACGCGGAGAAGAAGCGGCTCGCGAAGCTGTTTAAGAAGCCGCTCCCGCAGGACGTCGTCGAGACGCTGTTCGAGTACGAGGCGTTCCTGCAGGGGCTCGGGCGGATGAGTCTCAGTGCGTATCTCTGCCTCCTCGGGCACCGGTGTGCGTCTGACTTTGCGGCAGATCTGGAGGCACACGGCGGGCTGTACGTTCTGCACTCGCACCTCAACCACAGCTGCAATCCGAATGTCTCTGTGCGGCACCTCGATCAGCGCACAGCTCTCTCGCGGATCACGCTCATCGCCCGGCGGCCCATTACGCCCGGGGAGGAGCTCTTGATCACGTACGTCAACCCCGACATGCCGCTCGAGCCGCGCCGGCGGAACCTGCTCGAGTGGGGCTTCGGCAAGTGCATGTGCGAGCGGTGCATCGTGGAGGAGCGCGAGAAGAAGGAGCGCGGTGAGGTCGAGGGTGAGAATGGGGAGGCTGCAAAGGAGAACGCCGACCTCGAGGCGGAGTTGAAGGCGGGGCTGGGTGTGATGTGAGTGCGACGAGGAAACCAAAGGACTTGAGTTTCAACTTCGATGTATACTGCATAGCCATAAGGGTAGACACCGGTCGCGATACCAACATCATGTCCGAAATCTTATAAGTGAACATTAAGGCGTCGGCGCGATGAAGTACGAGTGTACCCTGCGCCTTGTGCTAGAAATCGCAACTGTGGGATATGAGGCTCGTCGTCTCTCTAATTGGTCTTCATTGTGAGCAGATCACGGGGGTAACGTACAGATGCACAATGGTTGGTGATACTCGCGCAGATTGACGGCGATACAGTCTACCCTCCTTCCCGATTATTGCTGGCCAAGCAACTTCTTGAGCAAGGCTCCGCCCATCAGAGTCACCTTCTCCACGTCGCGGCACGTCAAGCTGTACCGCAGCCCGCGCTCGAGGATGCCTCCCGCCTCGACCGCCGCGCGCGCAGCCGGATCCTTGAGCGCGTCGAAGTTCGCGATGCGCTCCTCTGGCGTCGTGCCGTCGATTTCGAACTTGTCGACATAGAGCTCGTCGATGCCGTGCAGGTGATCGGCATACATCGACGAGGTCGTGATGACGAGGCTGCGCGGTTCGAGCAGGAGGCGGAGGACCGGCTTGGGGTCGATTGCGCGGCCGGTGCGCTGTGCCTCCGGTGCTGGGGGGGTGTCTGAGGGGGCAGGGGGGTCGTCTGGTTTGTATTGGTAGTAGTTGAAGACGGTGTGGGCTCCGAGGGAGAGGGTGGCGACAACTGGATGATATGCGGGACCGTCTTCATGGGGCTATATCGAAGCATCAATACAATATTGAAAGGGAGGGGATACACTGGCATTGACCATGATTCCTTGACCAGGAGCGTACTATAGTTAGGACAAAGGTGAATATGGATCGGAATCTGGAGGCACGAGACAGCTCACTTCGTTCATGATGATGTGATTGGGTTCTCCGTGTTTGGAACCCTCGAAAATTCCTGTGTCGCGAATGCGGCCGATGAGGTCAGGGCTGTGGGAGACATTCAGACAACGTCGTACCGTTAGATGGCCTATTTAGGACACTCACTACATGTTCACAAAGTTCGGCATCTCCTGCGGTATGAGGACCTTTTTCGCAGTTAATTCCCCGCCTACTCGAGGCTGAGTAATCAGATCCCCGCGGACTGACACTAGCACTTGCCCCATATCTGCAGTCTACCTGCATATGAGCTCCATAGTCCGTCAAAGTAGCGCGTACCAAATCGCTCACCTGCGGTTTTGGAGTCGCTTCCACCACGGCTGAGGTGCGTCCACGATCTACACAAAGATTTCAGATGCGGCAGTTGCTGCGGTAGATTTGTGGCCGTTTGGTGCTGACCTTTCTGATCAAATACTCTTCCTCTTCTTCGTCTATGAAGTTAGGGACGTAATAGGTTGTTTTTGTACCAGGAACGAGGTACTCTTCGAGAGCTTTGGGGTGGCTCATGTTTTGGTCCTTGATGAAGAGCGGTTCTCGGGGTCTCAGCCACCAGTGCGCACCCAGTTGGGCGCTTCTTACTGTTCATGCACCCCCGTCTTTTCCTCATCTTCCTTGTTTTGTCTTCACATTCGCTTGCCCCGCTTGACAGTTTCATGACGCAGGTAACGCCCCCAAGGCACCATGCGCGCATGCCCTGGTCAAATGCTCAGTGCTGCCACTGGAAGACATGCCCAGCGACAGCCTCTGCTGCGCACCTTGCCACCTCATGGTCCCAGTGACAGTGGCGGATTGACATGATCCGGCAAGACCATCGCTCTGAAAGTACGCTCTTATTACTTTTTTTCCACGTTCTGACTGGATGAGAAGAAGGTGGGAGAGCACATTGTCCGCAAAACCGATCACAATGGTCAAAATGGGACCCTGCCAGGCTCGAAATCAGCGGTCGCTAGAGTTGTGAATCTGAAGTTTCACGTTCGCAGTCAGCCTATGTTAGCATGCCGTCAGGTTTTGACAGAACTCTCGCTGCGCGCAAGTTGAACGCTGGGACTCACCACATATCATGTCATCCCGGACTCTTGTCTCCCCAGAGAACCTCCCCTGCGAACGACATGTCCGCCGCCATCGCCGCCATCCTCCTCCTCTCCCCCGACAACCCATGCAACACCACCGTCGTCGATGACGCCACTAGCAAGGCACTCTACGTCGTCCGCACTGAGCACCCGAAGTCCGGCACAGTCACGCGCGTGTATCGCGCTCACTCTTCCGATGCCGACTCAGACGACTCAGAATCTGAGCTGGGGAAGAAGGCCGGAGGACACAAGGGCAAACACGAAGACGAGATTGCGTCGCTCGAATGGAAGAGCACGCGTTCCGACCGGGTGACTCTCACCAGCTTTGGCGGACCGATGTCTCTTCGCGAATGGCTCCATCCAAGCCTTATTCCCTTCCGAAGGTACCGTTGTCTCTAAGCTGTGATCATGCCAGCGATACTTAAACGACCTCGGTGTCTCACCCACAGCGAAGTGTCATGGAAAGACCGCATGGGCCGCAAGTACAAGTGGCGCGGGAACGAGCCGGGACGCCAGCTCGAGGTCCGTTCATCTGCTCCCATCCGAGTCTGTCTCATGGGCCTTACGTGACCCACTTCCACAGCTGTACTCCGAGGACGATGGCTTCGCCTCCCTCATCGCGCGCTTCAAGCGGGTACACCGCGACGACGCTGGCGTAGAGAAGAGCGCGTGCTTGCTGTTCACCGCTCGCGGGATCGAGGTGCGCGACGACGCCGTCGTCTCGTTCCTCTTCCTCGAGCGCGCTCGGCGAGAGCACGAGACGACAGTCGTGCGGACCGCGGACTCTCTAGCGGCGGGTGCGGCGGTCGGGAGCGCTGTCTTCAATGTTAAGGCCTGAGATGGTGAGCGGATGCACATGCGGGCAGAAGTTTGTAAAGGTTCACATATGCATAGCCTGTAGCCAGTATGCTATGGTTGTACAAGTACGCATAAACACAGTAGCAGTACGGTTAGGTAAAACTTTGCGAGAAGTAAGGTGACAAATTCGCATCAATTTGCCTCCGCGAAGACACGCGCCCGCAGCAGAACCACGGCCAACTGCGCTCACTCAGAACCCATCTCACGCTCGGGTTCTTAAAGGGTCGGGGCATTACTCTGAAACTCCGACCAGCTCTCCGCACTGTAATCTCTCGGTGCGCTCCAGACGCTTACCTGTTTCATCACCGAGCGGACCCGCAGAACCTTGTTATGCCAACGCCAACGAATGGCGCATGTCGGCTCTCGTCGACGTACGAGATGCGCACTCGCGCACCTTATACGTGGGTGTCCACAGCTGCGCGTGCTGCACCTACTGGCGATGGATGCCGGCGTGCTCAAAAGAACGGGAAGAGGAGGTGGGTGCGGTAGAGGGACGGGCTGGCTGGCTACGCGAGTTCTCCTTCGCAGAGGTGGAGCGTGTCTTTTCCGTACGTGCGGCAGTATTTGGGGTGGCCGGATCTGCGACGTGGAGTAGTGACTATGTGACGGGCCCGTTCTGACTCACGAATCCAGATACACGTTGGCTACGGGGAACAACTCCGATGCGTACTGCACCACGCCCTCCCTCACCGCAGTCCAGTCCTGGCAGCTCGATACCACACCACCTAGCACCAGCTCCTTCAGCGTGCGCTGCGTACACGTCGTCCCCTTCGTCAGGTCTTCTTCGTCCACGCTCGCGGAAAGCACCGTGGCGTCGATTCCGGGAACGCGCAGATGCAGAACCTTCAGCTCCGAGCAGCCCCGCGCGAAGTGCGCCAGCGCGTCGATCGTGACGCGTGCGCTCCCGTCGGGGAGGTTCGAGGTGACGGGCGCCAGCTCCAGGTTGGTGTACAACCGGAGGCTCTCGAGCGCGGGCCACGCACTGACCGCTGCCTGGATATCTTCGGAGGACAGGGAGATCCGGGGACACTTCAGATGGAGAGTGATCGTGAGGTCGGCGAGCGTGCTCAGGGCGCTGAGGGTCTGGAGCATGCCGGAGAGCGGAACGACGGAATCCTGCTCATAGGGGTTGTCCCGTTTGATCGCGATGCTCATTGAACGGAGGCGAGACCAGTGGTTGGTCATTGCGGCAAGGGCGGTTTGGAAACTTGACGAGTAGAATTCACACAGTGAGTCGTGTGTCGTCTGGAGGGAAAGGGAAGAGAGCGTGGGTGTATGCAAGTGCGTGATAACTTCCACGACGCGATGCCACTGATGTGGACCCGTACAGAGGAGGTTGAGCGCGCGGATATGCGGGAGTTCGAAGGATCTCCGCAGAGTAAACCGTGCGTTGTTGATTTGGTAGAAGTAGAGCCCGAGGGACAACTCCGTGAGAGAGACGAGAGATGGGAGAAGTCCAAGGTCTTGGATGTCCTTGAGGGAGCGCAAGCGAATATTCCCAAATTCCTTGAGCGACGCCAGGGGCACGAGAGTGCGGATAATGAAGTCGAACGGTATCAGGGAGTGCGAGATATGGACGCGTTGCAGGTGGGGACACGATGCGCAGATCGTTCTGAGCACGGCTAGCTGATGTGCTTGTGCCACGAGCCGTTCAGTGTCAGTGTGGTCCTTGCTGCGGAAATGGATTTCGACTGTTTTGACCTCGGACGAGAGAAGGGCCAGCTCGCCGTTGTCAAAGGGTCTGCCGTGAAACAACAAGGCAACGAATTCCGCTTGATTGAGACACGGAAGTATAGATGTGCCGCGAAGGAACTGCGGCAGTTCCTGCCAGACGGAAGGTCCCCCACGAGACGAGGGGAGTGAAATGGTGATCTTTCGGACGCGTGATGCGTATCCACTGAACCTCTTCCAGTTTGTATGAGTGCAAGGGTCCTGCGTCAACGTCTACCGTCCCACACGGACCCGTCAGTTGAATTCCGTTTTCGCGGAAGTTGATCGAACCTACAAATAGATATGAATCTGCGGTCCTTGCCGAAATATTGGACAGATTTTCCTTTGACCTTAGTTGCGAGATACCAAGAGTGTATAGGAGAAACGCAAGTGGGCGATCGTTGGGGAGCGTCTTCCAGAGGAAGTGCAGAGCGGGCTTGGTGAAGGTTCTGTTAAGTTTCAACGACGCGGTTCGTTGGAATCCTCCTAACGATCGTCGAGTTCACTCGCAGGCTCGCGTAGGGCACTCTTCGTGAGAAGGTAACAGCCCTTGTACCGTCGTTCGATTGATCGAAGCGACGCGGTGGCGATACTGAGATGGACGGACGAACGGAACAAAGACACACACGGAACGATGGTGGTAAAGAGTAGAGTGAAGATTCGTGCCGCGCTCCGCGGGAGCGCGTTTATATACATGGAGAGGACAAAGGACTGATACGGGCGAGAGATGAGAGATTACGCTAACATATCTAATCTAATCTAAACTCGTCCCATGACATGCCTCCCCCAGTGTAGAATCGAATCTCGAGAAGCGTGAGTAAAAAAGAAAAGAGTCTAGTCAATGTCCATATTCGTTTCGAGGGGGATCAGAGAGATCATGGATGTCTGTCCGTACGCAGTCGAACGCGGCGTGACAATCCAACGGAATCGCCCGAGGCGACGTACTCCCTGGTACTCGGCGATAATGCGGAGACTACGGAAGCGAGGTCCACTCCGTTGAAGACGTCGAGGTTACCAACCCCTATGAGGATGTCGTCGCAGTAGACTTGCGCGTACACGTCGACGACTCCGAGGGCGTCGGCGATAGCCCCGAGGATGCCACGACTTCGCATTGCTTCGGCGAGAAGGTCCAGGCCCTGAGACGTCTTCCGGAGGTCCCTGGCCAAGAGGACGTCGGCGTAATCTTCTCCGACGATCACCCACGAGGGTGAGAACGAGTGCGAGGTCCATCGCCACGCGGACCGCTCTCCCAGGATCCCGATGGTGACCCGCATGGCCCGCGCGATCCAATCCATTGAGGCGTGTGCGCAGCGTAGGTAATCGCTCCAGACGGTGGTCCAGATCGAGCACGGGGTCGGTCCGGCAAGTTGACTGTGATCGGGGTAGCGCTGGAGGAAGAGGACGACGGGGAAAGGAGGGAAGTCCGATCCGAGTTCGAAAAGTGCGTTGAGGTCGAAGTCCACTCCGGAACTAGCGGCGATCTCGTCAGGAACGACGCCGTTCGACGCGAGATGAACGACTTGAAGGAGATAAAGGAGGCGCTCGTGGAGGGTGGCGGCGAGTGTGATCTGAAGCTCGCACGTGCTGTTGGAGTCGACGCGAAGGTTCCGCGTGAGCACTAGCGCTGCGACGTCCAGGTTGAAGAGAAGGATGGTGGAAAAGAGGTAGAAGGGGAAACCAGCGCGATCGGGTTCTCCGTTGAGAGAGGAAGACATGTCGGTGAGGAAGAGTGTTGTCGTTGTGAGAGTGAGGGGATTCGTTCTGACTGGCGGTGGACTCCGTCTGATGGTGAGTAGCGCCGATGTATCGTCTTCTTATCCTCGACGACCACCGTATCGTGGCAGTGGCGTTCCTCTCCCTTTTTCTTTCTTCTCCTGCAGACGCGAGCTTACGCGTACGTCTCTGGGTGGTGAGTGGCAATCTTCCGTGTTTGAGGCGACTGTAGATTCCGGTCTCTGCTTTGTCTGGTGTGCCACCTCGGACGTTGTTGCGATTGAATCTTCTCGGACAGGTTGCATCGGCAACTCGATCTTACCCGAGTCGTCGGGTTCGTGTGACATTGACTTCCCTTTCGTCTCGTGTTGATCGGTGCGTGTACCTCGCGCTTCGTCCTTATCTCGTTGATCCCACGTTCGTAGGACTTCGGGGGCATTGCGTAGCTGGTCCCGTGTGAGCCACTCGTCCTCGTTGCCAGGTCGTCCTACCCATCTTGTCTTGTAGAGAATCTTACGCCGTCCATCCTTGCCTTGTACTACCTTCTCTCCGACTATTTGCTCGACTTCTTCCTCAGGCAATTCCTCGAAGCTGTCTCGACTCATCCGCTTCGTTGGCCGGTTTCCGAACTCTGGTGGCGACGACTGATACGGCTCCAGATGTGCAATATTGATCACCGGGTGGATTTTGTACGAGGTGGGTAGTCGCAGTTGATATGCTACTGCGCTAAGCTTTCTAATGACTTCGAATGGACCATCGAACTTCATTAGTAACTTGCGACCTCGTCCGGTCTCTCTTCTGAGAAGCTCGAGACTATGAGGGTTGATCAAGACTAGATCTCCCTCTTCGAACTCGCGGTTGAGTCGGCCCTTGTCATAAGCCTTCTTCTGGTACGTCTGAGCTAGCTTGATTGCCTGTTGCGCTTGATGCTGATTTGCTCTGAATTGTGTGGCCATCTCATCGGCGGTTTGATGTCTCGACAGTTCGTGCTTCACATTCTCTTCTCTCAGACTTCCTCCCCCAGTCAAATCGCGAGGGGTTGGCCTGACGACACTTGGTGGAGAAGACAACATGGTCACACCAGTGATGGGAGTGTATCCGCGTAGGAGGTACGCAGGCGCGTAATTGGTTGCGGAATGTGGGGTCGTGTTGTACGCCAAGGTGAGTGCGTCGAGATGTCGGCTCCAGTCATCACGCTGTTCTGACACGTATGCTCGTAGTGCGATCTCAATGGTCTGGTTGAGGATCTCCGATTGTCCGTCGCTCTGAGGGTGATGCGCCGTGGTAAGTGCTCGCTTGATGTTCATGTTCTTGCAGAGCTGACCCCAGAAGTCGCTCCTCCACTTCGCATCTCGATCGGTGATGATCTGGCGTGGCAAACCGTAGTGAGCGACAACGTTTTGAAGTACAGGTCTGCTGTCTCCACTGCCGTCGTCGCTGTTGTCGTGGGGATGAACATCCCGTACTTGGTGAGCTTGTCGACGATTGTCAGTACGTTGTCGTAGCCGTCCGAAAGGGGCAGTTCCGGTACGTGATCCATGCAGACTACTTCAAAAGGCTGACTCGGAATTGGGATAGGCGGAGCAGTCCGACGCCGCCATGTCTGCGTGGTTTGACCTTCTGACATACGTCGCACGTCGCTGTGAAGTGTTTGATCTCGCGCGACATCCGCGGCCAAAAGTATACCGTCGCAATGCGATTGTAAGTGCGATGATAGCCTCCGTGAGCTCCCTCCGTCTTCTCGTCATGGCTGTCGCTCATGATCTGTGCACGCAACTTCTTTGGTACGCACAGCTTACTGGCTCCGTTCCAGTCTTCGAAGTACAGAAGTCCGTCGTCACTGAGGTAGTATTGAGGGTAGGTGGGCGTCTCAGGGTCATCTTCTCGGATTGCGGTCAACACTGATTTGAAGTATTCATCGTCCAGATACGCGAGTTTCCAAGCTTCCACATCTTCCGGAGCAAAACCAATGAGCAAAGAGTGCGTGGCTGCTGCACAGTACCCTGCGTCAGGTATGTCTGAAGCGTCTTCGATGGCGGTATCGACGTTGATAGCCTTGGTGGTGAAAGATTCCAGAGTTGCGGCGTGCTTGGATGCAACAGTGAGTAGTTTCTCTTCGAACCTAGGACCCAGTTCCTCATATGCGCTCCTCAAGATGTCCTCGCTTGTTCTCCCAGGGTAAGTACTATGCCGTCTAATTCGTTCGGACCTCGCTGATCGGGTACGCGTCGACGCAGACGAGACACGGGATCAACGTTGGAATGCACTCGTCCAGCTCGGTGTACTATCCGCAATCCAGGAAACGCAGCGAATGTCGTTCCCCAAGTCTGCAGACGACGATTGACGTTGTGAAAGGCACGTCCCCAGGTCAGAGCCGCGTGGTCCGTAATCGCGAGAATCGGGCTCGTTCCTTCGATGTACGGCTGAAACTTGATCAGTCCTTCGCGCAGTGCTAGTGCTTCGCGCTCCGTGGCCGAGTAATTCCGTTCGGCCGGCTTCAAGATGCGTGACCAGTACGCAATAACACGTTCGATGTGGACGATCGTATCTTCGAATTCCTCCGCCCAGTCGCCTGCGGGAGGAACGTCCGGGTCTCCTTTCGCGACTTGGGCTACTAGTGAAGGTACGGGCTCCCCTTTCTGATGTGCTTGTCGGAGCCGGTCATACAGCTTGGTCCCTTTTAGATCCCGAATGGCGATGGGCTGGATCTGTTGCAGGATCGCAGCTAACCCATAGTCACAAGCGTCGGAATATACGCGATAAGGACGGCCGGCTATAGCGTGCGCACGGACGGGGGCTTGGGTGAGTACTTGCTTGCTTAGTTCGAACGCTTCTTGATGCACATCTCCCCACTTCCATTCGCGTTCCTTCTTCAGAAGATCGAAGAGCGGCGCCGCGATCCAGGCGTAGAATGGGATGTACGACGAGAAGTACACCATCATCCCTAAGAATGTGTGCAATTCCGCCGTGTTCTTGGGTGCCGCCAGGTCGAGGATTGCTTGTACCTTGTCTCGGTGCGTTGACAGACCGAGTCTGGATACTTTCTGACCTAGCAAGAGTAGTTGCCGATACGCGAAGTGGCATTTGGGGAGAGAAAGCGTCAGGCCAGCGATAATGATAGCTTTGAGGACGCGATCGAGGTGAGTCACATGTTCGCGAAACGTCTTTGAGTAGACGATGATGTCGTCGATGTAGACAAGTGCGAAGATCCATAGAAACGGAGCGAGTACGCTCTGCATTTCGCGTTGGAATATACTCGGCCCGTTGCGCAGACCGAAGGGCATTCGCGTGAATTGATAGAGGCCTCGGTGAGTCCTGAACGCCGTCTTTGGTCTGTCCTCTGTTGTGATACTGATCTGTGTGAACCCAGATAGTGCGTCCATTGTCGATAGCCATTGCGCTCCGGACAACTCCTTCATGATCTCCTCTTGTCGGGGCAGGGGAAACTCGTCTGGAACCGTCATCTCGTTCAGTCGTCGGTAGTCTACGACCATGCGGGGCTTATTGTTGCGGTACGTGATGAAGGCTGGTGCTCCCCAAGGCGATATTGATGGTTCGATTACTCCTAGTGCTAGCCATTTGTCCATCTGCTGATCGATCACTTCACGCTTTGCTGGGGATGCAGGGAACGGCGGCAACGACACCTCCTTGGCATTGGCTCGTAGCGGAATAGTACATTTCGTGTTTTTCGCCTCCCCCAGTCGGCCGTCGAGAGCAAAGGCAGCTCTGTTCTTGGTGAGCACATCTATCAGACTCTGCCTATCCTCCCCCTTGACTTCGTTCGAGACGTCTAGAGCTGACAGGAATTCCTCTAGTGCGACGTCATCCGGCGGTGGCTCGGATGTCTTGGGTCCGCCTTCTAGAGGTTCTTCTGCGAGTGGGTCTTCTCCGATATCTCTGCTGGCGCGTGCTGTCGTAAGATCTCCCTCCGGTTCCGCATGGGTCAGTCCCGCTCCTTTGTTGTGTAGTTGCTGGCTGACGAGCTGTTGTACCAGGTTGGCGTGCGAGGTCATATGATCTAACTGTTCCGCCGTGAAATTGTCTTCGTGGTCCAACCACTGGTCAGGTACGCGTGCTATTCCCACCAGCTGTCCCTTCCCAATCTTGACTGGGAACGATGAGAAGTTGGCAATGGGAATTCGGGGACACGTCTTAGAGATCAAGGTGTCAGGGGCGCCGTAGACGTCCTCGACGTTTCGCGTGAAGTTGAACATTCGCTCGACAAGAAGCGGTGAGTCGTTCTCGTTGAAGCTGGCTGCCACCTCGACTAATTTTGACTGCCCCGGGGCGATTGTGACCTCCTCCTTCGTGCGCACTTCCTCGCAGGGCTTGATATCTTCATGCTCATCCTTATCCTGCTTCGCCGACACTCGGAAAGCCTGTCCTTCGTCGTTCACCAGTGATTGTCCTACGGAGTTTTGGGCGTCCGCGTACAAGTCTGGTGAGCCAAAGGTCACTCGTGTATGTCCCACTTCGCGCAGAATGGACACTGAGTACTGATCTGCGAAGTCGTTCCCCAGTAGGAATGGCGCCGTCATGCCCTTCACTACGTAGGCGTCTACGGTCATCTTCACAGTCTTCTGAGACTGAGTCGCGAAATAGATGTCGATTGGTACGTAACCGGTGATTGTTGCATTGCCTGTGACTTGTACCAATCGTATCTTTTGCCCAGCTCGTGGTCGTGGTCCTTCGGGTATTGCCTCTAACGCGCGCTGCGATATGAGCGTGATGTCAGAGCCAGAGTCGATGATGGCTGAAACGGGAGTGGACTGGGAATTGTGTAGTCGGACTGGAAGGGTTGTCGCTTGTGCACCCAGAAAGGTGCATCCTGGTGGTCGTGCCATATGTTTCTGAAGAGGTATGATGTCGTCGGTCTCCTCTGCGACGGTGTGAGTTTTGAATGCAGAACAGAAGGTAGCGTCTAAATCGCTCTGGTCGAGTCGTCTCGAAGCGTTCTGAATTCTCGTAATATAGGTCCGGCTTTCTACTGTAGAGGGTCCCCTCGAACGTGACGGTGTTTCCTCCGGTTGCAAAGGAAGTGCGTCAGAGGCCGAGGGCGCGCTCAAAAACCCGTTGATGAGCGATGGGACGATACCGCATCACTGTCTTCCTCGTCTACGGATTCAAAGTAGGCATCTTCGTATTCTTGCTCGCTGGCTCTCTCAACATCACTGAGTGGACTTCTTGCTAGGTTTGCTCGTGCCCGCTTCTCGCCTTTGCGCGCATGTCGACAGTCCCGATCCCAGTGTTTCGGATTGCCACAATGGCGGCAGGGTCGGCGACCGCGCTCGTCTGGAGGATTCTTGGAGATCGTGTGGTCGATTGGGAATGGGTAGTCGTTGTTGGTTGGTGTTCTCTCACTTGCGCCTGCGTTCGCGCGCGCGGATGGCTTCCACTGTGGTCGATGATGTGAGTACTGCTCCCTTTCTCCCATGAAAGTCTCCATCTTCATGAGGTGCTCCTCGTTCAGGTGCATGTCCATTTGGAGCTCCGCTGCGGTCCTGTAGTCGGACCATCGTAGAATACCGGTATGCCACGCTGTCGGTACTGTCTCCGAGATGTAACTGATGATGTCTCGGTCATTTGCTTGCATCGTCAGGAGGATCAGTTCTCGTTTGCGAATGAAGTATTCGCTCGGGGTCTCCTTCTCGTGCCCTTTGTCACGGTACTTCGCAGCGACTGCCTCCTTCTTGGTGCGTTCCATCCACGCTGGACTCATGTAATATTTGCCTATGGTCGATCGCAGATTCGACCAATCTCGCTCACACCATCTGCGAAGTTCTTCTGGAAGCGAATCATACCAGTCTGCTGCGCGACCTATCAATCGTCGAGGTATGACTTGTCCTAGTTGCTCTTGGACGTCTGCTGAGATCTTGGCTAGGCCGTTGACGTAGATCAACCACTTGACTAACTTGGTGGTGTCACCATCCCACGTGTTGACTTCGGTGACCTTCATCTTCATGTCGAAGCGCACACCGAGGGACGTTCTCCCTCCTCCGGTACGTGGGTTTCCTGCCGCGTCGTGGGCGTCGCCCCCAGTTGATCCACCGTACGGAGGTCCTCCCCCGGGTGGTCCGTTATACGGAGGTCCTCCCTCTGGCGGTTCACCTTGTGGATATCCTCCTCCGGGTGATCCACCGAATGGGCGTCTGCCTCCAAACGGTCCGACGTATGGGAGCCCTCCTCCGGGTGGTCCGTCGTCCGGTGGGCCACCACCTGGTGTTCTTCCGCTCGGAGGTCCTCCTCCACTTGGCGGTCCTCCGCCTGAGTGTCCTCCTCCTAGTGGTCCTCCCTGTGAGTGGCCTCTGTCGGGTGTCCTGTCTTGTGGCGAGTCTCCGCCGGGTGCTCCTTCGTCCGGAGGTCCTCCTCCCCGCAGTCCGTCGTATGGGGTTCCCTCGTGCGAAGGCTTCTTGCTATAGGATGGTCCCTGCGAGTATGGAGCGTTCATTTTCACATTAGGTGGCATGTGGTGATCGGACGGTCGTGTAGTGTGACCCGCATGAATATTATCCCTGTAGCGTGTCTCATGTCTCACGAATCGTGATTGGAGCGAGTGCGGAGTTGGAGCTCTGGGCCGATCCGGCCAAGGAGCTTCCTGTTTCTCTGCTTGTGTAGGGATCCACGCAGTCCGTTGTGGGTGGACCGTATCGCCGGGTGATGGGTGGCCTGCACGTGTTTCGGGGTGTGCGTCGTGAATGGACTCCGCCGAGGCGGTTGTCAGGTGCAATGAGGACGGTGTGCTCATCCAGGAACCTTCATCGTATGTCAGCGACTGCGCTATACGCGGTCCTGGTGCTCGCGAGTGGCCCGTCGGTTCGAAGATTTGTTGCAGTCCTGCCGTGTGTGTGGGGGGTTCGATTCGCGGTGATCCTCCCCGTCGTTGTTCGTCTCCTCGAGAGCTCTCCATTTTGTGCCCCAGGAGCGCAGCGGACGCGGTGTCCGCGAGGTGTGGCGGCGCGTCCCGGATTGCTGGCGGGTACTCCTCGCGGCCTTCATTTCCGAAGGGTGCCGTGTCGGCATGGTTCTCGTGACGGATAGGAAGCATCTTGGGTTTGGCTTCCGACGCCTCGTGTTGACGCAACGCGCCTTGCGATGAGAGCGCAGCTTGCGCGCGCGTGAGGGCTCTCCCCACAATGTTCCTGGCTGGGGTTGGCCATTTCTCGGGTACCGCAGCGGGGGTGTAGAATGCTTGGGGTTCCTCCCTCGTCAGCGAGTGCTCTTCGATGTGCGGGTAAGCGTTATTTGGCGTGCGTGCGCTGTTGATAGGAGAAGAGGCTCGGAATTCGACTATGGACTCAGGTTCACCCCTCCGCAATCCCGGCAGGTCGTCGTCCTCGGGATGATCAGGTTTTTCCGCGAAGGTGTGAACGTCAGCTAGCGTCTGTAAGAAACTTTCGACCTCACGATGGAAGCAGATGGATAGAATGTCGTAGTTGTCTTCCGAATGCATGCGCATGTACGTCATGCTGTCTCTACCCCAGATGGGGACGGGCGGAAGTCGTTTGTTGGCAATCACAAAGGAAGGTGCGGCTTCTGCGCGTCGTTGTCCCAGCATTAGGGTGAGTTCGTCCATGTCGTCCGGATCGGGCCAAAGACGATCTTTCTTCGTCGCTAACGTGCGTGGTGAGGCTACGACGTCGAGCAGTAGATAGCGCTCCTTGCGAAACACTCCGCTAGCGAGGATGAGTCGGAGGTGATTCTGTTTACTGGGCCGGAGCGTCTGTCGCCCTGTGTACTCGTGTCCAGCCTTCAGCGCGGCGATCAGGATCCTTTTGCGCTCAGGGTCCTGCAGAATGTCGCCGATGTAATCGTAGACGGAGCCGTAGATTGAAGGGACCCTGTTCGTGCGACCAACTGAGGTGTGCGCTTCTGCAGTACTTGATATGTCGAAGAAGCCGTCTCGTGTGATTGATGCCACTCCAGACTGTACGGAGCTCAATGGAGAAGACATCCTGTACTCGTAAGGGTTCTCGTCAGGCCATTCTGTCTCAATAGCTGCTCGAGGGGGTGGGACGACGATGGGTGCTGGCGATACTATGGGGACCGGAGATGGACTTGGTGCGGGTGTCTTTGTCTCCGGCGGGTGGCGTGCAGTCTCGTCTGGTGGGTCGTGCCCGTCGGGTGCTCCGGTTGCGGGAGCAATGATTTGTGGCGGGGGTGCAGTTGGTCGGGGGTTGGATTGAAGTCGATTGATCTTCTTCTTGTTGTTGCGGTGAGCCATGGTGAAAGACGATTGAGAGAGGAACTCGGGATGTCCACCAATTGTTAAGTTTCAACGACGCGGTTCGTTGGAATCCTCCTAACGATCGTCGAGTTCACTCGCAGGCTCGCGTAGGGCACTCTTCGTGAGAAGGTAACAGCCCTTGTACCGTCGTTCGATTAATCGAAGCGACGCGGTGGCGATACTGAGATGGACGGACGAACGGAACAAAGACACACACGGAACGATGGTGGTAAAGAGTAGAGTGAAGATTCGTGCCGCGCTCCGCGGGAGCGCGTTTATATACATGGAGAGGACAAAGGACTGATACGGGCGAGAGATGAGAGATTACGCTAACATATCTAATCTAATCTAAACTCGTCCCATGACACCTGCGCTTCTTCGGTACTCAGCACACTGTGCGCGCCCGGGGAGTATGACAACACGCACCATACACCGTCTATCTGCTTTCCGGTTAATTGTCGTGAAAGCTGCTTTGCGAGCCCATTACTAAGGTCGTAGACATAAAGCTGGACTGTGGGCATCGTTGTGGTCGTTGCGGTATGGTGTAGGAGAGCAGAAGAGCAATAGGTAGGGCGGGCGGAGGGGTATCTGTGGAGGTTGCGCGGGCGGAGGAAGCAAGTTATATGCGGACAGTCCGTTCGGCTGCGGGCTTGGAAATCTCTCGAAAGGCGACGCGTCGCATCCGGATCGCGATGACGTATCCCCTGATATGGGCGGCGTCTATCACCCCCGGCATTCTCGGAAATCCGGACAGTCAGCTGTATCCGACGCTGCATCGCGTACCATGAAAGATGCAAGCATGACGCTACGGATTGTGACCGAGAGTTGGAGCTATTACATATACAGGTAGTTGGACTTCATCGACTGTGCTCATTAGCTTAGGGGAGCTCAGCAATGCACTCAATCTCCATGTCGGCGCCGAGGGGGAGGGCGGCCACACCGATGCAGGTGCGAGCAGGGGGATCGACGGGGAAGTACTAGGAAAATGTTTGGGCACGTTCGAGACGCACTGAGGGCGCGGATAACTCACCTCCAGGTAGACCTCGTTCATCGGCGCGAAATCGCGCGGAAGGTCCGCCAGGAAGACATTGCACTTCACAACCGCAGTGCGATCAACACCAGCGCCCTTGAGAACCTTTGTCATGTTGTCCAAAGCAACACGCTGGATCATTCAGGAGATTAGAGACAAATTTCCATCAGAGGCAACAGGGAGCGTACCGTTTGTGCCTGAACGCCGCCCTCAACGAGCTTCATGTCCCGGGTGATACCAATGCTACCAGACACATAGATGGTCTTCCCCGAGATGATAGCCTGAGCTGTAAGTGGTAGAATGTGAGACATAGACTAATGTGTTTGACGGAACGCAGAAATGCGTACAGTAGATGGGAAGAGGGGGGTTGGCCTCCTCAGAGAAAACGACTTGCTTCGTCATATTGGTGAATGTGTGCTGGGTGAGAGGTGGAAAGCGGCGGGGCTGTTGAGCAGGATGCAAACAGGAAGTATATATACACGCGATCGGATAATGGTGGGCTGACGAAAGATAGGTTGTATACACTATCCCGTCGATCAGTGGGGAGGGCGCGTGTTATCGATGGCCTTCTAAAGTCATGGTCAGCTGCTAGCGCAGAATATACTCAGTACTTAGCATTAAATTCCAGAAACCTCGGCGACGCAGGTGATGTCGGCGTACAGGAGTCTTTTGGCAGGCTAGCCAGAGCAAATAAATGGTCACGGAGAGAGGGCCTATTGGCGGATCAAGCCCACGGCCGGTGGTGGGTGGTGTATTAGGGCCCGGGGAAGTAAAGGAGTTTAGGGTTCCAAACTCGCTGTTTCCCCGTTCACCAGCACTATTTAACATTGTGCGCAATTATATGCCGAGCTGAGGGCACCACGCGGTTGCAAGGAATTCGGTTCATTCCAGCTTGATTCAAGCAGGTCAACTTCATAAGGCGTGACACAAATCACGAGATATGCGTCACGTCGCGTCCTGACTCAGCGACGCCACTGACGCGTGAGCCGGGCCCGAGGACTCACTTGCATTTGTAACCCCTCCTTGTGTCTGGAGCCTCCTACTCAGTGCCCACCCACTCTTTCGTGACCCTTGCCTCGGTCGGGACGACCACATTTCCAGCCTTCCGAATTCTTGAAGCTCAAACTCCAAGTGTGCCCGGGCCGCTGGCTCCGAAGTCTTCCCAAGCTCAAGCGCAAGCCTGCCCAGTGTGTCCCGCAGCCCAGATCGCAGAACCTGAAAGTCGTGGTATATGCCCGGCTCCATTGCCAATGTCGAGAGCAACTCCATCAACGGGAGCGACAGTGAGGACGACTTCGACTGGGAAGAAGTCGAGGTAGGGCAGGCTGCCGCAGCCGATGCCTCCCAACTCGATGCTGCAACAGTCTCGAGCGTCCATGACTACTATGCGAGCATACATGGCCCGGAGGAGGGACCGTCCGAGAAGCCGCACTTGGAGATCACCATTAAGACTCAGGGGAAAGGCAAAGGGGATTCCAAGTGCGTAGTCCTCAGACTCCCACATCAACTCAGATTCACGAGAACGCGCACAGGAAGAATGAGCGAGCACTCCAGCTCGCCGCAGAACGCGCCGTACGTCTTGAATGCCACAAGCTACACACCGTGGCGCTCCTCGTGAGCGCGAGAGTTCGCAACCACTGGATCAACGACCCGCTCCTCCACGTACGTCCCCGACACCGCTGGTAGTCTCGTGCATTGCGTGACCGTGCGCGTGGACCTGCAGGCGCGTTTGATGTCCCTCACTCCGATGTCGCTGCAAAACGCCTTCACGATGATCACCAAGTCGCGCATCCCCGAGCCTGCGAAGCGTGGCCGTCTGTTCGAGTCCGCCATTGAGCGGCTCGTGCAGTGGTGGGCACACGATTCTTCGAGGTCACGCCGACCGGGCACATCCGCTCCCGCACCTTCAACGACGTGCAGAAGCTGCTGAGCCCACACCTAAACCGGACCCCAAGGGCAAAGGCAAAAGGCGCGCGACCGACGACGACGACGGCGTCGATGACGAGGAGCGCTACGGGATTGACGGCGAGAAGATCAGGGGCGAGAAGAGCCTGATGAAGCACGCGCTCATGCAGAAGGGCTCGCGCGACACGAGCGCGCAGCTGTTCACCGCGCTCTGTCGTGCGCTCGGTATCCCCGCGAGGTTGGTCGTCAGCTTGCAGAGCGTGCCTTGGCAAGCAGGCGTCGGCAAGCCAAAGCCCCCTGGGAAGAAAAAGAAGAGCGCGGTGGAAGCTGGCGCTAACGGCGGCTCCAAGAGCAAAGGCACGGGTAACGCGGCCGATGCTCCGCCTGAAAGGGAAGGCGACGAAGACGACGAAATGGAAGACGTCTCGATTCCTGAGCCAGCTGGGTCAACAGGCCCAAGAGGACGATCCCTCTTCCCTGGCGAAGGACAGCAACTGAACGGTGCTGCTCCATCGCTCTCTTCCAAAGCTCAGGGGAAACAAAAAGCCGTTCCCATCATCCGGCTCCGCAAAAATACTGCCGGGTTCAAGCTCGGCTCTTCCGTAGATGCTGGGACGAGTCGTCCGCGGAGACGTACGTATCAAAGGATTTTTTCCGTGCTTGTTGACCAAATGTGGGAACAGGGGAGCACACTCCAGATCCTACGACATCAGCACCTGTGTTCTGGACAGAGGTATTCTCCCGCGCAGATGGTCGCTGGATTCCTGTGGATCCCATCCGAGCGATAGTCAACAGGCGCAAAGCGATGGACCCGACCCCGAATCCAAACATCAAACAAGACAACCGCCGTGCCGAACGCGTTGAGAACCGCATGGTGTACGTACTGGCGTTCGAAGAAGACGGCTATGCCCGAGACGTAACCCCGCGATACGCACGCGAGTACGGTGCGAAGGTGGCGAAGGTGCAGCAGGGCGGGAAGGGCCGCCGGGAGTGGTGGGAACGCATATGCGGCATCGTGCGACGGCCGTTCCGACTGGTACGTACTGCCTTCTTCGTTCGCTGAGCCGACGCCAATGAGGACACGGCCTTCGCAGCAACGAGACGACGCCGAGGACGAAGAGCTCCAGGCGCATCAGATGACGGAGGCGATGCCCACCACGGTGACCGGCTTCAAGGATCACCCGCTCTACGTCCTCGAACGGCACCTGAAGCGAGAGGAGATCGTCGAGCCGCCCACCGAGCTCGGCAAGTTCCGTGGGGAGTCCGTCTACCCCCGCGCGAACGTCCTGCAGCTGAAGACGGCGGAGAACTGGATGCGGCAGGGGCGCACCGTCGTCATCGGCGCGCAGCCGCTCAAGATGGTCAAGCAGCGCGCAGTGACCGTGAACAGGAAGCGCGCGATCGAGGCCGCGCTCGAGGAGCAGCGCGAGCGCAAGCCGTCGGGGTCCTCTGCAGCGCGCGCAGAGGTCGTCGATGAGGACGGCACTCTCGCGGTCTCAATAGACGGCGTCACCGACGTCGCGTCCCTCCCCGGTGACGGGTTTGGGAGCGAGGACGGCGTGATGCAGGGTCTGTACGCCAAGCACCAGACCGAGCTGTACCGCCCGCCCCCGGTCGTTGATGTGAGCCGATCCCTCCAGCTCGCTACCCTTGCCCGCCACCCGTCGCCGTGCTACCCGCAGCAGATTGAGCTGACTCCCTCGGATCTTGCGTTCAGGGCAAAGTGCCGAAGAACGACTTTGGCAATCTCGATCTGTACGTGCCGTCGATGCTCCCGGCAGGCGCCGTACACCTGCCATGTGCGTCTCTCGACTCGTCCCGCTGCGCCTCGTCGAGAGGTACACTGACCCCGCCTTCCTTGTCAGACAAAGGCACCGCGAAGATTGCGCGGCAGCTCGGGTTCGACTACGCGGAGGCGGTTGTGCGTCTTCTTTTCTGCTCGTGTCTCTCGTCTGATTCGGCGCTCCCCCGGTGGTGGTTTCGAATGTCCTTTCTCTGACGGACCGTTCACAGGTCGGGTTTGAGTTCAGAAAACGCCGCGCGTTCCCTGTCGTCACTGGCGTCGTTGTCGCAGCCGAGAACGAGTCTGCTCTTCTCGAGGTACGAATATTCTTTCGTCTGTACAGCACCCCGTCCGTTCTCCCTGTCTGCTATTATCTCGCTTTTCCTAATGTTCCGGGGTTTATTCTCATGACTCGCCGTGGCTGACGCGTCAACGTTGACCCGGCCAGGCTTACTGGGAAACCGAGAAAGCGGCAGAGGCGAAGCGACGGGCAAAGAAGCAAGAGCAGATCCTCAAGCGGTGGACGAAGCTCGTCCACGGGCTCCGCATCCGGCAGCGCCTCATCGAGCAGTACGCCGACCGCACGCCGACGTCGCCCGCCGCAGGCGGCGACGACAAGGTGTGCCCCGATCACCCGCCTCCCCTCCTTCCTCCAAAATTTTTTCTGACTGTGCGTATAGACGTAGCGGATCCGCCGTGGAAGGGCTCCGAAACCGCCGGCGGGCGGCTTCCTCGCCGGCGCGGACGGCATCGTGCAGCCCTTCGCGCTCCCGCGGAATCTCACCCAGGTCGTCGAGCACGCGCGCACGAGCCGCGCCGCGCTCGGGGAGCTCGCGCGGCCCGACGACGGCCGTTCGGATGACGGCTTCGACGGCGACGACGTCCAGGAGATCGCCGCGGATCCCCCCGCTCAGCGCGCTCGGCGACGACAGCGACGCGGACGACGACGTGGATATGGAGGACGTCTTCCAAGCCGTCGACGTCCCCCCGACCGACGCGGCCCCGAAGACGATGCGGGAGCTCGCGGAGGAGGCGGCGCAGAGCCGTGCGGGCGTCCCCGAGGTCGTCGAGGAGGAGCTCGCGCTGGTCGGTGCTGCCCCCGTCCCGCCGGCGAGGATTGGGCGAGGGTCCCGCGCGAAGGCCGCCGCCGCGGGCTCGGGGACGTCCGCTCCCCGGCCGGGCTCCAACTTGGCCCGGGGCACGACTGCAGCCGCGGCCCCACCGGCGGCGGCGGCGAAACCCAAACCCAAACCGAAAGCCAAGTCGACGCCTGCGAAGACGCGGGGCCGTAAACGCAAGCGCAGCGCGGCGGCCGACGTGTCGGACTCGACATCGAGTTCGTCGAGGACGCGGCGGAGGCGAGTTCGAAGCGCGACCGGCGCCGTCTCCGTCCCCAGCGAAGAAGGTCGGGCGAGGGCTGGCAGGGCGGTGGCGGCGGCACCGGTACCGGCGTCGACGCGGGTGCTGAGGACGCGCAAGCCGAAGGATGGGCGGCAGAGGAGGCGGAGGAGGCGTTCCGTCGTGCCGTCGCGGGCTAGTGTAGGCCCCGACGTTCGACGACGGGCGAGGCCTTGGTCCCAACGGCAGCCGGCACTGGTATTTCTGGCAGTGCATGCACCCGCATCACCATCGCTGGTGGCGAGGGCGCAGCGGCGATCCGCGTCCGTCGTCGGGGGTGTCGATCGGTGGACGGCAGCTGGACTTGTTCGTATATACCCGTATATCGCACCCATAATACCGCTACTTTACATGCTATGCGGATGCAATGGAATTGTCATACCTCCGCTGTCGGAAGCGTCGAGTCAGACTTCGCTGTCTGAATATTTTTTGTCAATTGATCCCTGGCCGGTCAACGGCACACTGGGGACTCACCTCCGTGCCAGAGCTGGAAGGAGGCGGCGTGGGCTCGACGCTAGTCTGCTCGCTGACCGCCGTCGCACCATGTTGGTGACCGACCCCCGCTTGCGCCGCTCGTACGTTCACAGGCAAAAGTACCGCAAACGTCAGGTACGATGTGTGCCCCCTCACCTCCGGGAACGTCTTCGAGACGGAAATTTTCGGCTCCTCCTCCTCCTCCTCCACCCCGCCTCCGTCGCCCCCGCCGTATGGCCTCGGCCTCGGTCGACAGACCGCGCTTGCTCCGTCTTCGTCTCCTCGGCGGCGTTCGCAACCACCGCCTCAGCCTGCACCTTCGCCTCCGCCTCCGCCGCGGCCTCGCGCTCGTCCCCCGCCTGCTCCTCCGTCCTCGCCCGCTTGCTCTCCAACCTGCCCCGTCGTCGTCCTGCTCGTCGCCGTCGCCGCCTGCCTTGCGCTTCTCTGCGCGCCGGTCCGCGCCCGCCCGCGCGCTCGCGATCTGCCGGAGGCGCTTCTCCTCGCGGCGCGCCTCCGCCGCCTTCAGGCGCGCGCTCGCCGCGCCGACGTGCGGCAGCGCCGGCACGGCGTCGACGTGGTGCGGGCGGAGGAGGCTCTCGTACATCGTGATCTCTGTGTGTGGGGCAGGGTGAGCGGCGGGGAACCGCGCGTGGCGGAGGGGGGGCGCGCGCGCACGCACGCACGTACCTGTGAAGCCGGCGTCGTTGAGCGCGGAGACGGTGCGGAGGACCTGCTCCATGCACGGGCTGAAGCAACATATCCGCGTCGTGCGGTCCTTCTGCCGCCCCGACGTTCCCCGCAAGCCGCGGGAGGAGGCGGATCGGGGCGAGCGCGCGCGTGGGATCGATGATGCAGGTGAGCGGGACGGGATCGAGCGCCGGCAGGCAGAGGAGGGTGAACTCACGCGGAGCGCCTTTTTGGCGTGGTCGACCGCGTCCCATGGCGCGGGCAGGTCAAGGAAGACTGGGGGCGGGATCAGCCGCTGTCACCACCGCGCATCGAGTCCGCCTCCGAGGCCACGCTGCCGGTCATAGCCCGCAGTCGCGGGGGAGATGGGCACGGGGGTGCGACGTGGAGGCACACACCTGCGTCGACGGTGTCCTCGACAGTGAAGCCCTCCTTGCAGACGTTGCGGTGGGTGAGGGTGACGAGGTCGTGCATGCCATGCCGAGTAAACTCTTCCCTGCGCCGGATCGAGACACTGGTTAGTGACGGACCCACAGCGGCGGCACACGGAGAGCAAACAGGTTCGCTGCGGGCGGAGCGTGCGCGATGGAGGGGGCACAGCACTCCTCTGGGGGGCCGTGGGCCCGAGATCCTCCACGGACGAGGGATCTCGTCGCTGGCGCCTGCGCGGGAGGCAACCGGCGGGCACGATAGGAGATGGCTTACCTGGCTTTGGTTGCGCGCGCCTCGTGGAACTCATATGACCACAGGTGGCCAGATGGGCCGACTGTGCGCGCGACAGAGTGCGAGAATGAGCCGGACCCGGTGCCTGTCGGCGTACGAAAAAGTCAGCGGCGTCGGCGCGATGGGACGATTGCAGGACAGACTAGAATCAACGGAGAGCACAAGCCTCCGATGCCTGCAGCGATGGATCGCGGTTAGGTAGACGCGACGCTCTAGCCTCTGAGCTGGGCACACGCCTTCTGATGAGACCTGTTCCTGCACCACGACTATGGGCATTCGGCTCCACAGAGCTACCCGCTGCTTGGACAGCGGTCGAGTGGGAAACGATACGGTGGAACAAAAGGTGTTCCGGAGGCTACCCCACGACACCTGCACGCGCCCACATAGCATTCAGTCGAGCGATTCAAGGGAAATTTGCTGGCCAGGTGGTGCGACGATTCGTCGGGCGCGGTGCGCACGAGGCAGGGAGAGCGCTTCTCGATCAACACATGGTGCTTGAAGGTGACATCGCGGAGTCGATTGGCCACGTCGCATGGGGAAGAGCGAGCGGGATGGGAGCATACAGGGGGGTATCGCGAGGAGTACGACAGAGAAGGATGGGAGCGAACCTGCTTCGATGACCTTGCTGCCCGGGCGGAGGTCAAGCCAGGAAACGACGAAGGCAATGTCGGCCAAGTAGAGGATCTGGGTTCGATGAGGAAGTGCGAGGGTCCAGAGCTCCGGGGTGGGTCGCAAAAGGTGGATAAAGCCCTTGCCATTGCGAGAACGAATCTTGGAACCATAGGGGACGCCAATGAGATCTGCATGGCGATAGTAGCCGTACTTCATGTTGAGTTCCTTCCCTGGCTCAATGACAAGAGGTTGGACAAGGTCCCTCGTCTAAGATGGCATATTTGCAACGGGTCCGGGGCAAGAGGCGAATGAAGTGAGGGCGGGCGGGCGGCGTGAGAGGACGTGGACTGACCATGTAGGCGATTACCACATCGCCCGCCGCGATGTCTCGCGCGGTCGACCACATGGACAGCTAGGTTTGGCAGACAGCGAGCGGCGGGTGAGGGGGGCAGAGGAGGCGAGAGGCGGGGTTGGAAAGAGAGTGCGATGGGCAAAGATCCTGCCTCGACGATCTCGCGTGTCCCCGACGTGGGAAGATTCAAGGAGCGGATCTCGCGCAGCAGACGCCGGACGCCGAGCCCGCGGCTCTGGGCGCGCGCCAGCCAGCGACCCCGACAGACGCGCGCAGCAGCCCTCTTCCCCTCTCTCCACGGCCCAAATGTCGCTCTCTCCTCGCCACCACCGCCAGCCCGCGAACGTCACGCCGAGTGCGTTTCTGCACGCCTCCTTCCCGCGCTGTCCTCCTCTCCCGCGCCCACCAATCGCGACCAGCACCCCTCCAGAGGCAGTTCGGCCCATCCTCGCCCGACGGGCTGCACGCGTTCCCATTTAGACGCGACCTCTCGCCAGGCCTTCCTCGACGAATCCTCGTCCCAGCCCCCTTCTCCCCCCCCCCGCGGTCCCGCCCCCAAAGGTACCGCTCTTTCTCCGTCTGCCCTCCCCGGCGCTCCTCTCGACGCGAACCATTCACCTCCCTCGCCTCGTGTCCCACCGCCCGTACCCTTCTTCTAGAAATACACGGCCTATCTCCCTTCCCTCCCTCCCCTCCACCCGTCCTTCCTTCCGCCCTCCCCCATGCCCATGGACTCTTCACCCGCCTGCGTGTCGTTCAGTGCGTTCTATCACCTCACATCCTTCTCGCCTTGTTCTCACGTCCTTGTTCTCCTTGGCAGTCGGCATCGTCGATTTCACCGAACACGTGAGCGCCGACCCCTGACGCCCGTCCGCCCACCCCTCACTTGCTTGTATTCAGGCCAACTGGGTCTATTGCTCCGAATCCGTCTGCGACCTTCTCGGTTGGTCACACAACCCCTTGTCCCAGATTTACCTCATGGCTTGCCCTGTTCAGGCTATGAGCCACGCGAGCTGATTGGAACCTCGTCTCTTCACCTGGTCCATCCGGACGAATTCTCTGAAGTCAAGGAGTTACACTACACGACCATCTCCCAGGACCAGGCCGCTGTGCTCGCCTACCTTCGCATGAAGCACAAGGACCCTTACAAAGGCTACATTCTCTGTGGGATCGTGCGTATGCGAACGCATACACTCCTCGATCCTCACTGACAGCCCCCATTCAGTCTCGCACGGTCTGCCAAAACGTGCTCGTAGGCAGTGTCTCGTTTGCCGCTCCGGGACCGAAGGCTATGCACAACGCTTCCACGGCACAAGAGGTGAAAATCATCACTCCCACCGCCAAAGACCTCGAGTTCAGAGTGCGTTCTTTGGCTTCATCTGCGGCTGCTAATATTAACTTTGCGTGTAGAGATGGAACGACCCTAACCCGATGCCTTCACTCCGTCCACGACCGGCGACAAGCAACGGCCGCGTGACAAGTCGCAAGCCATCAGCTTCGACCCACTTCCCGAGCAGTCTCTACGCACCGCTCTTATACTCGACCGATTCAGCGTCAACTGCACAATCCTGTATTGTTCCAACGACAGCCTTTTACCCACGACCACTTGCATGGGCCGTAGCTTTTTTGACTTCGTCTCCGTCAAGGACGAGCCTCTGGTACGAAGTTGGATCGACGTCATCAAATCCTGGGGGGTCAACGAACGAGGTCAGCCCAGCGACGGCGGTTTCGGATTTGGCAAGTTCTCCCTTATTGTTCACGGTCGGGATTCTAGGTTCGTCTCCATGCCCTCTCAGCATGAACTTTCAAGTCCGGTCAGGCAGCATCATCTCACGCTCACCCCGATGTTCGCCCCAACAGCAGCCGCCCTCCGGACCCCGTGCCCTCGCGGCACCGTTCTGGGTCTCACGCGAACTCATACCAGAGTGGGTCCACTGAGTCATCGCGCGGGTCGCGTGATTCGCGGCCTAGCTACCACCACTCGAGCTCATCGAACTCCAACTCCAACTACCGCGACCGCGAGCGTGAGCGTGACCGGCACCGCGAGTCGCGTACTTCCTCTAACAAGGACAGAGGCAACGGCGACCGTATCGTCGACGCTATTTTCTCTGCCCATTCCGATGGTCTCATGGCAATCTTGCGCCCTGCGTCGGCCTAGACGCTAGCTCTCCCGCCTCCCTTGTTTGCATCTGTGCTTGTCGATATGTTGTGCCTCCTCGTTCTTGGTATGCTTTCGGATGTTGCTGTTAGATGCCGCCCCCATGTATGATAGGTATGTCTGCCCTCGGTCCGCCGACTCCAAATATGTATATACTCCGCCCCCCATACCCTGTATATTCCTACCTCCCCTGCACACAAATACCCCACTCTTGTCGATCACCCCTCCTCGATAACTCCGGTGTCGGACTCCAGACCCTCTGAATCTTCTGGTTGTAGCTCGTTCTTACACCACCCACATGACGATGATGACAAAACGAAATGCGACGATACATAGACTCCGACGTCGTGCACATTACGGAGGACTAGTTACGCGCCCCGGATCAAACGGATTTTCCTCGCCTGGTCCGCATCACCCCGCTTCCGCTTACATCACACTGAATGCATGCACCGGCATCCAAGATATATTGCCATATACAGGAAGCCGAACCCCAGCACTAGATCCCGGCAGCGGTTGCGCTTGTTGGATCTGTGATAGAAGTACATAGCACACAAGGCGACACAGCAACGCGCGTGCGGACTCCGCTGCTGTGCTTCGATACACAGAAGACGCATGCGGGTGTCCACCGTCTTTCCCCATTTTCTGAGCAGTCCTAGGTAGCCGGTCTCAGCGTCAAGCGACAGGCGAGAGTTGGCCCTGGCAGCTGCCACTCGGGTCGCGCACTCGCCGTCGACGGCTCGGTTCGCGCTCGCGTAATTCATCTGGCTCGCTGGCCCCGTCGAGTCTGACGGCGCGACCGCGACGGCTGGTAGACCGAACCCCAAAGAAATCGCAAGCGACAAATGGAGTATAGTCCGTACGTACGTACTGTACACTTCCATGTCGACGGACGCCTTTCGCAGTGGACGACGAGACGTCATCCTCCGCGCCGCGCCGCGTTTGGCGAACATACCGGCACCCGCTCTGCGTCCGGAGCCGCAGGACGCCCGCGAGCGGCGACGCCAGCTTCTAAATCGACCCCGCAATAAGCACCGGGGAGACGGACTGTACGGAAGGTCGACGTCCTCCACCACGGCCACGGCTCGCGACTGGAGGGTTGCATGCGCCCTTCTCGGACGCTGTCTGGCTGTGTGCCCGTCAACGACGGCGCGGGCGCAGGGTCGCCGTCGTGCGGGAACGCGGCGCTCGTGCGCTCGCTGCTGCACTGCGGCGTTCAAACGTTCGAGATTTGGATGCGCTCCGTGGGATCTCGTGGCGGCTGGTGAGACGGTGCGCGAGCGATCGCACCGAGTGGCGTTTGGTTACGGTGCACGATGGCGCGAGTGCGTGCGTGCGTGTTGAGAGACGGGCCTGTCGCCGACCTGGATGAGCACACACCCGTGGCCAGCAGCTGGGACCGCACGGCGACGTACGGGTTTTGGCGCGCGGACGCCTTCCGCAACGGTCGGCGTGAGCGCCGTCCGAAAAGACGGCGCGAAATCGCACACCGCCTGGGAGCGCGCGGCGGGCGTGGAGCATCGTCGAACGCTGCCGCCCTTCAAGAGGCGAAGTAGCACGCGGCAGGCGGGGTGCGTTTCCCATTGCCCGTCGGAGGCTTCGTCTTCCTCAGGGCTCAGGCCTGAGTACTTGAGTCCTGAGAACTCGAGATTTCTGGCGGCCGGCGGCCACGCACTCGCTGCCTGCGAACTTTGAGCCTGAGCCTGAGCCTTTCGGGCGGCGACGCGCGAGCAACGCCGCGGCCATGGTCAGTCTCCACAGCTGGGCGACGAGGAATGGGGCCGAGGCGCCCTGTGCTCCCTGACCGACCGAGACGTCCCCACGCACGCTAGACGGACGCGCGACACACTGCGTCCGCACCCGCGCCCAGGACCCGTATCCCGTCTCCCGGGTTGTGTGCGCCGTTCCCGCTCTCGGCCTTTGGGCACCGTCGAACGCATCTACGCCCCCGCGCCGTCGTGGCGCGCGGCCTCGCAGCCGGCGAGCGGGCTATGCTCGAAGCACCGCGCGCCCGCCGCCGTCGGGCGGGCTCTGGCGGGCTCGGGCTCGGTGGCCGCTCGTGTGCCGTCCCCGCGCAAGGGAGGCTTCTGCACCCGGGTGCGACGATCGTTATCGCCCAACGCGCTGCGGGGCGAAGTTGGGCGAGGAGAGTCCGCGGGAAGGGAAGCTGCCGCGGAGTGGGACGGGTGTGTGCACCCTGCGACGTGCGGGGAGTTACGGACGATCGTGGGCAGTCGTCCTGCATAACGGGGGCCTTGAAGGGAGGGAACACGGGTGCGAGCTCGAGAAGACAGTACTTGCGGCTATGTAGCTAGGGAAGGCGCAGGAGGCTGAAGGAAGCTAGAAACGTCCGGGAGTCCGCCAGCGTCGCGGGATGATTGTACCCGACGCCAAGCTGGGTCACCGCTCGGTGAGGATTCGGGCCTTGCGTCTGGGGCGTGCGCAGCGCGAGATCTCCGGCGTCCCGCCGCGTGCGGAAGCGAGCCCATGGTGGTCGACGATCCCCACTGCTGAGCCTGCCGTTCCGGATACGGTCGAGGGCGTGTGTATTGTGCGCCGGCGACGGAGTCAGAGGTGCGGGTGTGGGCGCCGCGTCCCATTAGACTCAGACCCCGAGCGCTGGGCACGGTCATGAGAGCCGGCGCAAGGTGGGACTTCGCCGCACTGCGCCCGACGCCCGCGCGCCGGGGGGGAGTGGGAGCGCGCGTGCAGTCGATGAGCGAAGAGCGAGGCGAAAAGGTGGATGTCGGGGGGCGAGGCGGGTGTGGCGAGTATGCGTGGGCGAGGTGGGCGGGAGCGGCGTTCAAACTAGTGAGCGGCCGGTCGCGCTCGAGCTACTGGGATGTGCGGACGGGGCGGGATGGTGATGTTGATTAGGGAGAGTGAGGTTCGAACGAGGCGCGAGGAACGAGCGCCTCGGCCGAACGGGTGCTTTCTAGGCGTGGGTTGCCGGTGGTTGCCGGATGAGGGAGACGCGCGCTAGCGCGCTAAAGGCTATCGCCTCTCGTCTCCTCCCGCATCGCACCCACGCAGCTCAAAGCGCATATAGTCACTAGAAATACGAGAAAACGCTCAAAAATGGTCAACCAACCCAACACAAGCGGTTCTTACCACCCGCAAGGCGTGAAAAAGCCCGAAGCTCAAGCTTACGGCACCGGCAAAGCCTGGAAGGCTCCCCCTGGCGCCGGGCAATCGCTTAGCTTCTTCGGTGATCACACGCACGCATCGTCTATCACCACAGGCACGGTACCACGGGTCAGCATGGATCCCGCAACCGCGGAGGGCGAAGGTTCTGGCCGGCCGCGCGGCAGCGCAGGCGGCCCCGCACGTGGTGAGCGGATCGACGCCGAGAAAGGGGTAGACCGCGGAGATGGCGGAGCGCACATCGAGGAGATGGCCGACGAGGAGATGATCGACGAGGACGCTGGCCAAGAGGATGTCGATGACCAGGGAGACGCCGATGGTCAGACGGACATGGCAGTGGACGAGTACGGCGAGGACAAGTTGGACGATGACATGGCCGAGCCCATAGGCCCTCTCAAGGAGGGCGCGAATGAGGTGGAGGTGCAGGAGTGGAGCATCGCGCTCCTAATGGAGCAAGGCTATTCTCGGCCCCAGGCCGTGTCGATGTACATTGACCAGAAGGCCGAGGCCGAACAAGAGTACCTCGACAGGGAGCGAGCAAGGCTCATCGCAGAAAGGGAGCAGGCGGTGATGGACGAGCAAGAGCGGAAGAAGAGGAAGGCCGCGAGGGCGGAAGAGCGGGAGCGCCAGGCGCGCAAGGAGGCCGCGCGCGAGGAGGCCGCACGTGAAGATGCCGCGCGCGAAGAGGCCGCGCGCGAGGCCGCACGCGAAGAGGCCGCACGCGAAGTTGCCGCGCGCGAGAGGTCCGCTCGTCAAAAGCGCGCCGGGGCGGCAAAGTCGAACACGAACAAGAAGGCCGTGGCGAAGGCTGCGGAAGTCATCCTGAAGACTTTACAGCGGCGCCTGCAGAAGGCTGCGTTGGCGAGCCCGACCAGCCCGCCCGGGGGAGCCCCCCCCCTTCAAGCAGCGGCTCGGAAGGGGGCGCCGATGCGGCTTTCGATGCCGATGAAGACGCGGAGTCCCTGGTCGGGGATGGAGACGAAGAAGACGACATCTTCTCGAAGAACCGCGCACCCGTGGACCCGCGCCTGAAGACCATGCTGCGGCACGGCTACTACATCCCGCTGTCGGCTATGACGAATGACGCGTTGCGCGGCCTGCGGACCGGAGCGTCGGCACGCAAGCTGATCAAGTCGGAAGCCCTACACGGCGAGAAGAAACACCACATCCTCGACATCTCGACCTTCCCGGACGAGCGTCTGATGCTGAGCGCCGACTGGGAGGAAGCCTGGCGCAACATGCTCGACGGCTGTATGGAGGGAGTCGTGAAGCCAGCGGTCATCGCGCGTTGGCGCGAGCACGTGGAGTACATCAAAAACGAGGCCGACTTCAAGGTCTCGTTCCCCGCGCTTCGGGCATTCGACATGGAACTGCGCTACACCTGGTTCACAGAGGCCCCCGGGAAGAAATCAGCCTTCTTCGTCGGCAGCCAGACGTACGTGAAGGCAATGATGCTCGCGCGTCACCAGTACACGAGCTTCGGCGTCGGCACACACCCAACCGGAGGACGCACAGCCCCTTCGGACTCGCGCGGACAGCGGAACGGGGGCAGGTACTCGGGCGGCGGGAGCGGCTACAATGGCGGAGGCTACCCGGGCGGCCAAGCCGGCAGCGGTTACACTGGCGGCAACTCTGGCGGCAATCAGGCTGGCGGCAGCTCCGGTGGGAACGCCAACGGGAGCGGCTCGGGGGGCGGACACCCTGGGGGCTCAGGCGGGAAGGACAAGCAGCGGCCCTTTCAGCAAGGCAGGCAGCCTTTCGGCCGCGGGATGTTCTGCCTCAACTGCAACAGGGACGGCCACCGAGCGAGCAAGTGCAACTCGCAATTCAGCGCTGCCGGCAAACCCGCCTTCATCTAC